AATAAAAGTATTTTTTAATTATTTTATTTTTAAATTATATTATTTTATTAATATTTTATATATATATAATATTAATATTTAAATTTTAAATTTTAAATTTAATTTTTATATTATTAAAATAAATATATAAATTTATTAAATATATTTTATATTTTTTATTTTAATATTATTCTTTAAAATAAATAAAAATTATAATTATAAAATATTAAAATTAAATAAATATTAAAATTAAATAAATATATATAATAAATATAAATATATATAATAAATATAAATATTTATAAATAAATTTAATAATTTTTAATTTTTAATATTTATTTTAAATATAATATAAAATAATAATAAAAATTATTTTATAATATTAAATATTATTTAAAATTATAATAATTATAAAAATAATATATTAATAATAATATAATTTTAAAATATATTATTTATAATAATAAAATAATTATAAAAATTTATTATAATATTAAAAATTTTTTATTAAATTTTTATAAAAAATTAAAAAAAAAAAATTTTTATTTTTAAATATAATAATTAAAAAATAAAATAATATTATTTAAAAATATATATTTATAAAATTATATATTTTTTATATAATTATTTATTTTATTATAAAAATTAAATAATTTTTCTTTATAATATAATAATTATATATATTATTATTATTTTTATAAAATTTAAAATATAAATATTTAAAAAAAATATAAAATTATAAATTTTTTAAATTAAATAAAAATAATAAAATTTATATATTTTAAAATTATATATATTTATAAATAATAATATTTATTTTTAATAAATAAAAAAAATAAATTAATTTTAAAAATATATTAATTTTATTTATTATTATTTATTTAAATAATAATAAAAATTTAAAAATTAAATTATATAATTATAAATTAATTAAATATTATAAAATTATAAATTATTAAATATATAATAAATATTTTAAAATAATATTAATATTATTAATATTTATAAAATATTTATATTAAAAAAAATAATAAAAAAAAAAAAATTTAAATTATTTTTAATTATATTTTATTTTTTAATAAAAAAACTTTTATATATTAAATAAAAATATTAAATTATTTTTATAATTATAAATTAAATATAAAATTAAAATTTATAATAATTTTTATAATAATATTTAAAATATTATTAATTTTATTTAATAATAATATTAATAAAAATAATAATTTTAATATTTAAAATATAATTTTTAATAAAATTTATTATAAAAAAAAATTTTATTAAATTTATTTAATTTTAAAATTTATTTTTAATTATTTAAAATATAAAAAAAAAATTAAATTAAATTCTTTTTTAATATTTAAAATATAATTATTTAAAAATTATAATTTTTTATAAATATAATATAAATATTAATAAAAATAATTTAATTATATAAATAATTATTAAAAATAAATTATTATTTAATTATATTTTTATAAAATTTTTAAATATTTTATAATTTATATAAAATTTTACTATTTATTATATAATTAATTATTATTTTATAATATAATAATAATAATAATAAAAAATAAAATATTTATTTATTATTTATATATATTAATTAATAAAAAAAAATAAAAAATTATAATTATTATTAAAGAATAATTTAATTAAAATAATTTAAATTTCTTATATTTTTTAAATATATAAAATTTTATTTAATATAAATATTTAATTTTATAAATTTATTAAAATTATTTTTAATAATTAAAAAAATAAAAATTTATAAAAATTAAATATAATTTAAAATAATATTTTATATAATTTTAAAAATAATATTATAATTTTTAAAATTATTATTTTAATTATTTAATATTTAAAATTATTTATATATTTATTTTTATTAAAAGAATTTAAAAAATATTTAAAATAAATAATATAAAATTTTATTTTTAATATAATTATAAAATTTTATTATATTTTATTATAAATTAATTATAATTATATTTTTATATTTTAATAATAATTTTTTTTATAAAAAATTTTATTTTAATATTAAATAAATTAATATAAAATTTATTAATTTTAATAAATTTATATTTATATAAATTAATAATAATAATATTAAAATATTTTTATTTAAATTTTTTTAATTATTTTTTAAAAATATAATTTAAAAAAATAAATATTTTAAAATAATATAATAATTTTAATTAAATAAATAATATATTTTATTATTATAAAATAAATAAAATAATATATAATAAATATAAATAATTAAAATAAAAATAAAATATTAATTTTTTTTATATAAATAAAATAATAAAATATAATTATAATATATTTATATTAAATATATAATATTTATTATTTAAATATAATTTTTATATATATATATATATTATATTATTAATAATTATATAAATTAAATATTTTAAATATATAAATTAATTTTATAAATTAAATATAAATATTATTAAAAAATTAAAAAATTAATTTATATTTATTATTTATTATTAATTAATTATTATTATTATTTATTTATATTTAACTTAATTAATATTAAATAATAATTATTATAAATAAAATTAATTTATTAATTTTTAAAATTTTATAAATTTTATATATTAAATAAAAAAATAAAAAATAAATAAATTATATATATATATTATAAATAATATAATTAAAATATTTATTAATTTATATTTTATATTATATTTTATATTATATATAAAATAATTAATATAAATTAATAAATATTTTAATTATATTATTTAATTTTTAATAATAATAAATAAATTATTAAAAAAATTCTTTAATATATTACTTATTATATATTTATTATATTCTTTTTATACCCTTAATAATATTAAAAAAAGTTTAATTAATTTAAATATTAACTTATTAAAATTCTATAGTAAATATATTATTAATTTACTTTTAAAAAAACCTTTAAACGCCCCTTAAACTCCTTATAAAAATCTTAAAACTACTTATTCTTATCCTTATTACTATTTTTAAACTCCTTTTTAAACTTCTTTTTAATATTATTAATAAAGGAATTAAAGTTCTTATTAATAGCCTTTAAGATATTATGCTATTTATTAATTATAACTTTTAAATAAGGGTTAATCTTAAGATTTTACTTTTTATCCTTAGCTACTTATCCTTAAAAAATAGCATATAAGGCGTTAATAGTAATGCTTATATTATTATAAGCTTTATAAAACTTATATAAAATGTTAATATTATTGCAGCTCTTAATTTATATATAGGCATTAATAAATTTACCCTTAAATACCCTTTAAATACCTTAAATATATTATTAAAATATTTCTTATAATAAATTAAAGCCTTTTTAATATAGCTAACTTAGTAAAACTTATTATATATTATAGCTATATTAATAACCTTATAAAAGAATTTTTTAATGCATTTAATAATATACTTATTTTACTCTTTACAGCTTAAGTAATTCTTAATTTAAATTAAATACTTAATTATATAAGGATTAAAGCGCTTTTAGCTAAAAATATAGCGTTAGCTCTTTTTATTTAAAATAAAGTTTTATTTACTATTAATATTAATTATTTTCCATATTATAACCTTGCTAAGAAAAAGCTTATAAAGGTTTATTAAATATTTTTTAATTAGCCCTTAGCCTTTCTTTAAACTCCCTTTATTTAATTATTTACTTAGCTTTAAAGTAATTATAATATTATTAACCTTAATAGGTAATTTGCAAGAAGTAATAAAGGATTTAAGCATATAAATTAAAGTAACCTTTTTGCTTGCAAGCTTATTCTTAGCAATCTTTATAGCAATAAAATAAGCCTTAATAGCTTGCTTATAAAAGGTTATTATATTACCCTTAATTAGCCCTTATTACCTTCTTAAAATGCCCTTAAATATTTATTAATAAAGTTAAACTTCTTTTTAATAAAGAAAGGGTTATTATTATTATTATTATTATTAATAATTTTATAAGCCTTTTTAATATATTAATAATAAAGCTAAGTAATTTGCTTAAACTTAATTTATTAAATATTAATTAATTACCCTTTAAGAATCCCTTGAAAACCTATACCTTAGTTATGCATCCCTTAAAAGGGCAGAAAATCATGCCTTTAATAACGCGAATAGTTTTTTATCCACTAAATCCAATAGTAAGCAAAATAATATTTAAGCTACATGGTTTTTCCTTAAAGGCTAGGTATTAAGCAACTCATAGCTATTTATATAAATTATTAATAAATACCCCTTAAGCTTCCCTTAATTATTACTTAAGACTTATATTAAAAACAATTTTAGCTATTATTATAATAATTATAAATATATACTTAAATGCTATTTAAACTATACTTAAGGGGTTAAATAAAGGGCCTTAAAGAAGTACTTATTTAATAGCTATTATATAAGAAAGTTATAAGTTTAAATAATTAAATATATAATAATAATTAATTAATATAATAAGCAAGCTATTTTTTAATTACTTTTTAAAGGCAATATAAGTATAATATAATTATATTTTAAATATATTATAAATGCAATATAAATGCAATTTAAAAGTTATTAAATTATAATTTACTAAGCAAAACATTTCAACCTTAATTTAAGCCTAATTTAAATATGTTAATAGCTAATTAGCATAATAAGCAAATAACCATATAATAATATATTAAGAGTAATTTAAAGGGGGAGCAAGTAAAATGTAAATAACTTTACCATGCAAGTTAAAGGTATGCATAATGTATATTTTATATCCCTAACCTTACTAACTTAATAAGGAGTTCCTATTAGCTACATAAGGGCTGCATAAGGGTATTTAATAGAATGTATATTTAGTTGTACTTATAAAAAACCTCCCGACCAGTCTAAGCCTAATTGGGTGGTGACGCCAGGCCGAGCTTTAGCGCATTCTTGCCGAGCTAACAGCCCCTGGACTTGCACTGCGCGACTCGATCGAATCCGCAACATCGACATGTGCACCCAGAAAACCCCGCAAATGGGAATCCGAGTCAAGAGCGCAATTTACCATGTACTCTGGTGGAGGAGAGATCATCGTAGCACCACCGACTATGCAGCAACACATGGGCTCTGCAATAATGCTTATTGTCCTGCTTGCCGCGGGCCGAGACACTGTGTCTGCGCAGACGGAGATGAGGGTCATCCGCGTGTGGTAATGATTGTCAGGTCGTCCGTGCTGGCCGCGATGCAACAAAGTGGCATATGGCGCACGCAGCCTCGGACCTCAACAAACCAAGAAAGGCAGTGAAATGGCTTTGTCTGTCAGACTCTACGGCACTGGCGAGCAAGTGTGCACCAACGCTCAACCAAAAGCGCAAATGCGACAATTGTAGGACCCGCTAGCTTTGTTGCACGATAGCAGGCTGAGTCGCCGGTTCCCATTGTTTGACAGGCTTCACCTAAGGGAATTACTAGACTAGTGCCCATCAGTGCGACGTCGTGCAGCGGCCATGACCCGCTAGCGACCTGAAGCAACGGCGTCCGAACTTGCTTCGTGGCTTTCGCGTCTCTGTCAAGGTGTTGAAATCGGCAGTCTTCTGTTGGTCAAGCTCATGTGGCGTAAGTGACAGCGGTGAGAACAAGCAACTACGACACTTTTGTACTGTACGGGTAGGCGTCGCTGCGGAAAAAGAGTAGTTGCCCGGATCTACCATTGTAGAACAAGCTTAAGTTGAACGTTTGCCGACAATACCGCCTCCCGGCCGCCTCTGGCGGAAGAAACATTGATCGATCTCGGCCGGGCAGTCAGGCTGGCCAGCATCATGGAGGCTCTTTTTTCGCAATGTCCCGTGAGCTTATCGCTGCTTCCTATCGAGGCCTAGGGGATCTACCGATCTTCAGGAGGGCCGGAGGTGATGGCGACTCGCCTGTAGCTTTCAGCCGAAGCCGGCAGGACGGCAGGGTGGGCAAGCAGGGCAGGGGCGGCTGGGCGGTCGAGGGTATTAGCTGTTGATCAATCTGAAGCGAACCGTGGGCACGCCATGCGCTGCCGGTTGGCAGGGTCTGCCACCGCTGTCAAGTTTCAAAAAGTGCCGAGTGCAATTCGAGTTTTGCCAAATTGACAGCCGCAACTTGAGTGGTGTCTCGGATTTGCTGATCTTTGCCCAGTCGCCATTCTGCCGGCGAATTGCTGCAACCCCCGAGGGCTCAGAAGAGTCTGGGAAAAGAGGCCTTCACGCCTGGCACGCCTGGCGCGCCAGGGATCACACGGCCCACTGTCGTCGAATGGGCCACTGAGGGGCTTCTTCTGCTCTGGGCCTTCTGGGGCCTTTGGGGCCCTCTGGGACCATGGCAGGGCCATATCACGTCACTGTGGGACCCTTGTTAGAGATATCGAGCGTGCCGGTTGTTGGCTGTCATTGTAGGATTCTGCGGCCGTGATGACGATGTGTCCTGTACTTGAGCCTGGTACTGGCCTGGCTTGGACCTGCCCGGCCTTTGTGCTGTAGCTGTTGGTTGCGCTGACTTTGTCACTGATGTTGGCTGCTGGGTCCTGCGGGTTCGGTCGGTAAAGCAGTGCGCCAATAATGACGGGTGTGCAGTGGGAGAGTGCGTGGTCGATGACGGAATTCGTGTCATGGCAAGAGGCAGCCGTGGTAGCCGTGCAGCCAGGTGGTTTGTGTTTCTATTTTGCAACTGTACTAGCCACTCGTATTTTTGGGGATCTTCAATGCTTTGGCTTTGTCCCAGTGTTTTTCCAGCCTCTCGAATGGCAGAGTTGCATGCAGGCGTGCAGCGGTGGCAGGGAGGCGATTGCGTACGCAGGCAGGCTTTGGCACTCAAAGGATGCACCGCCCAGGCCAGGAGCGAATCGGGGTGGCGAAACAGCTTTGACTTTTGGAGGAGGCAGGCCGTATCACGATCCGACATGGCTGCATGGCTGCCAGTGCAGCGTGCGTGGACAGTGGGCCTCGGGCTGGCGGGGCCGGCTGGGCCAACATACACTGCCCGAAGAGGCTAATGCCTGCGCAAGAGTCGAAGCCGAGTCTGTTCTCTCGGACATGAGACTGGCGAGGACACAAATGCATACACGTATACGGTTGGTGAGATGACAGGGTCACCGAGATTGTAGATCAGTCGTGATTCTACACAGTACTGCAGTCAGGCACACCACGACCGGGTGACTGAATGAATCGACCACGACGACGGGCGACTCGTGTCGATCGTGTTGAACTTCCAAGCTGTTCGGTGAGGTCTCCCATGTGGCAACAAGGCGTGCTTGGACAAGTCCCTCGGCTTAGACCTCGGCCTCATTCGTGTAGCCGGCTTGGGCGGCGGCGCGCGGCTGGACATGGCAATTTGTACGCTGTTTGTGACGATGGCTTCGCCCGCCTGCGCGCGCTGTCATCCGACGAGGCTGCACAAACACAGCCGTCGCCGTTCATGGGAAAAAAGCTTGTCTCTGGACGTCGGCGGGGTCGATAAGAATAGCATTTGCAGCGATGCTGAGTCAGGGGGGGTTGGATGGGCCAGTTTGGAGCCGCCTTTTTGTTATTGCAGTACTGCGGTATCCTTTCTTATCCTTGGTCGGCTGACTGACTGCCCCAGCTGCGTTGCCGTGCTTGCCCAGCAGAGCAGGGCCGATAGGGAGGGAGATGGCTGGATGGCCGGATGGAGACAGCGGAAGTGCACACGCGGTGCGAGGCAGTTGAGGTGGCAGGCCTTGCAGGGTGGGCAGCAGTGAGCAGTCAGAAGATCGTCGACACAGCTCGTCTCCAGTTCGTCCTCGTGCGAGAGAGAAACATTGTCGGGGCTGTCAATGCTCGCTGATCGATGACCTCACTCCCCACTGTACCCCAATGTACATTGTACCGTGGCACAGTCCCACGGCAGGGACGGTACGTACGTGCCCTGTCTGCCTGTGTGCCAGCTAGGAGACGGCTGGTTGCCATGTACCCAGGTACACGTCTCGTAGAATTTATGTTCTGGAAGGGCAGCTGCTGCCGCTGTGTCTCTCTCCGCCCCCAGCACGGAGGAAAGAGCGAGCGTTGTTCGAGTTCTGCACGCGGACTAACCACAGTGGAAACATTGATTGCATACACGCACTATCGAAACCATGTGAGGTGTGCTCGGGACTGAGAGCAACTGCCGGTGGTCAATGGAACCATTTTCAGATCTAGAACTGGGTACAGGTAAGCGTTCATGACCGATCCATCCATCGTCGGTCTTGGTGGCTCCTTCCCGCGAATGCACACCCAGACACCCAGCGGGCGGCTGCAAACGGCGATGGGAATTGTTGCACAAAGCGCCCGAGGAGAAAGAGGAGGGACGCAGCCCCTGACGCAGGTACACCGCGGCAAGGAGGTACGTACCATGCGGCGGGCAGGGCTCGTCCAGCCACTAATCTTGCGGATCAACCGCTAGCAGGTTAGCACGGTAGCAGCAGGCTTGTTGGCTTCTGATGGTCTGTCGGGCCTGTCGGTCTCCCCTTTTCCTGGCTGCAACCACCCAATTTACCTCGCGTCCCATCTGCTGTCGCCATCGCAAGCCTCCCCCCTGCCCCGACCAGTCCTGGCCTGCCCGTGGCCTTCCTGATTTGCAGCGCTCCTAGGTCCCTGGGCCGGGAGTTGATTGCAGTAATTTAAGAAACTCCCCATATCGAGTGGAGGCCCCCCTTCCATTTGCTGCCGCCCGCGATTGCAACCCCCGTCCCCCAAGCCGTCCATAGCACACAATCCTATCTACCATATACCGTGCCGTATCTATATGACGCCAGGGTCATCTCTTGTGAGACTGGGTCTCTGTTGAACATCGGGATTGGGGGGCTCTCCTGGATGTGCAAATTGGGCTGGATGCTGCACCGGGCACTGGAGAACCGCACTGGACTGGGACTGATAAATGGGCTGGCTGGCTGGTTGGGGCGGATCGGAGCAAATTTTGGATTTGACCTCCCTCTTTCTCTCACTCTACCCAGTCCGCCAGTCTGCCCCAGTCCACAGTAGATACAACTTGGAAAGATACGTACACACACAGTCTGGGCAGTACGTACCAGGGCGGGTACCCACTTCTTCCTTGTCCCAGTCCCGGTCCAAGTCCCAGTCCAAGTCCAAGACCACCCCGGTCACTAAGGCCCTGCTGCCCCCATCGCTTAACACCGACCTTCACCTGTTCAGGCCGGTGCTGGCTCTTTTTTTCGACAGGCCCAGTGGTTCCTTCTTTTTCTACCCCCATATCCCCCCTTTCCATCCCACACACCTGCCCACTTCTTCCCGACATCAACGACCACCGACCTGTCCTATTATTCTTTTTCTTTATTGCTCCCTTACCCGTCACTGAACCTCGTTTTCGTGACGACAGGCTTCTCTTCATCTTTTCCCCTCTCATTGTTCGGACGCGTCCTGCTTGCGTCCTCGCCCTCGTCGTCGTTTCCGTCTCGCACAACGACGCACCTTCTGGGCCTCCTCCTTCGGACCAGCCCGTTTCGTGTATCAGCGGATCCTCAAACCTGACTTGCCCCACGGCTGTGTCTGGCTTTGGCCCGCCCGTCCCTCGTTAGCTTAACCCACATCTCGACCACTACCACCCGCCGAACCACTTCAAGAGATATCTACCCCCTTTCAGCACAGATCGAGCCACCCCGACCCGATCGATGTTTGTCGACGTCTAGAACACTGGTCTTAGACATAGCTCCTCCTACCTCTCCCATCTTGACTTGCTTTCTTTCGCCACTGCTTTACTTGGCTTGAAAGACAGCAGCAACAGGACAGGAACACCAGGGTTGGTCCAATTCCCGAACTCCCGTCACCACACTCAAACAGAGACGGGAACACAAAGTCGACCGGATGAACTCACCAATCTCCCTGTCACCAAAGGACCTCAAAATCATGGGTGCCATGATGCCTCCCCCGCAACGTCTCTTCAACATGCGGAGCCCATTCTCCAGGGCAATCCTGCTGGCCGTCGTGGTGCTCCTGCTCTTCGTTATGACGATGAAGCAGAACACCTACGATGTTCGCTCCGCCGTCATGAAGGCTGCGAACACCGCCAAGCAGACCATGACCACACAGCACCCGCTCGACTCGTCCGCCAACGCATATGGCGTTGACGACAGCCGGTGGCAGGACGTGCCCTCCAACAGCTCCGCCCTCATGAACTGCAACTACGACACAAAACACCTCAAGGAGCTGCAGGACAGGTACGAGCTCGGCGAGCAGTTCGAGTACTTCAAGCGATATGTCAAGGTTTCGCGTCAAGACATTGAGAGGAAGTCCATGACCAAGCTTGACCAGCGATTCCTCCCCAACACCGCTAAGACGGTCGACTTGGGCAAGAAGAACTTGAACGAGCAGTGCCCCGAGCCGCTTGTCGTGCCCGTCACCAAGTCACCCGCCCCTGACACTGCCAACCTGACCGACTTCATCTTCGGTGTCTCAACCACCTACAAGCGTTTCACCGAGCCCGAGACGAGCCCCATCAACGATTGGAGCTACTGGCTTACGGACAACCACGGCAACTCCAACGGCGGCAAGATGGTTCTGCTGCTCCTGGACGCCAGCGACGATGAGCTCTATGACGCCTGGGATCGTCTGCACAAGGTTGGAATTGACGCCGATGTCTTCCACTCTGACAGCTCCATGGAAATGGCCGTCCGCTACCTGACCCTCGTCCCAACCCTCTACAACCACCGCGAACGACCCAACAAGAAGTGGCTGGTTCTCTGCGATGACGATACATTCTTCCCCTCTCCCTCATCACTCACCAAGCGACTGTCTGCTGTTGATGCCAGTCGGCCCCTCTACATTGGCACCTTCTCCGAGGATGTCAATCAGGTTCAGCGTCATGGCTCCCAGGCCTTCGGTGGTGCCGGTGTTTTTATCTCCCTGCCCGTCGGTCAGATGATCAACGAGCTTTACGAGACATGCAAGACTCCCCAGAAGTTGCAAGAGGCCGATTCCGGCTGGGGCGCCCAGGGAGACATTCTCCTGCGGAAGTGCATCTACGAGAACAGTGACGTTCGGTTGACTCTTGAGAACGACCTGTGGCAGCTTGACCTGTACGAGGATCCATCCGGTTTCTATGAGAGTGGAATCAAGCCTCTGTCCCTGCACCACTACCGCGGTGGCGGCTGGCACTATGCTTACCCCTTCGAGTACACCAAGATCGCTCATCTCTGCGGTGAGGACTGCACCATGCAGCGCTTCATGACTGAGGATGATTTTGTCATCTCCACTGGCTACAGCATTGCGCAGTACCCTGAAGGTGCCAACTACAACTGGGACCAGATGGAGCGAACCTTCACACCCGCTCCCGAGGACCACGGCTGGAACCTGGATCACGCCTTCGGCCCCCAGCGATCGTCGCTACTGAGGACCGGTGAAAAGATTGCTTGGGACCTCAAGACGGCAAACGTCAACGAGGATGGCACTGTCACACAGTTCTATGTTCGGAAAGCAAAGGACCCTCGGTGGGTGGACGCTGAGGGCTGGCCGATGAGCCAGGTCGACGGAGTCATCGAGCTCGTCTGGCTTCCATGAAATCCCTGACCAACGCCGACCTTTTTTTCTTTCCCACTATTACATTTACGTCAGTTATGCTCGGCCGGACCGTCCAATCAGGAGTTTCTCGGGTTGTGCCTGGACTTTACCATCACAACATTCTGGCTCATTTTAGCTTTGGTCGTGTCTCGGCGCTGTGGCGCGCCTGAGATGCGGAAGCGCGCGAAACCTTGGTCGCTCCAGCTTTGGGACGAGTCCTCGGCGACAGGCCGGACGAGCCGTCGGCTCAACTCAGCCGTGCCGCTACACTCGCCTGTCACTTTTCGCAACCGCCCAGAAGGACAGCCAGAGGAATCGTGGAATCCACCAAAGAGCTGGAACCAGGAACTTGGATTGAAACACCAACAGCGCCTGAACAGTTGCTATGCTGTCGACATTTTTTTTTTTAGCCAGCCACGCCTTCTTGCTACCAAAGGCTATGGGGCCTCGCTTTTCGCTGTCATGACCGTTGTCTACCTGAAACGGGACGGGGCGGCCGCGTCAGCCCGTCCACATGTTATGCACGATGGCGAATGGTAATGCGTAATTATCAACGGGTGTGCTCCTACCACAAACCATCGATTCTATTTTGTCACACTATCAACCAAAACACATTTACGAGGAAAGACGGATGTGCATTGCATACGGCGGCAAACTCGGATACACCCGCCTGGCGTTTGGCAGATTTCTTACATCTTCTTCCATCGACCTACAACAAACACAAAGGCACCATTCGGTGCCGAATTGTATATACCACTGGTCACTTTCGATATAAACGAGGGGTGAGGGGAGATCGTTCTGGGATAGATGGAGCTCTGGGTCCGGTCTTGCTTTCTGGGGCGGGTTGGTGCAGCGGATGCCTGTTGTGGCTAGGCTTGTGTGTACAATTTGGATCACACTGATTCTGGAAACCCCGGGAGCTTACTGAAGAAGCTCTGTTGGATGTACATACCTTTCGGGAGATGCGACGAAAGCATCGTCACAGTCTTGGGCGGGGTAAATATCTATAGAAGAAATCCAGCCAAGATCAAACAACTTTCCAACCTTGTGTGTCTGTCCCCGTGCATCATCCAGTGTACGGCCATGGGGACACGACTTCCTGGGCGCACCAACCAACATGGGAGCTTTTCTTTTTGACGCCTTGGGTTGCACATCTACGCCCCACCGGGTAGCTAATGGCCTGGTGCCACCAGCTCGTGGTCCGATGATTACAACACCGGCGGCTTTCCACGCGTACGCCACGTGGGCGCACCATGTTTGTCTCAAAGATGAGACCCTTCCCGTGGCTGGGCGGGGTGGCTTCTGCTGGCTGGAATGAGTATGTTTTGTTTGACTTGCACGCAGTGCGATGATGACCATGTTTCCAACTCGATCAATCAATCAATTGACCGACCAACCGGTACACAAGGCTGCAAACCAAAATAGAGGAGGGGGAGGGGTCCAGGGCCAGCTCCAGCCCAGCCCATCCCGATCCATTAGGTTTGGATGCGTGTCTCGGATGGCTGGGTTTGACTGCCCTCCCTTTGGTTTTCCCGCTTGCTGCTTGGGCTAGCGGGCGGGTGCGTCTGGTGGACTGACGCCCCCCTGCGGAACACGAGACTCCTAGGCGCTTTTCCTCTTGTCTCTCTCCCTGCAGCCCAGGTAGGGGGGTGCATGGTTACGCGACGAGTTATCTTGGTCTTGTCTCACGCGCGTGCATGCATTGTATTGATCCATGCAAAGGATGTTGTGTCTAGCAATTATCTCGGGGGGGGGGGGGGGGGAGATACGATGGTGCGGGCAGGGTTACGGGCGCAGTGGAGGAAAACATTGTCATTAAAGTTCGTTAGACTAGTAAGTAGTTCATTGGATTGCACTCTCAACCCAGCAGGTATCATCATCAATACGGCAGCCGAAGTGCCCAGGTGTTGCGCTCCTTGCTCCAGCCGTCCAAAAACACCCTTCAATCTAGGCTCCCGTTCATCTATCTATCTGCATTGCACAGCACAGTCACGGCAGTCTATGAGATTTAGATCTGTATGCTCTTCACGGGACATGCCAATCACGACGGCGGTCCTCCGGGGTGCTTCGAGTCCCCAACGCCCGGCCGCGCCACGCCGTCGTCCGCATACGCTGGAGGTGGCTGCTCGCCTCCTGCATCTCCGTGCGACGCTTCGCCTGGCCCGGCCGTCTCCGTGTAAGGCGGTGCCATGGACACCGGCCTCTGCTGCGAGGTGGCGGCGGCGTTCGCCTGCTCCAGCTCCCTCCTCTCCCGCAGCTCCTGCTCGCGGGCGGCCTCGGCCTCCGCGGCGGCCTCGGCGGCCTTTGAGCGCGCCGCTGGTGTTGTGCTCTCCGCGTGTGTCGAGCCGGTAGCAGCGGCGGTGGTCGTGGTGGGGCCGCCCGGGGGTCCTGCAGGCGAGGAGCCGCCGAGGCCGAGGGCTTGCACGCCCTCGGTGACGCCGGAGACACCGGGGCGGGGCGGCTTGGCCGGTGGGTTCTCACCAGCACCAGCCCCGGACGCGAAGACGGGGTCGAAGCCGGTGGGGTAGCCCTGGGGCGCGTTGCCGTGGCCGTAGGTGTCTGACGGACCCTGCTGGTTCGCCCACTGCTGGCCAGGCGGGCTACCACCCTGAGCCCTCCAGCCCTCAGCGCCCTTGATGGTGTCAAAGAGAGGCTTGACAACGGTGATCCAGTTCTCCTTGCCGGGAACCAAGGGTGCTTCACCCTTCAGAATGTTCTGCACGCCGACGGGCTCACCGTAGAATGCGGCGTTCGCGTCTTTGCGCTCGGTGACGATTGTGCCGTCCACCTGGACGCCTGCGTAGAAGCCCCGAGACTTGACGTAGGAGTAGGTAGGCTGCTTGATAGCCTGCTTGAGACCGGAAGGCTTGCGCTCCTTGCCGGCCTGTGGGCGTTCTGCTGTCTCGGCACTCGTCTTGTCTGCGGCTGGCTCATTCACCGCTGGGACTGGGTCCGCGTTGTCGGGGTGCTTCTCGCTCGCCGCCGGCGGAGGAGTGGCTGGCTTGCCTTCGTCCTTGGTAGCGTCCGGAGACCCTGGAGCAGCGCCTGTCTTGCCCTTGCCCTTCTGCGATTGGGGTGCTGCGAAGTCAACGCTGCCGCCTGCGCCCCAAGGACCCGCGACGACTGCAAGGTCGGAGCCCAGAGACATCCTGGTCTTTGTGAACGCCTCCAAGGCCTCCCTCGTGTTGATCACCACAACACAGTCGTAGATGTCCAGGCCGATCATGAAACCAGCACCCACGCTGTGGACCTGGATGCCCGATGGGGGCGACCAGCTGCCATCAGGGAGACGGGCAACGATGACACCCGAGCCGGTGGCACCCGAGACGTGGAATCCCGCACGAGCGGTTGTAAAGATGGCCAGGCCAACCGCCCTGTTGATTACCTTTGAAGGGATGGTCAGGAGGGTTCGGTTCTTCTTGGGCTTCGCCGCAGCAGTAATAGGCTTGCCGTCAGCGTCTGTAGTGGGGGCCTCGACGGTCTCAGGGGCCTGTGCGTCGGTGTAGATGCCATCCTCTTGGGGGGGAGTGTTAGTGCCTGATCTATAAAAGGAGTGGGGCATATGCCAGGTCCGACTTACTGCAGAAGCTCCTCAGGATTCTTGCCGCTTTCTCGCATTCCTTGTCCATGGTGTCAGGCAGGAAACTCTCGGATCCGAGCTTATTTGCCAGCATGTTGAAGGGCGTTGCAGCCTTGCCGCCCCAGGCGCTGAAACGGGAGCCCCATCCTGCCTTCTTGGGGGCGCCGTCGCTGTCGGGAGGAGGGACCTGATGGGCAGTTTGTTGGGTCTCGGCCGGAGGATGAGCCTGGGCCTGGGCCTTGGCCTCGGAGTGGGTAGAAGGAGTGTTGTCGTAGAGTTCCGAGTTTGACTCTGGGACAGGATGGTCGTTTGGGTTCATCGCAAGGCCGTTATGCCCAGGCGGGGGCCCTGGAGGGGGAGGGGGGAAGTTCTGCTCGCCGGAGGGGTTCTTTTCGGCCATGACGACGCGGTGGGGTTGTAGACAGATACGCAGAATGGAGTGGTGGTGTGCGGCTCGGAGTGTTTGGATGCAACAAGTCAGCCTGGCTTTCAGGACAGATGTGAGAAAGCCGCGTCGAGGCGCGGAGGCTTGAGCTTTGCTCTTGGATTGTATTTAAGCTCGTCGGCCCTTGGCTCTCAGGCGACTGAAACGCGTCAGAATCTCTTGGCTTTTGGGCTCTGGCGGACGAGGCGAAAGTCAGGCTGGTCAGTCGCCGTTCCCGAACAAGCTACTGGAGGAGCACGACCGGGCGCACCAGCAACGAACAGGGACGTCATAGCGTAACACTGTGGCTCAGAGCTTGGGTGGAGGCAGCCGGGCCTCTGGGGGAGGGGCGCAGTGGGGGGAAGGGAAAGGGTCTGAAAGGGTCTGATGTGGCGCAAGCTGTCAGGACTGTCCTTGCCCAATCTCATTCAAATGCGATGTGCATCTAGCGCATCTGGTCTACATGTGCATCTGGTCTATACGTTCGTTACTAAATTTAAATGTGGCGCTCCATCTCTTCTGTGCTGTAAGATGGACGGGTGAACCCACCCTCGAGCAGGCCAGACACTGAATGGCCCACCCGAATTTTACACTTACAGGTACCTACATGCAGTACTCCATCAACTGTGTCTGCCCCACTCAACCCAGGCTCAACGACGAACCTCGCCTTCGCTTCGGAAACTCGTGTTCGTTCCCGTCATTTTGCTGCTGTCTCTTTCGTTTCAATGATGCTCTTGCCTGCTTCTCCGTCTTCGCCCTAAGGCCAGTGCTGGGCTTGACCTTGGGCTTCGATCTGGTTATAACGCGGGAACCGAACCCTTTGAGTAGTTCCATATCCAGCACGAGAAAATGCGGTCTCTCGCCGTCGCGGAAGATAACCACCATCACTATCCCACGTACGACACATAGCCGTGCCTCTGCATCATTTATTAGCGCCCTGTCAACCGTACCGATGTCCGCCCTGCTCTGGTAAAGACTCCTCAACATCGCTATCCACCATCGTGGAGCCCATGGTCTGCTGCTCTGCTGCGCCTGTGCCTCCGGATGGCAAACGGCACACACAAGCTTGCCCCTCGTGGCATCGTTCTTTTCGACATCGCTGCTGCTCGACTTGTCAGATCGCATCTCCCTCATGTTTCTCCTCTGGTTTATACTCTTGATCGCATACGCCTCTGCCCCCAGCCCGACTTCTCTTTGGTGTGCCCTGATCTCATTGACACCGTGTATCATCGCCGCTTGTAGCGCTTTTCTGAGCCCGTCCCATTGCTCATCAAAACCAAGCTCCTGCAGGCTGGTTTCCATCCTGACCAGCCTGTGGCTCAGCAGCTTCCTTTCCCTCATCAACGTGCGGATGAAGCGTCGGGAGTTGGTCAGTCTGGCAAAGGCTAATCTCTCGACCGCAAGGCGCTGCAGCGACCCTCGAATCGGGCGCTCAGCGCGTGGTGCCCCTGATAGGCGTGTCACGAATGGCCGATTAGGTTCGAATTTACCCCTCCTCCTGGCTTCGTTGCCGAAGTCGTCCAGCTCCACTTTGTACATATTTTCTATCCAGTGCCTGAGCTGGATATAATTCGTCACCGCCTCGCGGACATAATACTTCCGGGCCCGCTCTATCAGGTGCCTCCTGCAATAGAGTGTCGCTCCTCGAGCATAGTCAGGTCGATTTCGACCCATACGATCGAGTGATAAACGCATCGTGGTGAGCTTGAGTTGATTATTTGCAAGTTTGCTTCTCTCTGTGGGTGTCAGTGTGGTTTCCTATTATTTCCTAAAAAAAAGGAAAGAAAGAAAAAAAAAAATTACTCGAAAGTTCGAGAATATTGCAATGTGCGTATATATGTATCTATGATTTTGCACGCTGCATGATCAGCGACTTCCTTTGACCAGTCACTCGACGGTGCTGTCTAGCTTTATTTCTCGTGTGATGAGCAGCAACCTTTGTTAATGCTGTCGCGTCTTCGCACGTTGTGGCATTCCCTGCACGTATGTAGAAATAGCTCGACGGCCCGCTTCAAAGGCACGAAGGTCCCTAAACATGGCACAATATTGCTAGAAAATAGGATTGACGAATCGGCCTAACGGGTTGAGCGGCACCCACAAAGGCTAGGTGCGGAGACTGCCTTGTGTCGTGGTTCCAAATATATCTCTAGAGCCTCGGTGAATGCAACTCGTATGCTTCACCAGCTATACTACTCAGTCCAGGCATGCCATCAATCGATCATCACACCCAACAAGTGAGTCTTGGCCAGGAAGACTAGCCTCAACAGCTGTCTTTTACCCTTTTCTCTCCATCCTCTTCGCTTTCGGCGCCCGCTTGTGGAGCAACCACCACCTCGCTGTCGCCGACTCCCACAATGTCTCGCACAGCCGTGTCGCCGTACGGGAATTTGCGCAACGTGTGCTTGTCGAGCCAATTCACTGCAAACAGCCCTCCCAACATGACAACAACCACGATTATCATAGCAATATTCCCCTTTTTCCCTGTCGAATAACACAATTAGCGGTTGATCGCATGCATGTAGATATGAATATACAGGCAGTGAGAATCGAAACGGCTTACAGTATGGCGCATCCGAGGCGGGGTACAGAGCGATGCCCCAGAACGTGTACAAGCAGGTAGAACACGCATTCATAGCATACAAGATGACAGACCGCGCGGCATCATCTCCGCCACGTTGGGTGATGATACTCGCCCAGCCGTAGGACACCGGGTTGACCATATAGCTCGTACCAGATAGGTAGTACGCGAAGAAGGTGCCCGCGAACGGCAGCGTCGGCACCATCAGCATGACGGCCGCGACGAGCTGCAGCAGGCAGGCCAGGACCCCCATCGGCACCCTCGTGCCGGTGGCGTCGACATGCACGGCGGCGAGGAAGTTGGAGACGATCCCCACGGCCTGCACGCCGAGCGGGTATGTGTTGATCTGGGCCTGGGTGAAGACGTCCGAGTGGAACTTCATCCACAGCAGGAACAGGCTCTGCACGACGTACGCCTCGAGCGCGCCCGTGATGACGGCCCACAGGCACAGGATGTACAGCGCCGGGCTGGCGAAGACGCGCTTCGCCAGCGACCAGGGGTCGATGTTGTGGCCGTCCTTGCTCTTGGGAGGGAGCCGCTGCAGCGCCAGCTCGCGCTCCCCGGCGCTGAGCCACCTCGCCTGCGTCGTCTCGGGCGTGTCCGGGAAGAAGAAGAAGCCCACGATGGCGATGGGGATGGTGATGATCCCGTTGACGAGACTAGTGCCTGTTAATCACCTGCTACGGACTCTAGAGTGATGTATTCTGGAACATTCCAAAACATGACAGACGGGGAACCGTGAAAGGAGAAGCATGGTGCTTACAAGAGCCATTGCCACCCCTTGAGGCCGCTGTGGTCCTGTATGCCCGTGTATATGGCCGTCATCATGATGCCCGCGAACATCGTTCCCGCCTGTCCCGAGGCCGTGAAGATAGCTGTGCGCTTGGCGATCTCGCGAGGCTTATACCACGACCCGATGATGTAGATGGTACCACAGTAGGTGCTGGCCTCTGCGAAGCCCTGGAAGAAGCGCACGACGCAGAGCTGCTCGTAGGTCTTGCAGGCAGCGCAGGACATGGTGAGGGCGGACCAGACAATGACCATAGAGGGTAGCCATATCCGCGGGGGAAACTTCTGGATGATAATGCCGTGTGGAATCTGACCAATGACGGAGCCGGCTGTGAACATGGAGAGTACAACTAGTGTGTGTTAATAACCTGCTAAAGAACCGGAACATTTTCGCTTACTGTTATAGTCGGCTCCTTTCAAGTTCAAATCCTCCCTGAGACCGGCAACGTAGGCGTTGGCGAAGGCGGAGCGGTCGAGATAGTTGAAGAAGGAACTGAGGCAGCAGTATGTCAAGATGACCCAGTCTGCATCATTGATTAGCATGTGAAAGGGATTCTAATGAGACAAGGTATTTCTTACCCAACTTCTGCACCAGTCTTCGTTCCTCCTTGCTCTTCGCTTCGTCCCCGAGGAAGATCGTCTTGACCTGAGCGACCCCACTAGCCTTCTGCCCGGAGGCATCACAGCTACTGCTCCCCATAATCCGAGTGAAGTTGTCCAGTCGTCGACGGGATCTGCACCAGAAATAAAAGTTTCTTATCAGCCTCAGCGGGAACAGGAGCACCGTGAGGAGCCTGCGCGGCAAGCCGCGCAAGTATATGTAGCGACAGGCACGAGAGAGGGGCATGCCAGGAACATTTGCTTCTGCATTCGCCTAGTCAGTGGTTAGTCCTGCCCAGCTCCCAATAACGAAAAAAGCGCAATCACGGACGTCCTGAATGGCCGCTCGGTCAGGTTGTGGATATCTACTCCATCGTTTGGTGACCATCAAGGTGCTCGCCTCCAAGAATAAAAACGCGCCGTGCTTGGCAATTCTTGGAGCTGTGGGGGTCCGCTGCAGAACTTAGTCATCCTCCCACGACTTGACAAGGAAGGTGTCGTACCACCGTCTGTCTGGTTCTCAACTCTGTCCCTAGACCACGCTCTTTCTACAGAATATTTTTTTGAAAAAAGTAAACGGAAATATTGTCACCCACGGATTGCAAAAAACGGAAGAATTTCCGACAAGCCTGCGACTAGGACGTAACTCAGACACACCCCATATTAACCGAACAGCACAACTACTCGTACAATACGTGCCAACGCCTGCGGTGACTCCAGAGCGCTTGACTGGGTTCTGGAAAATCTTGTTGACTTGCATGAATTAGCTAGATAAAGTTTGAGACTGGGGCCAATATTAGGGTCATATGGCTAGTTCCCAGCAGCATTTGTCTGATTCAATCTTGTCTAAATATTCCTGACCTGTCTTGTTCAAGGTGTGCATGAGGATGAAAACCTGTGACCACTCCCTTTGGCTTTTAAGTCCACCCTTCATCGGATTGCTTTTGAGGCACATCAGCAAGGAAGTCTTTGCAAATCACCTCTGGTGCTGGGTGACTTGATGAGGTCTCGTAAGAAGAACCAGTCACGGCCGTCGTCTTCGCCAAATCAATCCCGGCTGCATACCGGCCGAACATGAAGGATAGTTCGCCCCTGCTCGTTCAATGAGTCAGTTGTGCTTGTATTTCATCTTCATTCCCTGGTATGCTCCGTTGAGGTCCGGGATATACCGGCGTCTAGAACGTGTCTGCTCAGCATCGTTCAGAAAAAGTAAGCGTTGGTCCCACTTGAGCACATTTGAATTCGCATGTCCATGTTGAGGCCTCCCTGCGAGGCGACACGAGGGAGACGCATCTTCTTAAGAGAAAGCACACGCAAAAGGTCATCGCTCGACGAGGATTTGTAATGAGAATGGAAAATCTTACTCAATTCCGTAAAAGGGCTGCTGGAGAAATTGGCGAGAAGGAGAGAGAGCGGCGTTCGGAACTGCTAAGCAAGAACTCAGACACCAAGACGGCCATCCCAACGAGATCATTACGCTTTGCCGAGAACGGGAAGGCAGTGCTCCAAGGGGAGATGATCCATCCATGAGATTCCTAAAAGCGTCTCCGACGACTGGCTCGACGATACAGATTACGAAGATGACGACTCTGTGAGCGGCTGATGAGGTTTCTTCACTAGGGAGGCATTCGAATAGTCCAGAATAATTTCAAGAGGCATGCTAAACATGGAAATATCAAATTACATCTCTGGTTGTGAATTGTGTGGGTGATATTTTGAGGCATCTGGACTGGATACTCTAACACCTTCGCCATTACACAGGGTGCTACAAGCTGGTGTTGGAGACTTTGATCATGTGCATACTCGAGTTTACTGACGCGAATGTTTGGACAAAGCTGTGTCAATACAAGATAATCTATCGTGGACGCCCAGCAAAAACTCTCCAGGAGGAACCGATTACAAAATCCCAAAATACAAGAATCAGTCTGACCGGCACAGAGGCAGCATCACCATACCACCATCTCTACGTTTAAATCTAGTAGACCTTCAAGGTGGCCGCGACCTCCCCATAAGCCTCACCAACGATCCTCCTCCTCTCCTCCTTGCGCAGGCCAAACCTCATCTGGAACGGCGACGGCTCCAGGATGACGTGGCTGTTGGTTGCCTGCGAGTCGATGGGTACCTTCTCGCCGGTGCGCGGGCACGTCATCTGCTCCATGTTGAACGCCCAGAGCACCGACGCCCCCGTGACGAAGAGCTCGATGTCCACAATGTCCATGCCCAGGCACTTGCGGCGGCCCCAGCCGAAGCTGTGCGTCCCGAACTTGCTGTCGCGGAAGTTGGGGTACTTTGTCAGGGGCTCCTGGTACGTCGGGAAGGACGGGTCGAGCCACCGGTCGGGCCGGTAGGACTCTGGGTCTGGGTATTTCTCGGGGACGCGGTTGATGGCCCTGGCGAAAGTTTTATGTGTGAGCTAGTTGGCTGCACTGTAGAGCATCATGGGACAAGAGAAGCTTACCATTCACATGCCAGGATGATTGTGTCTTTCTTGATCAGGACGCCGCGGTATTCGTCATCACGCTCTGCTTGATGGGGCACACCTAGATCATGCAGTCATCATGTCAGCCATATAGGTAGCAAAGAATTGAGACTCAAAGAAGCCATGAACGAGCGAGCGAGCAACTTACCCAGCGGGACTCCAGATCGCCATCTTATCGTCTCTTTAAGGACAGCCCTCACAGTGGGTAGGTCCGCGAAATCCCCGAAATTGGGCAGCCGGTCACCGCAGACTCGGTCGATTTCCTCCTGAGCCTTCTTTTGCCACTCTGGGTGCAGTGCCATAGCCATGAGGAAGAATTTCAGCGGCCCTGCAATTGTGACCACACCGACCAGGTTGAAGAACCCGATGGTGCACGCCGCAAATACTTCTTGATCATCAGTCTGGTCCAGGCTGCCCTTCTGCTCCCGCTCAACCTGCTCAATGTAGCGGTACGCCCACGTATCCTTGGGCAGCTGGCCGTTCTTGTACTTGTCCTTTGCGATCTTGTAGTTATTCAGCCACCAGGCCTTCTGCGTCCCCATCCTCTGCTTCTCATAGGACTTCCACTTGTTGAATGGCTCTGGAATGTGCCACAGCGGTGTCATGGTGTTGACGATGGGTCCCGAGACCGACATGTTGTGCAGCGTGCGGTCGGCGCTCTCGCCGTTCATTTTGCCTTGTGAGGCCTCGTCCCACGCCAACCGTGACATGATGCGCCCGCAGTGCTCGCGAGAGTGGTCCATGAACCGGACTGGGTCCGACATGAGCATCATCAGGTACCGCCGAGTCTCGGCCTCGATGTGTCCGTAGAACTGATGCTTGTAGGCCTCAGCCATGGCGGCGTGTACCCATTTTCGCTGCTTCTGCCAGTGATCTACAGTGGGCATCAAGAGCGATCAGTTTCTTTCTTGTTTCTGGTAGGATCTGATGCCCAAAGGCGTCGCTCAGTACTGATATGACTTACCATGGCGGTCCATCAACGCGAGGTACTCAATGCCCTCTTTGTGGCCGATTAGGGCTCTGATCTGCGGCCGTCCCGAGTAGATGTGACCCCTCCTGATGAGGAGCTCCTCCGCGATCTGCTCATCTGAGATGATGACGAAAGTCGCGCCAGGAACACTGGTCTGGTAGATGGGCCCATGAATGTCTGCCCACTCTTTGAACTTCTTCCACATAGAAAACCTCGGCAGGTCATGGACCCTGCCCACGAGGGGAAATTGCTTTGGCCCAGGAAACTTGGCCTGGGAGACCTTCTTCTTCCTCCATTGTAGAACTTGCTGTATTGCAGATAGGAGGAGGCTTGGTATAGCCAGGTACAGTATGATAACTGGGAGATCAAAAGCCATGGCTGACGACTGGTTGCCGATATAACGGAAGAGAAATTGCGATACCTAGGGAGCGAGAATCAACGCTGAAAAGAGCAGAAAAGAAGAGGTACATATTGAGTGATCGACCGCGCTGCGCAGCCGCTCTACTTATGCGACCTTGTCGGTCCCGAGATCTACAATCGGCAGCACCCAGATAATACTCTGCACGGCGCGTGGACTGAGACAAGACGTCTACCCAGCAGTGTGGTTCCATATCCATTGGGTCCGAACCCCTTTTGGATGGGTGCTGCCTGACCCGGCTGCAGCTTGCGGTGCGGGCAAGGCTTGGGGGAACATGGTCAACACGACTTGCAAGGGTACAGGTCGATGCGGCCGCTTATTTCTCACATAAACCCTTGCACCTACGGGTTGGGTAGGGAGGGATACCACCGAAGGCCGACCCACCGGTCGTTGGAGGAATCGGGTGAAGGATCCCTGGTGGATACTGGGGTCTTGACCCCTGAACATGGCATATCTGCCAATAGCCATTCGAGCCCTCCGTGACTTACACGGCAAGAAGCAACCGGGCTGGATGCTGTGCGTATAGCACAAGGACTGGGCGGCCCAGCCTGTCCGCCTGATCTGTCATATGAGCTTATTGCGGAATTGTCTGTTGTTGGGATGGGGCTTGGTCAACGGAATGTCGAGGCTGGCCTTGACGACGACCAGAATTGCAGGATTTTCCCAGCTGCAGTGGTGATGCGAACCGGAGATCTGGGTATGGTGAGATGGTGGGGATGTCCGTGTCAGCTGAGGGCGTATCCCCATCATGCTCAGCTGCAGGCATTGCGCTGGGCTGCGGTGCCCCAGGTAGAAGGTACCCAGGATCGACACCTCCATCTCGGCCCGTCTGCACACAACTAAGCTTCTATTGTGCAGTCATTCTGAAGGATGACTTGACGTCGGAGCTAGAACGCGCAGAGGTAACGCGGAAAGCTGCGAGCTAGAGCGACGTCAGCGAGCAATCGGATTAACAGAGGCTAATTCCGCGTAACGAAGCGCCAGCTACGAAGCACAGCCTTTGTACCAGTCAGTCTGAGGGCGGCCGCCGCATCAGTGGCAAGGGGCGACAAGCCGAGCCATTGCACGGTATAAGGCATTTCAGGTGACGAAAGACATTCTCCTGGAGTCGCGGGTCATAGTTGGGGCTTAGAGTCAAACAAGCTTCTCGGTCCACCGGCCATCAAAATAGATAGCTCAGCAGTAGACGTTAAGTTGTGGGGCACCAGTCGTATGGCCACAGCAACTATGTTGAATGGAGTAATCCGGCCTCGTTTTCCTTCCTCTAGGTGATTCTGGGCGGAAAGGAACACCCAGCCGTGTCTCGGTCTAAATCAGAGCTAGGGGTGTCATATCCCGAATCGTGCATTAGGGTGCCTCTGCGGCGCCTATTGCAGGGTTCACTGAAAGGTTTATCCCAAGGTGCAGGATGTAGCAAAACCTGGGATTTGAAGACGGGAAATTTGTCGATAGAAACATCAGTGCTATCTTGCGCAACAGCCATGAATGTGCGTGGAATCATACGAGTTCAGGTGTTCCAGCCTTGCAAGTCGTAGCATGCGACTCTGAGCGACGGGTCAGCTCCGTGGTCCGCTCTTTCCGATGTGCATCAACCACGCAATCGTACGGATGAGCGATGGTGGTTGTCCGTCGAAATGTCTGGGATACATCGCCGTCGAGGCGTCATGAATGTCAGACGCCAGCTCGGGACCGAGACGTAGTCAGGTCGCCGTGGCGTGCATGAGCTCTGCAGGCTCGGAGTGCTACGCACCAAATGCACCGGCGATACAAGTTCTGCCGTGCTGGTAGGCACGGGACTATGGATGTCGACCATAGTTTCAACACTTGACCACCTATGACAGCTGCTTTGCCCGATCAGACAGCGTGAGACGCGGCGCCGACGATGGCGGTGTGCTCGTCTTGGTGTCCGGTATTCAGGTACGCCTGCAAGTTGTCTTAGATCAAGCTCGGCGCAGCTTCTTGACAAGCTTCACTTGTGTTGTTGAACGAGCCACAGCCTGTCTGCAAGACGCAAGAGGCTTGGATGCCACAGGATAGATGCGGCGTCAAATGGGCAAAGACATGTAGGACTGGTGTGGGCTCCGGCATCCGCGCTGGGCACGGTACTGGGTGAGCCCACGAGAAACTCCACAAGTGATAGCCATGCTTACGGGCGACCATATGAGAAGATCACCTGTTGAAAGCGTTGGTGATGGTCAGGACTCCTCTACCGCTAGGTTCAGACTGAGAGATGGCGGGCCGTGGGAGTGGTCCCTCGTGTCGCGCGTGTGGAATTTGACGATTGTACGATGGCTGACGCAGAGTTGTGATCAGATGGAGCCTGGCATTTCATCATTGACTAGCATTTCCATCGAGCTTCGAGTATGTCTGGAATGGAACCAATCATACACTAGCTGGGCCAAGCCGTTGACAAAGCCGGCTACAACAGCCTGAGGAAAATGTTGCATCGGTGTGCTTGTTGTCCATTGTTGTCCATGAGTAGGAGAGGAGAGAGCATCCGATGGAGGCTGACAGGGGCAGGCTCATTATGTAAGCCCCCACCCAGAAACCCAGCAGCGGCGCAGAGCTTGGCAAGCTATTGGGCTGCAGTCTGCTTTATTCGTCGACAGATGAGGTCATGCCCCTTCCCCCTCGGTGCCACCAACGGCTGAGGACGACGATCACGATCCCGCGTTCCCCTGCATCGCGTCGCATTGCACCGGCCTGCCTTGGTCCTGCCTTGCCAACAATGTCCTCGTAGGTCTGGCACTGCTTCTGCATCAACCAGCGCCTGTCCCAAGCTGATGTCCCGCCATGGCGAACCCCAGTGCAAACCAGCTGTCGATCCCCTTCCGCAAGTCCAACCACCTGTCGCTCTCGACCGCCATCCGGCAGTACATCTCCAAGAAATATGACCAGCACCCTGACATGTTCCGTCACGACCTCGAGGTTGTCGACGCCCTGCGGAGAGATGCCACCAACGTGCGAGAAGCCCACCCCAGCGGCATCAAGAAGCTGCAGGCCTACGCCGCCCAGCTCGTCTGGATCTCGGGCAAGTTCCCCATCGACATAGGCGCAGACTTCACTTGGTACCCGGCCCTGGGCTACAACACCGAGCGGCCCATAGTGCACAACAACCTCAAGTTCGAGCTCATGAGCATCCTCTTCAACCTCGCCGTCCTCTACTCCCAGCTCGCCCTGGCGTCCAATCGCTCCAACACCGAGGGGCTCAAAACTGCTGCCAATTTCTTCAGCCAGGCTGCTGGCGTCTTCAAGCACATGAAGGATATCGTGCTCCCCGAGCTGCGCATGGCTACTCCACCCGAGGACCTGGACGAGAGCACCCTCGAGTCCCTCATCCAGCTACAGCTGGCCCAGAGCCAGGAGTGCTTCTGGCAGAAGGCCGTCATAGACGGCTACAAAGATGCCTCGATTTCCAAGGTTGCCGCCCGCGTTAGCGACCTTTACAACCTGGCCGGGGAGGCCGCCATGAGTAGCGAGTCCATCAGCAGTTCCTGGATACACCACGTGAGCGCTAAACATCACCACTTCGCTGCCGCCGCCCAGTACCGCGCTGCGTGCGACTGCCTGGAGAAGAGGAAATATGGAGAGGAGGTGGCGCGCCTGACTGACGCAGTTGTGTGTGCGAACGAAGGCCTTAAAGAGGGCAAGGGAGGCTATCTGAGCAAGGCTGTTCTGGATGATCTGAACGGCTTGAAGAGGAGGGTCGAGGACGACTTGAAACGGGCGGAGAAGGACAACGACGTGATATATCTACGTAAGTTTGACGATTATGGGATGCCCTTAGGAACCCCATCGGTTGCTAACAATTATCTCAGACCATGTTCCTGCGAAGACCGAGCTCAAGGTGCTCGAACGAGCCAATATGGCGGTGGCTCGAGTCCCACCACAAGTTGCCAACCCCACGGAATATCTCGGCGACCAGACTGATTTCGGAACCCCTCTCTTCAGCAAGCTGGTGCCTTACTCCGTTCATGTCGCCGTGTCAATCTACGAGGAGAGGAGAGATCGCCTGGTCAATCAGAACATCATACAAGGCCTTGAGGCATTGAACGAGAAGCTTCACGAGATACTATCATCACTAAATCTTCCTGGATCGCTGCAGGCCCTGGAAAAGCCGCTTGGTCTACCCGGTACACTGGTACAGCATGCGGAGGAAATCAGGCAGGCAGATGCATTGAGCAGGGTACAGCGGAGTTTTGCCGACATCGATAAGCTGAGATCAAGTGACCGCGCAATCTTTGATGAAGGAAGGTCTCTTCTTGCCACCGAGGAGGAGGAGGACCAACGGCTGCGGATGAAGTACGGGACCCAGCGCTGGACGAGGCCTTCCAGCAAGGAGGATCCCCAAGGTGCCAAACTCTGGAAGCAGGCGACCGATATTGATGGCTACTTCGGCTCGAGCACATCCAGCGACGCAGTTGTCCGTGAGAAGTGGCTAGTAGTGGAAAGCACGCTCTCTATTCTTGCCGGGTCCGATCGTAGCCTCATGGACGCCATACCGCAGAGTCGCAAGACCGAAATCCACGAGACCGTCAAGCCCGCTCTCGGCCGTCTCCGCGGTGCGTACAACGACATCCAGCGCCTCGAATCCCGAAGGCGTCGCCGCGCCGAAGCTCTCCGCGAGAAGGCCAAGGCCGACGACATCAAGCCGGACATCATGAAAGAAGCAGCAAGGCTAGAGCGCACGTACCCAAACACTCAGATCGTGCCGGCCCACTTTGAAGATTTCTTCGAGAAGAGGCTGGATAGCATGTACGAGGCGGATCTAGCGCAGATCGAGAAGGAGGCCGCGGAGCAGGAGAAGTTCCTGGCGGAAGTGACTCGTGCAAACCGAGAGTTTGAGGCCCAGAAGAAGAGCGCGGGAGACCGAGGCTCAAGAGAGCGGGAGGCCGCGCTGCAGGCGTTGGACAATGCGTATTACAAGTACAAGGAGATAGTCAGCAATGTGGAGGCCGGAAGGAAGTTCTACAACGATCTTAGCAAGATCGCTGGCTCGTTCAGGGACCGATGCAGGGACTGGGTAAGCGAGAGACGGAAAGACTCTCGAGGACTCGAAGAGTAAGTTGCAAATCTTTGGTATCTTCCTCAGACTGGATCAGTCTCCTAACACATCACAGGGACATTGGCATGCCGCCCCTATCCTCGCTCTCTCTGGGCCAGCACCAGCGGGCACCTCAGCCCAGCTACCAAGCCCCTCAGAGCCCTCCCCAGCAGTACTACCAGAATACGCCTGCCCCGATGGCGCCAATGTCACCACCAGTTGAGCCACACATCCAGTCGTGGGCGCGGGACGACAACGCCCAGCCTCCTGAGCAGCCGCAGCCGCGACAGTCGATGCAGCCGCTGCAGGGCATGTGGAATCCTGAGATGGGCATCAAGTTCGCACAGTCGCCCGGGGCAGGCGGTGGTGGTCAGGGAGGACAGGCGGGAGGTGGCGGTGGACCGGTGGGCGGAAAGTGGGAGCCGAATGCCGGGATCCGGTTTGGTTGATGGACAATGTTCTGTGTGAGCTTCTCACACAACACAGCACAGCACAGCGAGCGTTGGCGTACAAGGCGTTGGAATGGTTCCATTCGCATATGTAAAGAAGGGGCGTATCACCCACAGTCGCGGCATGGCATGCTGTAATCCGTATCTGAAAAGAGTAAATCCACAAACGAGCATTCCCGGCACACTACTGTACCTTGCATGTAGATGGTAGCCTTGGCTCAACGGAGCGAGTCCTGAACGCCACCAATGACTCGAAGACTTGGGAAGGATCCCTTCCCGCCCTGAGCTAAGGCCGTCGCCTTTGCGTGTGGTTCGTCGCCGAAGATACGGATGACTCAAGCTACCAGATTGATCAGATTAGCTTGTCAGTTCCGGAATGCTCACACCGCTACCGTGCTCTCGGAAGCGGGTGCGCAATTGCGCAAGGGCGCCGATCCGGCTTCAGGGGGCCGAGCCATAAATCTCGGAGCTGTCGACCGACACCGAGACAAGGTGCTCGCAGTGTCGACGATAACCTCAACAGCAACTGAACACATATATACACTATCCTCGAGGCTCACAAGGAACACCAACCTGTCGTCATTGCTCGCCCCAGAACCCGTCAAAAAGCTCATCACAGACGGCCCCGCCACTCTACGCCTCCGTACAATCCTGGCCCAGACCAAAGAAGGCGGCAAGAAAACAGAAAGAAAACATCATGTCCACATCACCACTCACCTTCCGCAAGGCCACGCCCGCCGACGTCCCCGCGCTGCTGGCGCTCGTCAAGTCGGCGTACCGCGGCGAGGACAGCCGGCAGGGGTGGACGACCGAGGCAGACCTCGTCGCGGACGAGCGCATCGACGAGCCGGGCCTACTCGCCAAGATCACGGCAACCGGGGGCGCCGTCCTGCTGGCCACCACCGCCACCACCTCTGGGCCCGACACCGCCGCCGAGACCCTGCTCGCCTGCTGCGAGGTCCTCCGCCACCCGGCCCCCAGCGACCTGTCGTACTTTGGCCTGTTCGCCGTCAGCCCCAGGCTGCAGAACGGCGGGATCGGGAGGAGGATGCTCGCCGAGGCGGAGAGGTACGCACGACACGACATGGGCGCCGCAAGAATGGAGATGACGGTCGTGTGGCTGCGGGACGAGCTCATCGCGTGGTACGTGCGGCGGGGCTACGTGGTTGTGGAGGGGGAGAAGAGGCCTTTCCCCTATGAGAGCCTCGTGAATGGCAAGGCGTTGAGGGATGACTTGTATTTCCTGGTGTTGCGGAAGGATTTGGTGTAGGCAGGGGGGTGGGATTGTGGCTTATGATGTTTGGGTGGATTGGAATTTGATAGTGGGCTTCTCGGGGGAGCAGCGAGGCGTACTGGGAGACTAGGATCGTATATAGAGATCATGGGGCTTTTGCTTATGGAGCTTTATTATACGAGCTTCTCGGGGAGTTCATGGCATACCTAAGTGGATGCGAGGTGCTGACACATTTCGGATATAGGGTAGGCAGCCCTCAATCATCTCAGAAGCGCAAATTCCCATCCACTCGTGGGAAATGTTCATGGTGAGGCGATTAAGGCCAAATCAGTTGATTCCCGGAGTTGGCTCGAAATTAACCATGTTACACGACTGCGTATGTACTGTAGCCGAAAAGAAGCACATCAATATAGCACCGTCGCTTTGATGACGACCGCCCATCCTGAGGAGCTCTCCCACAGTCCAAAATCGTTTTCTCGCCGGAAAGTGGCCTCCTCCGCCCGTACATCCACCTGTACGCTTCCTAATGAAACTGTCGCAAAACTCTTGTTTTGGACCTTTGGAACTACCGGCTCAACCGGCGATCGAGATTTCCTCGAGAGCCCGAAGAAAGATCGCACTGGAGATTTGCCTTTGATGTCGGGTTGTTCTGGTATTTCTTGCTGCTGCTCCATGACCTCGCGCCGCTGCGCCTCGCTCTTTTCAGACCGCTCTGGAGTCACGATGCCTCGGAGGTCCGAAGCCAGTTGGAGAGCATGCTCTTCATCACGCCACCACAAAAGGTCCGCTTCTGCAGTGTCGTCGCGGATCTGGATCGACTCTCCGTCCTTGGACACCCATCTGAGCTGGCCTGGCGCGGCGATCTGGCTTAACCTGAAAAATGCACTCTGCTCCTCCCTCTCGTTCAGTCCGGCCAGCGTCCACCCCTCGTCACTCGGTGCCGCGTCTTGTGGGACCAGCATCAACTCCATAGAGAGTGACTTGTGTGAGTTCCGGGACCTCTTCATGTTATTGTCCATGGAGAAGTCGAGGAAGAATTCCCTGATAAAGGGCATCATGTGCTGGACGAGAGTATCGTCCTGGCTGAGTTGTTGGCTGGCCTGCGATTGCTGCCTCTCCCGTACCAAGGAAGGCAGTCGGCTGACCAGCTCGTCAATTGGGTCTGTGGCAGGTTTCTCGTTGTACGTTGGCGGTCGAGGTTGTGATCCGCCTGGTACTGTTGCTTCGCTGTACGAAGGCGGAGGGGCTGAGAAGGATGGCTCTCCTTTCCCCTCAGAAGGGTCCCCGTGTATCTTGGGCGACATGTTTGGTGATGATTGCTCTTGGTCTCTATCCTTGAGTTGTTGTGAGGCAGAAACTCGGTTCCATTGCAGATTGGAAGACCCGTGCTCAGAGTGACTAACAGTAGGGAGTTGGTCCTATCCGGGCAGTGAATGTGCGTAGACTGATTTGGGATGCTAGAAATGAGAACATTCCGGCTGCAAGTCTAGTTACTGGAATATGCCCTGGCTGGTCTTCTAGCGTTGGGCTGAGTGAGTGACGATGTTTGAGAGGCGCCGTCAAATGTCAGGTCCCCGCAATGTAATGCCAGCCAAGGAAATGTCAGAGCAGCCAAGGCACGTGGGACCCTGGAGTGAGCCTGACAGCCACGCTAGAGCCGCCATGTCGACCTGGCGTGATTTAAGGACACCAAAGCGGCTTGAGAAGCGTGGCTGTGTTCTCTAAGTGGCAATAGGCCAAAGCAAGAGGAGAATTCCCGCATCCAAGACACACGAAATATCGCAATCTCGAATTGATGTCCCTTTGATCAACGCAAATGTGACCGCAAAATTCTGTGCGCGAGGATTTTGGTGCTCATTTCTTGTGTTCCGTTCGAGTGAACGCCCCTAGCATGAGCCATTATGACGGCGGTGTTTTGTGAGCCGTTTACTCCCGAATTCTGCCAAAATCCTGTATGTTCGGGAAGGATTCGAATGTTTGCACCAATGCATCGGACCTACCGTGATACAAACCGCAAGGCAGCCAGATTCGCGCATCTACTCCGCCCCATTCTATGCGACTCGAGGATCCTTACAATGGGCCGCGGAATAGGCACGGAATATTGCCTGCATTCCTTCAGAATGACTTCATTCTCGGCTCTTCGCTGGTCGAGAAAGGTGCCGACTCTCCCGACTCTCCGGCTTCCTTTGTCTGGCTTAATGTCCTACCATCCGCGGGGCCAGGGATCGTTCGATAAATTCCCTCTTACGGGATGGGCGCACCGGCCGCCAATGTCTGGGGATGACTGCCTCCAGTTCCGGGCACAGAGCCAAATCCGACCGCGTCTCACTAATTAAAATCGCTCTCCTTCTACCATGAGAAATCCACAGCCACACAAAGAGACCGGGCGCAGGTAGTCACCTGAACGGGGCGAAGCTGTCAGACACTGCCTAATTATCCGTTCCGGTTCGGCCCAATGCGGGTCGCGGGCAGGAGCAGGCAAACAAGACCGCCGTGCCAAGGGCCGAATGGCTGGAGGAGCATGGCCATGAGGCAGAAACAAAGGTCAGGTTGTTCCTGCAGCTCACCCAAGAATGGCTTGAGGAGATCTGACGATTATATATACGGCCGCGACCCCCACTCTACTTGAGATAGCATCGTCAATAACAACAGTTGATAAGGCTATTATACCATAATATTAAAACCCTCCTTACATATCAAAAGACAGGCCATTATACTACCTACATCAGGGACACTAGCTTCGTGCCCGGCCAAAGACCGTTTGGATTTAGCATTGTCCAAGCCGATTCCCTACGACTGTATACTTCTAGTGCGTTTCTAGAAGGTATATATATATTCGGTGCTACACCGAGCATCACATTCTTGGACCAAGGGTACTCCAATACAAAATTTCGCCTCACTCATCATCCTCCAGTAGGAAACTCATCCACCTCGCAACGATGGCACCTCTACCTGCATACAGGGTCGCTGCACCAGACGAGTACCTTGCCTTGACGGGCATGGGTATCGACTCGGTCAAGATCTCAAAATCAGCATGGATTTACCCATTCCAACGATGCACCAGGTTCAGGTATGCAAGCATTCGAACGCCGGATTTAGAAAGAGGTCTGATATTCTAACGCACCTGCAGTGTACAACCTCACGATTATGCAATGAACCTGCAGGCTATGACCAAGGAGAAGCTACAGTTCCTTCTCCCGGTCGTGTTCACCGTCGGTCCGGATGTCAATGCGCGAGGCGCAAATGCCAAAGCTGGGGGTAACGCCGGCCGTGGCCACACTCAGGAGGACCGTGGTGACTCCCTCATGAAATATGCCATGCTGCTCACAGACACGAACGCAAAGGGCAAAAACACAACCGCTTTCCTGGAGAACATCGTCAAGGGTATCATTGAGGGAGAGGTCCGAGTCTTGGTGTCGAGCATGACTATGGAAGAAATCTTCACTGAGCGTGAGGAATTCAGTGAGCCTAATCCCCAACGCCACGGATTTGGTGTACCATTTCTAACAAGACGCAGAGCGCCGCATCTTCCGCAACATCCAGAGCGAGCTGGACCAGTTCGGGCTGAAGATCTACAATGCCAACGTCAAAGAGCTGCGCGATGCGCCCAGCTCCAACTACTTCGAGTCGCTCTCCCGCAAGGCCCACGAGGGTGCCATCAACCAGGCGCGTATCGACGTCGCCGACGCCCAGCAGAAGGGATCTGTGGGCGAGGCGGACCGCAAGGGCCGGCAGGAGCGCGAGCTCGCCAAGATCAACGCCGAGACGGCGGTGCAGAAGACGGAGCGGGACGGCGAGCGGGCGCAGGCCGAGGCGAGCCTGGACACGCGCAAGACGACGCTCAAGCGCGACCTGGACATCGCCAAGATCCAGGCGGCGCGCGCGACCGAGTCCCGGGACGCGGAGCTCAAGCGCGAGGTGGAGATCAAGCGCGCCGCGGCCGAGATGGAGCGCCTGCGTGCTGTGGATGTCGTCAAGGCGTCCATCGCCCGCGAGGCCAAGCAGCAGGCCGCCGACGCGCGCGCGTACGAGGTCCAGGTCGACGCCTCCGCCCAGCTGAGCAAGGCGAACCAGGCCACCGACGCCGATGCGTACAAGACGCGCATCGGGGCTGATGCTGCCAACTACGCCGCGCTCAAGGACGCGGAGGCCAAGCTGCAGGTGCAGATGAAGGAGGCCGAGGGTCTGTCCGCGATGGCCTCTGCCTACGGCCAGATGGCGCAGGCATTTGGTGGCCCATCCGGATTGCTTCAGTACATGATGATCGAGAAGGGCACGTACGTCGAGCTGGCGCACGCCAACGCCAACGCCGTCGCCGGCATGCAGCCCAAGATCAGCGTGTGGAACACCGGTTCCCAGGCCGGTGGCGAGGCTGGCTCGTCGAACAGCGTCGACACCATGCGCAGTAAGTATACACAGCAATTCCCACCGAGGCTTCTCCCAGGGTTTATTTGGAGGATGCTGACATTTGTGCATAGATGTCTACCAGATGCTGCCGCCCCTGATGCAGACCATCAACGAGCAGACCGGCATCACTCTTCCCGAGTGGCAATTTGGCCGTCTCAACAACCAGGCAGCAGAGGTTGAGAAGAACAAGGAGATCGCGAAGACCAACGGCCGCCACGATTAAATCCTCACTCTTCCACCTTGACGCTGTCATATGCATACACATCCGAGTCCTTTTCCTTTTCCTTTGTTTCCACGTTATGACCTGAAAGGATGTCTGTGTTTGCAATACCCTGGGAGGATTTAGTGATACGGCGTCTGGAAGGGCTCAAGTGGCGTTATCTGAAACCTCATTTTTGATACCTTAGACGCGAGTTTCGGCTCATGGACAGAACGGGGAGTATGTCGTCAGAAGCAGACCTTCTCACGGACTGCTTATTGTTGGGGCAGACTCCCAAAACACGGTCTCTACGGTGGGCAAGGGGTAATTGCCATCTAGCTTTTCTATGTATGACAAGATAGTGTTTCATTATGTATTATACTTTCAAATTATGTATTCTCTGCTACAGTCATCAATACTATACCCACATGTTATATTTGCAGTAAGAACATAACACATTACCGCGATTCATTCTTGTTTGTGGTCTCATTATAACACCCAGCTAAAAGTGTGTCGACTGTCTCCTAGGTCATGACATCAAAGCCGAGCTCCTGGGCTTGGAATACTAGCGCCTTCATTAATAGCAAAGCTCGCATGTTCATTTCGTGCCCGTTATTGATTTCCCGGTGACTGAATGTAGCAGAAGGCTCTGGATGTGATCACTGTGCTGCGGCCGATCTGGAGGTGATTTCATATATCAGAAGTGATGTTTTGGGGTATTGAAAATCTGATTGTTGCCAAAATGTGGCTGTGATCCCTCTACGGAGCTGTCAATGTGCCTCAACTATTCACCATCGCATGCTATCTCTGAGCTTTCCGATATTCGGTCTTTCGAGCCTCAAATTTCAGTGCTATTGCAGCAGGAAGACGAGCATATCACGTCAACTCAACTCTTGCCACTACGCAGGATGGAAGTCGTCATCGTTGTCTTGAAGTGGTTTCCTCCACTGTACACAACCGTGAAAGTGAAAATGACGATCACAGCTACCTTGGACTTCGAAGGAAGGGGCCAGGCAGGGTGTCTGGGAATACGTTCTCACATGAAAGGCTCAGGGCAGCCAACGGGCCGGTGAAAATCAGGCCTCATCGCATAAAACCCTAGTGTAGACGCCATTCCATTCTCAAGTCGAGCGGCAACACGCCGTCGCCGGTCATAGAGTCTCCACTTAGTTGAGTGTTTTCACTTCTTCAATGGTCATCGCAGCAAGTGACGATATCCATTCTGGCATGGGTGGCTTCCGACTGGCTGGGGATTGGGACGATGAAGATTCTAAGCGTAGCGGGACGCAACTTGTGAAGATAAAAGGTTAGCCTCTTGCCACGAGTTTCTTCTACACCGGCGAACACGATCGTCCTCAGGTTAGGCATTAGCGCCGCGGACAATAGTGCGTTTGTTTCCCCGGGAGGCTTCTCCATGTGCCGAGGACAAGAAGCACGGGAAACGGTACCAAGAACGGTAGTTTCGGCGGGAGATATTCGTGACCAATCCCGCCGCCTTGGTGCCGACATGGAGAGCTGGACTGCTCGCGCTATTCTCGCCGACGGCCTCGGTCAGCCTCAGCCTCGACGGGCTTTCAGCCCAAAAAAAGGCCCCCGGCGGCAGCCCACGTAGAACGTCATCGTGGGGGTGCTAGACGCTGTCCATGTGCCGAATGATTCAAACATTAGACTCGGGAAGAATCCAAAATCGGACTCGCGCGACGTGTGATGGGCAGCATCACGACGGTGTTTGGTCACCGGCAGGTAGTCTTGGAGGGAGTAGTGCCGGAGACAAGGCATGACTGTGTCCCAGCGAGAAGTGTGAAAATTACGCTGCCACCAATCCAATCCTTGGCTTTTGAAAGTCCTAGGAGTTACCTTGAGGATCGCAGGGCACTCATTCGCCAACCGCGGTGACGGGTCGTGAAGGTGTGGTCAACGACTGGGTGGTGAGAATGAAACCCATCGGGTCGGTAGTCACACTAGATTTGGTTTCGACAGAACTTGTTCGGTGACCAAAGAATGGGATGTTGCAAGCATAATAAACGGGATTTGAAAACGGCTACCAAATCCGGCGTGGAGGGTATTGGCGACGAGGTTGTTGGTGGGTTGGAACTGGATGGGTTGCCAGAAACACGGCCAAGGCACTGCAACAGCTGCATTTCTGTCAAAAAGGAGTCTGACCGTCGGAAGGACGGGACAAGACTCGCCCGAACAAGAGCCAATGTCGCTCCAAGCTCCCTCGTCCAGTTCTCGGGACGGGTGACATCTTATCTACCAGGCAGCGTCATCCCGATTCTCTCTGTTCCAGAAACCTTCAGATGAAATTCGCTTACAGCCAACAATCCATCCGCTATGGGTCCCTGGCGGCCAATGGTGCAGGCGTCGTGAGGGAGCGATGCGGGGTCGGCCGGTGAGGAGGATCGCGGAACGTCAGGGGAGCCGCGAGCTGGACGTTTTATCTGGTGTTTGGGGCGCCCACTCTGCGGTATCATCTCTGGGCAAAAGCCACCCATCCCAACTTGGGGCCTGCCGTTCGCGCTTCGACGTCTCGGCCCCAATGGATTGCTCCACCAGCCAGAAGTCGTGGATTCCATCCCGTCAAACCAAACGACTCAGTGCGAGGAACCAACGTCTCTACTATAGGGTTTGATCGCTGCCGGGGTTCGATGTCTAGCACTACTCTGACAGCTTGTCGCTACTACGCCATCATGTGGGGGGGGGGGGCCAGGGGACGGGGATCGAGGGAGATCTTCGGCTCCTGAACAAGCTTAAATCTACCACGATGCCAATGGCGGGGTGTCTGGTCGCCTGGGTCAGCCAAATAAGATGGCCCGACGGCCCTCGTCCTGGTCCTGCCTCCCGCTCCCGTCGATCTCGGTGGCCCTCAACCGAGAAACCACTCGTTGTAGATCGTCTACCCGGTGTGATCAGCTGTGCTAGTGAGTGAGTGGTGCTCGTGAGGACCCGTCCATGGCTCGCCGCCTGTCACTATGGCTGTCTCCATCACGGCGCCTCTCGCACCCCTGACCACCATCTTCACGCCGCCCTGCCCCATCTCGTGGCTCCTGACCTCCTCCAAGAACCCTTCACAGTTCCCTCCCTTCCCGACCACGGGGCCGGCATCGTGCGATCCTCCCAGATGGGCTACAAATATTGCAGACAGGGGCTTCCAGTACTACTCGCCGGCAATATGTCCGAGTGGGTTCGAGGTTGGGGAGGGGTGCGAGGTCACAGAGACGAGGACGGCCGAGGGCTTCCCTGCTGTCGAGCCAGAGGAGACGGCCGCTTACTGCGTCCCCAGGTGAGCACGGAACCTTTTTGTTTGCACGCTTCAACACCGCGCCCCGGGCTGCCTTGTCTGACTGAGCGGCCTCTACGCAGTGGCTTCACATGCACGACGGACACCACGGACTTCCGGGGCGGTGTCTGGGGAGCGACAAAAGAGGAAGGCTCCCCTCTCTTCACTGCTGGACCGGCCTTGCAGATTCGGTTCCAGGAGTCTGACCTGTCTTTCCTCGAGACTCACCCCTTAACTCCGGGCCTGACGCTGGCCGGCCTTCCTGCACAAGCATCAGTTGCGGCTTCAGCAAGGGCGGGTCCAGGAGACTCGATAGCGACGACGGCGACCTTTGGTCAGTTCACAACAATCCCAACGCCCACACCACCTCCAGTCATACCAGGGACACCGTCACCGTCTCTCACCGGGACAGGTAGGGCATCTCCATCAGCTCTTCCGTCCAACATGACTAGTCCCTCAGACCCAACAAGTACTGCTACCACTATCCCCTCCAACGAGAAGACTGCAGACAGCAAGGGTCAAAACTCAACCAGCATCGCTGCCATAGTCCTTTCGACTTTGCTGTCTATCTTTGCAGTGGCATTCACAGTCTATGTTTGCCTCAAGGGACGACGCAGGAGATTCTGGACAGTTTCTAGGGGCAGTCGCAAGGGTTTAATGCCAGTGGGCGTCGGGGTATGGATCGGGACAAGGGGCAGCGACGAGAGCGACGAGGAAGTGGCATGCGAGCGGCCCATGAACCATACACGGGTCAGCACACCAGATACACCGGCACTGAGCGTGGTATGGGAGACAAGATCTGGCGCGCCTCAGATACCAAGGTCGATCATATCACGCGGATGCAGTCCACCGGAGGTAGAAGGAGGCATCAGGATCCCCATCTTCGGGCTAGGGGAATACCGGCGCACACGGGTAAAAGTTCCCGGGGCCGCGCTAGACGACAGCCCGGAGGGAGGCACGCCCTCGAGGCACGGGAGCTGGGTGTCGAGGGTGTCGAGGATGCTGTCCAGGGCGGCGCGGTCCTCGACCACGAGCCGGTCCTCGTCGCGCTCGAGGTCCCGCTCCGCGTGGACGACGCGCAGGCCAGCGTCCGAGGAGTGGGAGCACTTCTTCCAGGGCAGAGGCCCCGGCGGTCTTACTGTCCCCAACCTCACGTACTCGCGGCCGTCTTCTACGGCCTCCACGTCGTCCTATCCGGACGACCGCAAGGACTTGTTCGACCTCGAGGAATCGGCGAGGCGGCTCCCCGAGATCCGCAGTTTCGACAGGCTGAGCGAGGGCACGTTCGGCCTGCGCGGGCGGTCGAGCGACAGGAGCGCAAAGAGGAAATCCTGAGCACTCACACTCACTCACTCACTCAATGCGTCTGTGCGCTTGTGCGCGCTCCAACCACCACCCAACTCGGCCAGTCCCGAGTCATGATTCGATGATATACCCTTCAATGTAACTACTTGTTGTTTTGAAACGTTTTCCGTGACTGACCCGGTCCCCTGTTGGGGCCTCCCTCGCCCACGCCGGATGACACCCAGCCCGGATGGCTGTGCACGCCGGCAATTGTTTCCTGCCTCCCACTGGAACTTGCTGCTACGTAAGCACGGGTGGGACCGTCTTCGTCCTTCTGGAATCATTGCCGTCTACATCTCTCGAGACAAAACAACCCCGGGTAAATAGTCTTCCCCGGGGAATCTGTAAATCATGTGGCGGTGGTGCAGGTGTTGCCTACCCAGGCTCATCAGAGTATCAGTGCTGCAGGTATCCTGCGCTTCAAACATCTCCCTATGTTACACTGTTTGAAGAAACTATATGAGACCCTGTCTTATACCAAAGATTTCCTGATCAGGCCGACAGACACAACTGCCCATTCTGGGTCGGATAGTACTCAAGCTGGCCAGCAACGTGCCAGTCCTCACTCCCCACCGCAGTCGGCGCGTAGAACAGCCCCCAAGGGTCATACCTCTGCTTCAGCTCGTACAGGTACCCGTAGTTGCCCCCGTAGAAGGCCTGCTGCCAGTCCGGCTCGTTGACGTCCGCCTCGTTCATGTACGCCCCGGCGCCCGGGCTGGCGTCCCTCCACGGCTGCAGCAGCTCGACCAGGCCCTTGCTCGCCGCGGCGATGTCCTCGGCGGTCGCGGTGGTGTTGAAGGTCGCGGCCGTCATGGCGTGGAAGAGCGTGTTGCGCCACGCGGGCGTCACCGCGTTGGTCTGGTTGACCCTGGGGTTGTCCGCGGGCTTGAAGTTGTACCCGATCATCAGGCCGTTGACCTCTACCGCGCGGCGGATCGCGCTGGACTGTTTCGACAGGGTATCTGGGTCGTCCCAGTTGGACCGCGGGAAGAGCCGCGACGCGGTGTGGGCGTTCCAGGTTCCAACGCCCTCGGCGGAGTCGGGGAACGTTGTTGTGAAGGCGTCTAGGAGCCCTGGGTACTCGGCGTAGGTGACGTTATCGGGCTGTATCCCGAGCCTGTTGAGCTCTTCGAAGAGTGGTTGGTTCAGTGGCCGGAGATTAGCTGCCGACAAGTTGTTGGCCCATTGTGGCAGCATCAGGAATGTACATGTCTCCTTGTCAGGGCAGATTATGTACCAATAACTGTACAGTCCTGCATCTGCGTTGGTCGGGAAAGTTGCCCAGAAGGCATCCACTCCAGACCAAAATGTTTCAACGTCGATTCCTTGACTGGTACCGAACGAGTAGGTGACTGTTGTGACCGGCTGCTTAGGATATGCAGCAATGGCGATAGAAGTCACAATTCCGTATGTGCTACCGCCGCCTCCCCGGAGGGCGAAGAAGAGATCAGGGTTGTGTTCTGAGTCGACATGAACAAATCGCCCATTCGGTAACACAACCTCCAAGGACAGGATTTGATCAGCAGCCATGCCATACAGACCCATCAAGGGGGAGTGACCACCCGCGGCAGAGTACCCTCCAGCCAAACCCACAGTCTATAAGATAACTAGTCAGTCAACTTGTCCACGGTTTCAAACGCGAGGGCAACCGAGAAGCTTACACGGGCGATCCCTCCCACGACTTGCAGGTCCAATGCGTCAGCAGCCTCGTACACTTGTATCGCCTCTACACCAGCGCCGACCTTGAAGGCGGGCCCGGTGTGTCCAGTGCCGTAGCTGTATTCCCCCCCGAGGTAAACGACGTCCTGCAGATATGTGGTCCATACGGTAAGGGCTCCAGCACCAGTAGATTTGGCGTTGAAGTCGTGTCCTTTGTTCTTCACAACAAGACGCAGCTTGAGGTTCCTGGCAAAATTGACCGCGAGCTGGATCTTTTCTACATCAGTGGCGTTCATGACATACGATGGAAGCCCTCCAAGGGTGCAGGTTGCATCTGGTCTCGTGAAATTGGGCGGTAGGCAGGACAGGCCTTCAAGAAGGGGCCAGTCTATTCCAGTTGGATCATAAGACCTATTAGGTCGTTAGCACGGATTGAACGTATGCAAATATGATGAGAGGGTTTGTGACAGCTGAAGCAATATGCGTACTGGAACTTGGGCGAACCCCATTTTCCTGTGACGGAAGCACAATCCCCAGCATCATATTGTGGCCAGTCTTCATAACACACAGCAGCAGATGGCTCGCCCTTGATTAGAGCTCCCTTGGTCAAACTCGCAAGAAGCGACCACTGATCTTGAGGTGGCCAATGACTCTCGCCTGGAAACGCCTTGCAGCCCGTCTCAGAGACAACACTTGGACCGGCAGAGCTGGCATCTCCAAAGTTGAAAATACTCGCATCATCCGGATACAGATCATTCAAGTTAGCGATCGTGCTATCGTTGAGCTGTATAGTCTCAAATGGCAGTAGGGAGGTCTCTGGACCGCCTTCGCCTTGCTGCGTCCCTGCAGTTGCTATTTCCTACTCAGCGTTCCAAGCATGGTAATTTGGAAATAAAAAGACCAGTACGAAGATCCCCACCTGTGGACTGTTCATTCCTTGTTATAGTGTTTGCGACGGCGAGGATGCCCAGGGGCCAAGCTGCGAGAACGAGCAACATACTGTCTGTCGTTCATGAAATAATGTGCCGGCTCTTAAAAGAGCACAGTGACTGAAGTGACGATATAAGTGAGATCCAAGCATCAGACTACACCGCTGGGGACCAACCCAGCGGAAAGAATGGATTTATAAATCACGAACATGCACATGCGACTAGGTAGGCCAGGAACCTCAGTCCATCATTACCGGCGCGGGGAATATCCACACCTGGTCAGCTTGCAGCTGTGGCGCACGAATGACGATGGAGCATGCGCCAGGCCGTCCACTCGCTGAATAGTCAAAATCGCCTGCTGAATCCTGGGCGTTGTTCCCCAAGTTTGGTAGCGAATGAGCTTGGCCGATGCAATGCAGTGCCTCAGCCGAGGCAATCAGCTCTCTCTTCCGTTGCGGTGACCCTGGAAAACAGCCCCCATAGATTCTATCAGTTTTGGACTACTTCTGTATGAGACTGGCTGGACTGGTTGGCTACCTGGCAATAGAACAGGTCGGTGAGGGGCCCTGACAGGGGTCGAGGTGACCAACATGGCCTGAATATGCACCTCGATCAAATTCCCTGCTATTTAATACAGCAAGCATTTATTAAAAGCTCGGTGGCGCTCGAGAGCTTTGCGTGGACGGCCCGAAGTGCCATTGTTCTTCGCTCCCATGATCGCCATGCATATGGTCAGACAAGGGCGGGCGTACTGCTTTATCACACCTGCACTATGATCATTTGATATTGTGGCACTCATTGGTCTACCCACGGATGAAGGAGGAGCTGAAGAAGGGGGGTCACATGCTTGCTATTATCAGTTGTACTTGGACACATATTTGGAATCCGTAGACTATACCTTGACACAGTACGTCCTAACACCGAACGTGTATGCAATGACACATCTACTACCGTAGCAAGAACAGAAAAATGTCAATTCCAACACAGCTGGGGACAGTCTTAGATGGGAAAGCTATCTGCTGAAGTAGAAACATACCTAACTTCAGGTCAAGACTCCCTTGCCTTACATCTTGGACGTGCATGATCCCGGTGCTGGCCAAGAATCCGCGCAAATAACAATTTACATATAAATGAAATTGCTCCTAGGTAATTCCAATATCATGAGGATATATCAGGCCGAGAAGGCTTCGTGACACTGCAACAAGCCCGCCCGTCACCCAATCAATGCTCCCAGGCCATAATCAAGAGTTTTGCGCATGATTTACTGGTGGTTGGGTCAGTCGACGCACGTGTCACCACCCATGAATAGAACTTGCCAGTCACACGGCGATGCTATACCTGGCCAAGTTGATGCCAGGTACCAAGATGAAGCTAGCCTGATCGAAATAAATCCGTCCACGCGGTCAAGAGAGCATTTCAAGGCAGCAGTAACCACTAGTTGCAAGCAGGTACAAGGAATTGTACACGTGCGTGTGCAGTCCGAAGAGAGCTTGCCGTGGCTTCCAATGTTTCCAACAAAGACAAGCACAGCCGTACCAAGGAGACACGGGTTGGCATCTTTGTGATACCTAGGTAACCAAATAACCGCAACCGGCAGCCAGTAGCCAAGATATTACCGCGCAAATGCTGCAATGCAAAAAGGCTGCATCTCTCGTTTTCGAATTCATGTAGTCTAATTCTACACATAGCGACAAGCAATCTGCTGTCATGCTCACACCGTCTGCTTATCGTATCACCTGTGCGACGCAACGCAACGCCAACAAAGTCTAGTAGATTATTAAGTCCCCATCATCCAAAGCCTGGCCGTCAGCGGCCGTCTGGATGATGATCAGTATGTCCAAGAGCGCATAGCCGGGATGGCGGCTGACGGTGGTTCAGATGGCTGAGGCTCGCCATGTTCCCATTCCGACTCTTTCGCGTACTTCAGACACGAGGCAGCATGTGACTCCAAGGCATGCATCTCAATAAATTGAACGGACAAGTCCTAGCCGCGACCGACCCGTCGCCTCTTGACAGTCCCACTGGTGCTCTCAGCATCGCGGTCCGTGTGATGCTCCTCGCCATCCTCGCCCAGGTCCTCACCAGCAGCAGCGAGAGAAGCAGGCGTATCGGCCGACGAGGCAGCCGTGAACGCAGCCCAGCGGGCCAGCCGATCACTTGCAGGCACAGCCCCGGGCGGCAACGGCGCCAGTGAAACTCCGGGCTGCGCCTCAGTAGAGCGCAGCTCCATGAGCAGCTTGTCGACCTCCGCGAACATGGCCTGGGTGTCGTTGACAACGCTATTCTCGTCAACGGCGTATCCGAGAAAACTTGGGTCGGCCCCTCCAGCGCCATGACCGCCCTGGCCGTGGTCGTTGGCTCCCTTGCCGCCTCGCCCACTGCCCTTCATGAAGGCAGTGCCTGGCCCTCGGTGCGGGTCTAGGTTGTACATGATGGCGTTGGAGAACATGTGCACCAGCTCGCGCTCGAGTTGTGAGCTGTTGATGATGCCACGGGGCGGCACGAGCTCTTCGCTGATGGGTAGCCAGACGCTACTGGTGCCTTGTTCGCCTTCAGGGAGGGCGGCAGCAGCGACTGCTGCGGCTTTGTTCCCTGCCGTGATCGCCGCCCTGATTGATTTCAGATCTGTAGGACTAAGCACAATCGTCTTGTAACCCGGGGCGTCTCGTTCACGAATAGGATGAGAAAACATATTTGCGTGCTTGTGGCCGGAAATTTGGTCTAGAGTGGAGACACTAACTCGGGGGAAGCCGCGAGTCCATAGCACATGAGTTGGAATACCTGGAGGAGGCGGAGGGACGCGAGGTCGATTCTCCGACGCTGCACGATGGTCAGATGCCAACGACTCCTGACGCTTGCGCTTGCCAGCAACTCTCGAGGCTCTAGGCGAGGTCAACTGGCGTCGGCCTGATACACTCTCATCTGCGGTGGTATCACCAGTCTCTTCCAGCGGCTTCGGCGTTGCTTCCTCACGCTTAACCTTGGTTGCAGATTCCGCGTCCGCTTCATCGGCTACCTCGCGCGTCGGTACGACAGAAGGTGTTCGTCTTTGGCGAGAAGGCTCGCGAGTCTCGAGCCCACGCTGCGCACTGTGGGGAGTGCTGGATGACTTCTTACCAGCTGGCACGTCGTCGTCGGTCTTGGCCTTCGTGGGCGATGTTTGAGCGGCGGAGTTCGAGAGTCGGTCCGTATGTAAGATAGGGCTGAGAGGCTCGAACGCAGGACTTGCCAAATCGCCGATGCCAGGCCCTGGAGTAGAGGGTGTTGGCTGGGCTGCCGTCCATCTAGTACCGCTGCCAGCCGCATTGCGGAAGGCAAAGGGTACTGTGGTTGGAGTGTGCGGTAGAACAGGATGAGGACGCCGCTGCGAAGGGCCTGGCGTACCAACAGGCTGTGGCAAGACGTGCTGTGGCACACTAGCCCGGACAGGCTGGGGATGTGGAGTGCTGTACGTTGGCACCTGTGATGTGGATGGAGCTTGAGGCATCACCGGCACTTGCCCTTGTGGAGCCCCTACGGGATGTGGTTGAGCCGTAGCTGGTGGTCTCTGCCATTGCTGTGGCTGGACATTGGCAGGCGAACGAGGTGGCGGGGTTGCTGATGGACCGGGCGCGATGCGATTTGTATGGGGAAGAGGTTGCGGTGGTTGGAAGACCTGTTGAGTATGCTGATATGGCGACTGCGGAAGGTGTGTGTGGCCAGGTAGTGGGGAATGCGCCTGGGGGAACCGTTGTTGCTGCAATGGGACTGGGGATCCCGAGTGTGATCTTATAGGCGCTGGGTGCAGCTGAGGGGGCGGTTGACCAGCTGATTGTGGTGGTGCAACAAGGATTTGCCGTGGTCCTGGCGGCCCTTGCTGCTGCCCTTGTTGCTGCGCGTTCTGCTGCCCGTAGCCTTGTTGGACTGGCTGTAGTGGTGATTGGGGAGGATATTGCAGGTGCTGCTGCTGCTGCGGTTGCTGTTGTGGGTTCCATTGCTGCAGGCGTTGCTGGCCGGGCTGCGGAGAGAACTGTGCATTGTTTGGAGGCGGTCTCTGATGTTGAGGGAGAGAATACGGCTGATAAGGGGGTTCCCATTTGAGCGATCCAGGCACGGGTACCTGAGTGGGTGGTGGTTGAGACGGATGCCTGGGCTTCTGGGTGTTGTCCGGCCTCTGTAGAACGTCCGAAGAGGGTGGTACGGCGGGTGATGGCTGCCCAGGGTGAGGCGAGAATGTGGGAAGCCCCTGCGGTGGTTGCAAGACCGGCGGAGGAGCACTAGGTGGCCTGGGGGACGCCTGAGGTCCAGATGTTTGGGGAAATTGTCCTGCCTGTGTTGCTACTGGGGGTTGGACGAAGGACTGAGGTGGTGTTGGCGCTCCAGCCGGCCGGACCGAGGGGATCTGTTGGGGAGGTGGTTGATGAACATTGTGGTTCGGAGCGGCACTTGAGACCGGAGTTGGTGGTTGTGTGGGCGGACCGGTGGTACCATTAGTTTGACGGGCAGCCTGTTGCGCATCACCGGTGGGCGCAACACTTGGTGGACGACTTGGCAACCCTGCTGGTGGGTTGAGAGGCGCATTCGGGGTGGCACTGGCACTCTTGCGCAACTTGTCCGCTTCGACTTCCTGCTGCTTCTTCTGCTGCGACTGTATCTCTTGGATCTCGGCCTCCAGCTTGCCTATCTCTTCCTGTTGTTCCCACAGCTGCTGCGCTGTCCTCTGCTTGTACTTGTCCCATAGCTTGGCCTCGGCATCCGGTAGCCTATGGGCATGCTGTCGAGCTTCGTGTAGATTCGTCAACTGAGGAGTCGTGCCTGGGCGTTTGCGCTTCTTGCTGTTTGGCGACAGCGTGGCATCGGCGGGAGTCGCATCTTGTTGTTGGTGGTGAGTTGCCTCATTCTTCAGCTCGTCCTGCAGTAACTGCAGGAAGAGCTCTTGGAGCGAGTCGGGATTTAATCGCGAGGCATCATAAGTGGGGTCCTCCTTGATGGAGTCGTTGTTGATGAGATCGCGCGAGAGCCTGGGAAAGGCGGCAGCTTCGAAGGCCTCGGCTCCTGTCTTTCGAATCCAGGTGAACAACAGTAGCAATTCGAGAGGGGTGTAGGATGTCGCGTTAATCATCCCCCAAGTCGGTCCTCCTCGCCAGCCACCGAGGGGAGAGTCTCGCCGCTGCAGTAGATGGATGGGCGCCACGGTCTACGCGCGCGAACCTTGCGCGTGATTAGCAGACGCAGGCAAACGCAGCGCGATTGGGTCGCTTTCCAGCGGACCAGCGCACCGGTGGATGGGGAAAGGACATACGAAGACTGCGGTATGGCAATTGGAAACAGTCTTGATGGCTATTAAGATGATGTCATCGGTTGCGGTGTGGATATTGACGCCGTTCTTGTCCGCGAGGTAGAGAATAGAGGCTGTTCGCGATCTGTTTTTTCTCTGGCACGTGACAGTCGCGCTCGACTCGCTGGCGTCCGCTAGCTTTGCTAGAGTGCCCGGTGGAAGGGGGCCGGCTGCATGATGGACTTGGTTTGTCGATAAGATAAGACCGGCGCCGACCTCGGCTTACCACCCAGGGAGATACTACAAGTAGCCAGGCTATGATCTCCAGACACTCACTCTAAGAGTCTACTTTCCGAGCGCATCTGCCACTTGTGATTCGTACAAGAGGCAATACTGGTCTACAATCATGTAGATATTGTGGGCAGGCCCTCCTTTTGACAAATCTTTCGAGGCTCAGAAGCTGTCGGAACCCAGTTGATCTTGACTTGGACTTGGCCGAAGCTTTTGACCGTCAATAAATAACATCGCAGTGCTCGCTCATCGGCGCAGCAAAGTTCCAACACTAATTATATCCTCCTTGGTAGGAACATAGGAATGCACCGAGACGGATGCCATCCCAATCGACCAATAGTCCACAAGGAGCAGCATCTGTCTGATCCAGCGGCACATCGTTCTAACGCAGCCAGCTCAGGGCATTTAACTTACCCTGGTACACCAAGTGGTTAGCAAGGAAAGTTATCGAGTCTACCTCCTAGTATTTTCTTGAAAGTGTTGAACCATCTGCATGGCCAGACATGGGGCTGCTTGTCCCCTTCAAAAGGAAGCGTTGAAGCTGACAGCCAGATACCCGACACTTTGAAGCCACGTGCGGGCATCCGGACCTCTGGTTCACTGTCCGGGAAAAGGGGCCCTGTGTGCACCAGTGTGCCTCACAGCAGCGCCACAATCTTGTAAGATGCAACACGTGCGAGTGAGTATTCGTGGCCGGATCCAGGACTCCAGGATTTAGAATATCATATACGGGGACGGCTATGTTTTCATCGTGGACTAAAATCTCCATCGGTTGCGATGTGCTGCCGCTCGTCAAGGTAGTTCCGTCCTCACTGAGATATCCAGCTTGCACCACAGAATGACGAACCGTCCCTCAGAGCACTTTCACATTCCTGGCGAGGACGAGGAGACCGAGGAGCAGATCGCCTACGAGAGGGAGATCCTAGCACAGCACTACCACGAGGATGCAGACCAAGAAGCCGCCAATGAACATACTTCAGAGCGGTCCCTCAGTCGCGGCCTTAGGCATTCCAAGAAGGGCAGCAGCAGCGGGTCGGGTCTTCGGACTCAGCTCAAGGGCTTCGTCAGGGACCTGAAAGCCACCTCGCAGTCGGCGGCAAGGCTCGCCTCCCTGGAGTCAAGGCTGACCAAGGAGTTGGACGATCCCGCCCGCTTCCCTGAGATTGCCCGCCAGGCCGTTGTCAGGAAGGGCCTAGATCTCTGTCCCAGAGAGACAGCGTACGTCGCTGCGCGCAGGGCGAGGATCAGGGAGAAATTCGCCAGGTACATGGGCTTGGATGCGACGCAAGTGCACGCTGATGACATTCCCACTGTTGCCTTTGGCGGCTCCGGGGGCGGCTACCGCGCCATGTTGGCATTCCTGGGATACTCGCTCGCGATGAAGGAGGCCGGCATGTGGGATCTTCTTACCTATGTCGCGGGGGTGTCGGGTTCTTGTAAGTGACGCGCTCCCTGGTCGAGCCTGAGCATGAGCAGCAAAACCAACTCTTAAGCAGGTTGGGCGATTGCCGCGTACTATACCTTCGGAGAGGCAGACATGGAAAGGGTCATCGACCACTGCAAGAAGAGGCTTGCGCCGCACCACCCTCTGTCGCCCGACGCAGTCAAGAAGCTGCTGAGCTCACCCAAGGGCCATTACGAAACCCTCGGTCCGTTGGTCCAGAAGAGCAAGAGTGGCCTACACACTGTACCCATGGATTTGTACGCCGTGTTCACTACCGGGTACCTTTTCATGCAGGAAGACCCGATGATCAACCCGATGGGCACCGCTGCCTCCGAGGTGGCTGGTTACCACCAGGCGTGGTGGAAGTGGACGGATGCGAAACGCCATCTTGAGGATGGCGCGGAGCCTCTCCCCATCCTGACAGCCATCAGGCACGAGCGCCCATGGAAAGACTGGGTTGACGAGCACTACCCATTCGGGAACCAGGACCCAAGGAGCGAGGAGCACCAGGACGCCTCAGACGCTTGGTGGCAGTGGTTTGAAATATCGCCCTACGAAATCGGGTGCGACGAGCTCGAGGCGTGGTGCCCAACCTGGGGCTTCGGTCGCCAATTCGAAGATGGCAGGTCGGTCCGCGGTCTCCCGGAGCAGAGCCTCGCCTTGCTCCTGGGCCTGTGTACCAGCGCACCGGCTGGGCCTCTATCGAGCTACCTCGCGACCGTGCAGAGGAACCTGCCCCAGAACTTCCTCGGCGACGCAATCAACAACCTGGCGTCGGGCGTGGCGGCCATGTGGGGGAAGCAGGACACTGCCGTCTTTACCAACCATCACCCCCTACACGCATCGAACGAGCACAACTTCTTGTATCACCTCACGCCGACCCCGCCGGGATCGTCGCGGACGCCAGGGATAGAAAACTCGCCGAGGATTCACCTTCTTGACAGCGGAATGGATAATAATTGCCCAACGGTAGGACTTTCCAAGCGACGAATATAACCCCGAGGTTCAACATGCTGACCGCAGTCCAAAGTACGTGATGCTCCACCCTTCGCGCAAGACAGACGTGATCCTCAACATGGACGCCTCCTCCGATGTGCAGAAAGACTCCTTCCAGCAGCGAGTAAGCCAAATCGGCCTGCGCCGTGGCCTGGACTTCCGCAAGCGCCGCCCCAACCTCAAGCCGCCGCCTCCTCCCGACAGCCCAGAAGCCAGCGACCCGGACCGCTTCCAGGGCCTGTACGCACAGATCTACGACGGCGCCCGCACCAGCGGCGAGCGGCCGGCCACCGTAGTGGACTCGTACGGCCAGACCGTTGCTAACCCGCCGGCACCGGCAGCAGAGCAGGACTGCACGATGGTGTACCTGCCGCTGCTGCCGAACGAGAGGGCGGTGCCGGGCTACGACCCCAGCACGGCCAAATTCTCCGGGAGCTATAACCTCGTGTGGACGCCGGAGCAGGTCGAGATGATCATCAGGACCAGCGTGGCCAATTTCCAGGCCGGGCAGGACACGGTCAGGGAGGCACTGTTTGATGCATGGCAAAGGAAGAAAGCGACGCGTGAGGCCGGCGAGAGGGCTGCAGGGGCTGTATCATCGTAGCGAGGTGGACAAAGAGGCATGTCGTGCCCCGTACCTCATCCGTGTCTGTACCTCTTCCTGTCTCGCTTCCGTGTGATGAACTTCCTGCTGTGCTCTGTTGGGAAAATCATGCGCCAGAGGGGGCCCCAGGTCGCCGACTGCTACACGACGTCGACGGTGTGTGCCGCGATGCCGATCGAGTCGCCCAGCCCTATTGCACCGTAGTGTATTTACTTCCTGCCCACAGAAGATATCCGGAGAGGCCCGCTTATGTAGGAGCGCCCGAGGGTGGAATCTCCCCCATTGTAGGCTCCTCACAGTAGCATGTGCTGATCTTGATAAACGGGGGCCGCAAAAGGGGTCGTGCACGCAATGCAACGAAATGCGCAAGAAATGAACGTGGAATTAAGAGCGGGTCTGTGCCAAATGACGGGCTGCAAGTGTCGTGGGGCTCTTCCTTCAATCCTACACTGCAGGAAATCAACCCCTCCATCATTAGAGAAAATCAAGACTGGGTGAATTGTTGTGTTCAGCTGACGTTGCCTGTCTGTACGGATACCCCGTCTGAGATGTTGTATGGCGGGGGATTGCAAGGATGGCTGTCTGCGGGTAGGCTGGCATAGGTGACCGGGCGTCTACTTGCGAGCGTTGCCAGTGAGCCGCTCGACGGTGTCGTTGGTCGTTCGATTAGGTTGCATCGCGAAGAAGCCGTACCAAAATATTCGATAGTACACCGTCAGCTTTCTGGATTGTAGGCGAGCTGGGCCCACCTGGCGGTGGACTCCTGGACCTACAAGTAGACCAGGTAGTGGGATTTGAACGGTACACTTATTAAGGTCTCCAAGCCGCCCAGGATCATGTTGGATGACCTCCTGTGGGTAACATTTGTCGAGACGGGGCGCGCACTGTACATAGATATCGGGTGTAATTGATGGCCTGCCGCCGCATCCTGCCTGTTTAACATTTCCCCATGGCAACCCTTGATTGGGGCCAGGAAATCAAAGCCGATCTGTCCAGACTATTGTCGTCCTGGTTCGTCTGGGGAAAAGTAGACGCGATCCAAACTTGGAGCCATCGACATGGGGTAGCCGAGGCGGATAAAAAAAAATTGGTTGAAACAGGGGGGGAGGCTGTAGGGTGGCGGTGGGACGTCATGGTCAATCAAGATCACCAGGGACTCGAGGCTGATGCGATGCGATGCGACGATGTGCCAATGCGTGCGGGCTGAATGGGGGCATGGGCAGTAGGTACGCTGAGATCAAGTCAGCTCAGCTCAGCTCAGCTCATGCAATCGCTGGGCTCGATTTGGCTCGAACCGACTCGAGCGGATGAGACTCGATGATACTCGATGACACTTGGCTTGGCCCTGGTTGGGGTTCTTGACCAGGTCCGCGGCGGTTGGGTGCATGAACTCAGCCCAATTAACTGTCCATGCCCATGCCCAATCTGGAGTTTGATTTGGCTCATTCCAGCGTCGAGCTGCTGCGCCGTGAGAGGCTTTTTTGTTTCAGGCCAGATGGACGGGCTGGACTGGCTGGTCGAGCTGGCCAGGCCAGGCCAGGAGTGGCGATTGAGTTGATCATCTGCACCTGGTCCAGCCAGCCAAGTCAGTTGGTCCGTTCGTCAGTCAGTGGGAGGAGGTCAGTCGGCCATCTATTCGAAGCTTCATGGTCCTCGTGGTGGGGTCGGAACAAGATGACCGTCAGCATGTGCCTGGCTGGCCTCAAGGGTCGATGGACGCTGGCACTTTTGTAGTAGGTAGTCTTTTGTCAAGGCTGCTTCTGCTTCTGCATCTGCCCCTCCCTCTGCTTGTGACACTGTAGACGGCCCAAGAGAGTAACAACAAAGTGACTTGACTCGACTGGACCCCGACTCGGATAGACCCCTGATATGCTGCAGGTGGCCTAGTGGCGGGTGCCCAAAATGCCCAAGCCCAAGTGCCTGGGTTCCAATCCAAGGTTGAATGATTAGGAGGCGGACCAGAAGATGATCAAGTGCTGGAATCATCCCTCGGCCCAATGGTAGGGCGCTGCAGAGCGCTCGAGGACAGGGACAAGGGAGGGTGCGGACCCTCTTTCTCTCTGGCACTGCAGCTGCATTAGAGTGGCACCGGGCTCCGACCACTGGATGATTGCCGCCGCGTTGTAGCCTCCAAGGTTCCCCCTTTTACTCTACGGCCGTCTTACATCTAAATCTAACTGTCCCCGATCCTCGCTCGCCCTCCGTGACCTTGCCCCCATCCCATCTCACCCACCCTTTGCGACAGGACCTCCTCAGTCAAGCCAACCCTCGCGAGCTTCGCATAGACTACATTGCAGAGCAGGCACAAACGCCATTTGCCATCTACCATCTCAACGCAACGATTCGTCGCAAACCATCAGTCGGAATGGCCTCGTCATCGCCCACCGCCAACCCTCCCCAGCCCGCCAACAACGACAACACCATTTCCAACACCGCCGCCACCATGGCCGACACTGGCTTCACAGACGAGTCCCTCGACCGGGACTGGAAGCCCAATGGCCGCCGACCAGTCGTACGTCTCTCTTCGCTCCCCCATCCTGCAGCCATTGCGCACCGACCCTTTAAGCCACCTTCTCCGTTCAGATAACTAACAATGGAGTCCTCCAGCACAATCGCTCGCTCCTTCTCGGCCGAACTGGCCGACATCTTCCGCCTCGACGAGAGCGTGGCTGACCTCGATGCCAAGATCGATGAGCGGTGTGTAACCCCCTTGCCAACGCCATGACGACCTCTGCACTTCGTCCCTGCACTTCGTGCCACCTGTTCCTCCTCCCTAACCGCCGCCGAGACTGCTGCCCCCTCAATCCGGAGAACAAAGGGCGCAATAGCTGACATGGCCGTATTCGCCCACCACAGAAAGCAGGTTGTTCAGAACCGAGCCTCCGAACTCGAGGCGCTCGAGCAACGCATCAAAGACATGGAGGCCCGGCTCAAGCGCAACGCCGCAAACCCCGCCCCTCAGCCCAAAGTCCCTCACCTCCAGCCCGTCACACAGCAGACGCAAGACCAGAAACACGGGGGTTCCCGACCAGGCACAGCCAGGGCGAGCCAGCAGGCGGTCCCGGGGGCCCTGCCGCCGACACCGACGGCTAGTGAAGGTGAATACGAGATTCTTGATGACCCTTATACTACATCCTTTGGCCCAGAGTACCCCCGATTCCGTCACCCACACCTGGTGCCGCGCATGACGAGTGCGAATGGCACTGGCGGCAATGTTCTGCACCAGGCACAGCAGCTCCGTAGCCAGCACTACCAGAATGTCCAGCTCAGTCCCACAGCCACTCTTATTAATACCAGCCAGCACCACCCCAATATAAATAAGAACCCAAGCTCCGACGCGAGATCAATCAGGAGCGTTCGAACCATCGGCTCCGAGAACGGAAGTGCTGACTTTATAATTGTGCCCGGTCCAGATGGCGACGAGAAATACTAAGCTAAACACCTCTCCGACCTGAGGCGCGGTGAACAAGAGACGGATGGGCCGAGGAGATCTGGACCGACCTGGCCTCACCTTGCGGAACGAATTGGACAAGACATCTTACCAGCCATCGCGAGAGTCCACCCCCGAGAGAAGACTGGCCGTACTGCCACGGGAACCCCAAACGCTCGACCGGCCGTCTCCCAGAGGAACCAGCTCAATCCGTCACTTCGAAGCGCGCCTATCCATGAATTGACCGACAAGTCTCCATTATAGACGATGGGCCCCAAATCCGCAGGCTGCCTACTCACTTTAGTATGCGCAAGGCCCATCACCACAAGCCACCATTCGTTTTTTCAACGTTGGGGATCAGAAGATCCCATATCATTGCGTAGCCATTTGTACTTTTCCGGATCCCCGTCCCTAAACCATCCCCTCCGCCGTGCCACGGGCATCTGATCGCGGCGAGAGCGAAGATCCAAGGCGACGGGTTCCATTCTATGTCTTCGTTGAATCAGGATTTCTCACAGCATTTTCGACACCAGTTTAAGGGAGGCAGGCCGCTGCGACCGGCGGGCAGAGGAGGAGGGAAGAGGCAGGGAAATGAGAGGAAATAGTTAGATGAAATGTCTGATGACCACGATGGATGTGATAGGACCATAGGAAGGGAGGTATCGTCTGCACTGTCACTTTTCTCCCTGTTACCCGACACGGCAGACCGAAGGAAAGACGAGGGGACAGGGAGGCTGGCAGCAGGGACGGCTGGCCAGCGTGCAGTTGCCAGCAGGGATAAATGTACATTACCGATCGTGTTCTCAGCATGGGGGGCAGGCTTCTAATGTGCATGTTCTTGAATACCTCGAGCGTGGTCCGGTCCCTTGTGTGAGGCTCGTTACGGCGAAGAAGATCTGAGGAGTCAGGGGAGACAGCACGCCGATTCCTATCCTCATTTCGCCGGATTTGATGGTCAGAGGACTACGGTGGGAACGCAGGGCGGAGGCAAATGGTTCCAGAACACTGCGAGGATGAGGTCGAGGATGAGGACGAGGACGACGAAGATATGCCCGGCCGATTCCGAAGCTTTGACAGGCCATACTCACGATGCGATTAAGGACTCGCAGGATGATTGCAAAAATGGACATGAACATTTCGACTATCTCGAGTGCCATTAAACAGTCCCAAAGCTTTCTATGCCACGGATCACCACCACTCCAGCATTACCTCCATGGATCTCCTCCCCTGTTCCCCCAAAATTGAAAGTCAGCGCATGAACGCAGCAAGAATACAGAAGTGATGGCCTCGTCAGAATGAACACGATATCCCATGAAATTCCTCCCTGGGCCCCTCGCAATTCGACCGTGCACGGGAATGAGTCAATATCAGGGTTTGAACCGCCAAAGGATAGTGGATGCTTCGACCATGTCTTCGCCGCGAAATTCCTTCCAAAGATCAACATGGGATGCCGGATGAGTTTTGCCAGAAGGAAGGTGCAATGTGACGCAGAATCAGGACTGGAGGTGCTTGCGGGCGAAACCGACGGACTCCTTGGCGATGTTGAAGTCGACATAGACGGCCTTGAGGACGACATCACCCATGATGGTGACGCCTATGTCAGAGGACTGAAGACCACCATAGCACCACTCGTTACTCATGGTCCCGCCCACAGTCTCCGAGTAATTCATGTACCGGCCAGGCACAGTGAATTCGGACCAGGTCTCGACGAAACCAAAGTGGAAGTCGGGCAGGGTCTCGTTGCACAGGAACACATAGCCGTACTCGCTGAATGAGTACTTTGCGCTCGGTACAAGGCTCCAGTAGTCTTCGACAATATCGTCAGAGCCCATCAGCATCAGCGAGGTGCCGGTGTCGACGATGGTTGGCCATGCGTGGACCAACGTCTCGTTGCTGTCCGCATACCGAATAGTGGACAGCTGAACTTGCCAGTAGCCCTTGCCCGGCATGACGGGCTGGTAGTGCATCTCGCCGAGATATGCGGAAGTGTTGGCCCTCCCAAAAGTGAAGGTACCCTTGTTGTGATATTCTAGGTCGACGCCGATGGAGTCGATACCCTGGGCCTTGAGCTGGCTGATTATGCCGTAGGTCTCCTCGTCCTTTGCATGACTATCGTCGGCAGTAATCGTAGTGGAGAGATTGATAGCCAGACCCATGAGACCTGATAGAAACGCATCATAGTCGATGAGGCTGCTACTATAGTGAGTTGCGATCTCAATGGTAGCATTCTTGACCGTGAGGTTGCCCAGCTCGACGTTATCAGTGACAACGTTGCCACCAGCGAAGGTACCATCACCTAAGAGCCATCAGAAACAGTCCCTGTGAGGGCAAAATGGTTCAGAGAACATACCATAGGTTATGGTCCAACTTCGACCGTCTTGGTGTCGAACAGTGGAGGACGAATTCATATCAAAGATGCTCCGGTTTCCAAGGGAACCGGGGTATTGAGATGACTCAGGGGTGAAGACCCAGCTACGCAAAGAAGGTAATCAGTATTGGGCCAGGAGCAAAATGTCTGCTTTAAGGTGTTGCTGTTGGCAAACTCACAGGTCCGCAGAACCGGTATCAAGGTCCAAGTTGAGAGTCTGGCCAGGAGTGCCAATCTTGACGGGACACAGCCACTCACGGTCGTTTTCCTCGTTGAAACCTACTATCTCGCCCACTAGGAATTGTTAGTTGTGTCATGTTGGGATTTTGAAGGATCAGGAAAAATACTGACAGGGGTCAGATGAGTTGGCATCGGAAGGGCTTGTAGCCTTGTTGACACCATCTTTGTCGGCCAGATGGGCATACTTGGCTATGGCCCTGAGGTAGGCAGCAGTGCCGTTGCGGCCCTTGAAACCACGGTTGGGAATGGTGTCCAAGGTGAAGGTGCCAACGGAGGGAACAAGACAGAGGACAGTCGAGACCAAGAGGGAAAGACACATGCAGATGAACTGCATGTTGTGGGTGGTTGAGACCTGCATCTGGATTTCTGGAAATCAACAAGTAGATGCTAAAGGGGCGTATTGGGCTGGCAAAGTGGCTAGAGTCCAACTGCGAGGACAGTGAGGTTAGGTCAGTGGCTTCTTTCAAGAGCAGACTGTTGCAGATTATTCCAGACTGAGGGCAGGAGATTGCAAGGTGTATTTGATGAAAGGGACAAGTTGGTTGAGGGCACAGTCACTGGCAGGTGACAGTCTCGGGGGTGGCAAACAAAGGCTTGAAATTGCCACGCAAAAGGATATGCAACTTTGAAGATTGGGTAGATGCGCTTGTGTCTTGTCACCTGGCAGAGGCAAGGAGAGGATGGGTGGGAGGACATGCAGCAAGATGGGTGTGGCATGGGGACAAATGGGAACATACATCGTTAGGTTTGCCACTTGAGGGTCGACGTCCAGAGAGAATGGTTGGCTTGATCCTGGAGGAGGCGAGAGAAGGAAGATGTCGGCAGACAGATGGTTCAAAGAAGGTGGTGATGGGCGGTGGGAGGTTGATAAGGCGAATTGGTAGGTGAAGGTTAGTGAGGATCAGAAAAGGTAAAGCCAGGCAATCACTGACAAGTGTAACACCCGTTTGGGAGACGTTGTCCTTGGAAGGCCAGAAGGTAGAGGTGGTCTGTCCACTTCAATCTGTTTGGAGCAAACTCCAAACCAGAGCACCTGCCATGCCAACGTTTTCGTTCCCTCCTGCTCTGTCCTCATTGGGACGAGTCTAGACCACATTTCTCTCCTACCATACCTGACCCTCGCATCCAGACCTAGCTTGGGCAATGGAGCCTGGAATTGACAGCCTCCTGCTGGACTCCGTCACTCGAGAGAACGAAGAGGTATACAGCCCACAAGCTTACGTCCTGCCGTGATAATGCAGCTTGCCAGACTGCCCGAATCGGAAAGATCAGGCTCAATGGAAAGGGGTTGTGTGACTGCCAATCTTGAGCTCCACCACACAACACACATGCACCACACAAGGTGAAGTCATACGAGGCCCATGACACACAGTACACAACGCCCGCCTGGCACGGAATTTTTGTACATCTGATTCGAAATATGATCCTGCAGTCACTCATGTACTATTTGATGCTCGTGAGGTCCATTGTGCACCCTCTACTGTTTTTCCTCTGCAGTCAAAGAGAACAACGATGGTCACTTCACTCCAGGCTTATCCGAGCCCTGGTCCATCTCCGAGCATTCTTGAGCCTCGAGTTCGATTTTTTATGACTCTCTTGGATCAAATCGCTTCCTTCATAATGTTCTTCCCGAAGGATGGCTACTGCACATGAAGAAGGCCACATTGTGATCGGTCTCTATGTGTTTGAAACAAAACAACAGCACACTTGTGTACCAATCCTTGGCTTCATAGCCACCCGAATTGCCCGAGTTACACGAGTCGCATGTCACAGTGGGACAAAAAGCTGTCAGGTCCCATTGGGTACCGTTGATATGGGTTGAGAGAAAATGGGACTGTGCTCCCGTTAGGTGCCGGGGACTCTCTTCTGAGGAAGCGGCTCCTGTTGCCATGGCTGTATTTTCGAGCCCACAAGCATTCTTCTCACGTGGGTGGACCTTCAAGGTTTTCCCAGCTGATATCATCCAATAATAGGCCCCAACACGGGCAATATTCACTGTCCACTGCTGTGGTTCACTCAGGAGTAACCGAATTGATGTGACTAACTCTTTCTGGCTGAGGCCCAACTTGGTCTACCATACTATGGGACTGACCAATAAAGACTATTGGTAATAGAAAGCACTTGTCAAGGCAGGAAGGCATGGGAGCTGCTGTTTCAAGCCGATGTGACAAGACTTGAGCTATGGTGGAAGTCTCTCTTGAATCCTTCTCATGCTCAAAGAGGCGTTGTCAGATTTATGATGTATTTCTCGAGGACAGGGCATCGGAGGGTACGGGATCGAAATACTGGCTCTCTGAGGAACTCATCAGCAGGGGAGAACCGAGGAGAACCCACCCCGTGAGAAAACGTTAGCAAAGCCTGCCGTGTAGAAATCACGAGTGTGGAAGGTCAAACACGGCCCAAGCAAGCGACTGTGCGTTAATGACGGACATATCAACGGCCTAGTAGCTGGGAAAGCAAAAGAAAAAAAAATAGTCATTCCCGCGTTTGCTCCCCGTCCACAGCCACGTGTAAGCAGTGTCGACAACGGCCCAGACAGTTGAGCGACCTGCGCCATGCCACGGCCAGCCGGTAGCTGGCACCTGGGACGCACGAGTTTGTCATTGCACAAACGTCTTAAGCTAAAGAGGAGGAGACTTTTAGATGGACGTATATAGGGAGAGAAAGCAGCAATCATTCTTGTACAGATCAGCACTCATGGGAGGTAACGCGGTAAGTACTCCGCATGGCTCGGTCGGTCGCTTGCATTGGCAGTGCCGTCTGGGCACGAGATGTGGCTGGCTCCCCGGAAACACGAACCGAGGGCTCGCTTGAGCTCGCCCTGACTTCGGCGCGTACAGGATGACAGGATACACATAGCTTTGGCCTATGGGTGGCCGACCATACTCCTAATCGAGCATTGCACCCTAAACGGCGGCAGGCCTACGACCAGTCGTGGCAGTGGGCCAGAGGATGTTTGCCTTTAGCTCGAAAACACTTTTCCAAATGTTGAACAACGCCCATGGCCACGGGTGGTCTACGGATGGTCTACATCGAAAACATGCTCGTGCTGTATGTCCAGGGATTATCAAACCAGGAAGTGAAACTCCATTGACATCTAAATGCAGTGCCTGAGCTGGGGGCATATAACTGCTACCGCCGCTCACAGCTCATCCCGCTTATGCTCGTCGCTATCCTTCGTCTTCTCCTCACTGCCCGTCTCCTCGTTCTTCTCCGCCGCCTCTCTTGCAGCAGCCTCCTCTGTGAACTTCTTGATCATCGCCTCGAGTTCCTCATCGCTTGGCATCTGGCCGTCCTTGCCGATCTCGATCGTCTGCTCGGAGCCCGCGGACGCCTTGGACTTGGTCGCCTTGGGCTTCTTGGACTTAGAGCTAGACTTCTTGTTCTTCTTGAAGTTGTTCACGCTCTTCAGGGCCAGGTCCTGACCCGCCTTGTCAAGCTTCTCGCGCCACTCCTTGAGGGACTTGACTGTCAGGACAGGGTCATCCGTAGCACCGAGCTTCTCTTGAGCGGGCTCCTTCTTCTCAAGCCACGCCGTGATCTTGGCGAAAAGGTCCTCAGTCTCTTTCAGGTCCTCCAGAGTGTATAGTGGAGGTACTGGGCCGCGATCCTTGACGACGTCCTCCATGGTGGGAGACTTGGTGGTTGACGTAGTCGAGTCGTCTTCCAGGTCCGCGAAATCGTCGGATGGCGCGGCTGTAACGGTAGAAGATTCAGATGAAGCGGTGGCCGATGCTGATTGTGACGATGTCCAGGCCTCTGCCTCAGCAATTTTCTGCTTGATATCCTTCACAAACTCATCCGTCTGCTTGAGCGCTTTCTTAAGGCCCTCCAGAAGCTTCGGCCGTTCGGTAGACTCCTCAATGCGGTTCTGGATGGGAGTTACGATGTCCTGCAACCCCTTGATTCGCTTCTTCAGCTCATCTTTAGAGGCGTCCGCGCCGTCACCGTAAAGCCAGTCACTAGCTTCACTGCCCTTCTGTTCAAGCGCTTTCCGCTCCTTATCAGTGGACGCGGCGATAAAGGACTCGCTGTCGAGCAGGTCCCGGATTTTGTATGTGAAGCCCTCGAGCTGATTCAAGGCTTCTTCGCGCTGCCGACGGAGTTTGTCGGATTGCTCAAAGGCCTTCAGGCGGTCCTTGGACTGGAGAACATCAAGCTTGTCGAGTTGGGCACTGCCTGACTTCTCCAGTTCGAATTTGACGGGGACGGTGACAATCTTCTTGGTCTTCTTGCCTTCTTTGGCCTCAGCGGCCTCGGTGGTCATTTCCGAAGAGGCAGTTGAGCTGGTGGATGATGTAGACTCCGTGGTATCGGTCGATGTGGTCGAGCTGGAAGACTCGGCAGACTCCGTGGAGGCATCCTCCGTAGATTCGGAAGACTCGCCGTCGGCAAGGGGTTTCTGCTCATCCTTCTTCCCAAATCCGAACATGTTCTTAACTCCATCAATCAAGCTCTCTTTCTCCATAACCTCGGCCTCACACTCCACGTAGGCCTGAGTAACCTCGACCTCGCCGTTTTCGCCGGAGAGGCGCACACCAAACTTGAATTGGACGTCACTAGGCTCGCAAGAATACTTCTCCTTCATAGAAGCCACAGTCTCGGTCAGATTCTTGGTGTTGAAGGTCTTGGTGGCCTTCTCCTCGACACCCGGCGTAACATCAGCGGCTAGGGCAGGGGTCTCCTGGTAGAACTCGACAGAGAAGTCATCCTTGTTGTTGAAGGTGACCTCCTTTGCCGTTGCACCGAGGTGGGAGGTGGTGGTCCAGAGACGCTGGTGACGAGCCTTGCCCTTGTCATCCACCCATTTGATACCAGCGGGATAGGCTGCACCTTCAGAAATCCGGATCTCCTTGACGCGGAAGCTGGGGCTGAGCTCGGCTGCGCGCAGACCGGCACCAAAGACGGCCGATTCATCCGAGTTGACGTTGGTGCGAATCTTGTCGCCGGTGCCAAATACCTTCTCAAGCTCCTTCTGCACGAAGGGCGTTCTCGTAGCTCCACCGTGGAGAATGACCGAGTCGAGGTCCCCAACCTTTAGGCCAGCCATGTCGAGGGCGCCCTGGATTGCAGCACCAACTCTGGAGGCGTGCGCCTCGGCCAAAGCCTCGAAGTCTGCACGTGTGATCTTGTACTTGAAGTCGACGTCCTCGTACAGACCCTCGAAGCTAGACTGACTGTTCTGATTGGCGCTGAGGATATGTCGCAGTCGCTCGGCGTCCTTGGACAGCTTCGCTACGGCTCTGCCGTGTGCCTTGACACCTTCGACTGTTGCTCCGACCTTTTTGGCGCCGGATGTCTGGACAAACTTCTCAACCATGTCGTCCACGATGACGGCGTTCAGGGCGTCGCCTCCGAGGGATCGATCCCACCCGCTGCCCAGAACAAGGACCTCTTGGACCGTCTTGTTGAACTTGCCGATATCCTTGACAGTGCGACCCTGCATCTTAAGGATGGTCGCCTTGGTGGAGCCCGCGCCCATGTCGAAGACCATGTGGTGCTCCGGCTTCCCACCCTCGTTGATGTTGGGGAATGTCCGGCTCGACGCATAGTTCACACCAACGGCCAGCCCGTCACTGATCAGGGACAGCGTCTTCAGGCCGGCTAGCTCAACGGCCGTCTCGACAGCTCGCTTTTCTTCGATGGTGTAGAATGCCGGAACGGTGAGGACGACGGAGCGGACGGAGGTGCCAGAGCCCGCCATGTTCTCGGCATTCTTCTGGATGCTCTGCAGCTCCATGGCTAGCAGCTCCTCTACCAGCCACGCCTGCTCCTCGGGTGTGAATGCATCCTTGCTCTTGAACGCGGCAGTGTTCTTGACCTTGTGGCTCTCGAGCTGCAGGGCAGGGTGCCGGGCGGCGTACTCTTGGACAGCGGGGCTGTCGACGGGGAGGCCGAGGATGGTCTTGAGGTTCGGGTAGACATCGCCGGGGAAACGGGCGGACAGGGCAACGGCGTCAGAGCCGTAGAGGCGTTCGGGAAATTCGCCCTTCTTTGCGCCACCTTGTGGGGGCTTGAAAGTGACAGCCGAGATCTCTTTTCGTCGCGAGTCCTTGGTAAGGACAATATCCAGAGGAATTCCAGGCTTGACCAGGGCAGCTTTGATATATTCCGTGCCCAGGTCGATACCTAGCACTGCCGATGCAGCATAGACATGCGCTGTGAAAAGGAACACTGCACAGAGGACCATGCGCAGCGGCGACAACACTATTGTCGCCATGGTGGGCGAGCTCTTGGTGGGGGTTGTCAAGCCCAAGCCACGAGATCTTGTGTGTTTATAGCTTGTTGGATGGGTTTTCTGACTCGACGCCTCTTTAAATGAGTGTGACGGTAGCGGGTAGAGCGAAGAGAGGAGGGGGAGCTGACGGGGTAGAAAGGAAAGCGAACTCAAGGAGGAGGCAATCCCTTTTGTGTTGAAGCCCGGTGAAGTGCATGTGGGAATCTGGCCTTTCCATCGACGAACATGATGGAAAGCTCCCCCAGAGGACAACTTTCTGGAGTACCCCTGTAACAGCGATCCTTGGCGCTCACCGGTACCTGCAGGCGCATATTGGGCGCAAGAGTACTTCACTGATAAGATAGCAGGCGGCAGCTGTTAGGTGTCCACTTCCGTCTTGTAGCCCACCAGGGCTGATCCCAGCTGATATTAGCGCCTCTCCGGTGCGCTGTACCGTGGCCGGTTAATGACCTCAGCCGTCAATCGGGACGAGCCTCGACGGTGACTGTGGAGCTCTTGTATGTAATTGTTAATACTGAATTGCTCAACAGTGCAATCGAAAGAGTGAAAATCATATGTCTCACATAATGCCAATGCATTTCTGGTTTGCTAAGCGGAGCGGCATTGACTTGTCAACTCTCTGGAACTTCCAACACAGCACTGTGACTGTTTCTATACTTGTAGCTTTCGTTTGCATGATCTCATCTCTTCCTACTAAGTTGGGAATACCAATGCAACGAATGTTATGCAGGGCAAAAGATGAACTCCTGACCTCTGGTCTCCAGTTCTTGCTAATAATTTCGGCCAGAAATCCGAGTCCGCTTGAATATCAAACAGTTACCACCTTCTGAAGGAGATCCGAGGTCTGCTGTTATCTTTCGATACCATTCTTCCTTGGTTTAATGACTGATAAAAGGCATTATTCCACTATGTACTACAATGCAGCGGCGTGTTTCGAGTTTGCTGGCCTTAATCAATCATTTACTTTCTGTGGTAGGCACTGGGAAGCGATCGATAATGACCATGCCAGTCATCTGCGCTTCATACGAACGTGCAGGACACTGTCTTGTGTTCACACATCTTCCCTGGCGGGGGTTGTGGCCGAGCTCATTTCCTAGCATCAGGGCCAACTGGTCAAGGAAGTCAACCACAGCCTACTCTGCTGCAAGCCTGGCAGAGGTTTGAGCCGGGGTCGAAGACAATCTCAGGGTACCAGGGTTGTGACTGGCCGACGGGAACGGGCGGTATGCAGGAGCCCAGAGAAACTGATGCTCACATTTTGGAAGCAAACAAAAAGCAAGACTCTCTCCTCATTGAGCCCCTCCAGACGTCTTCCGTTTTTCTACCAAAAGGTCGTGTCCTTCATCACGCGCAAATGTGCAATTGTTGCCAAACTCTACGTACAAGCCTACGTTTGATATATTGCCTTCATGGAAGTAGATCGCCGAACGGCGTCACCCGATTTTGCGGCAGGTGAGGCTCAATTCTTCCGGGCGCTGAGGGCAGCGTTCTTGGATATACAGGCGCAATGTGAGAACGAGAAAGTCTCCAACCAGCGCTCATTCGAACGAAACCAGCAAGCTATCCAACAACGCATTCATGACTTAGAGTTTAAGTGCTCTGATCTAGCGAGGAGGAAGCGCGAACTAGAAGATGCAGAGAGAAAAGCGGCTTTGGAGCTTCAGCGAAAGCGGTATGAAGAGATCCAGGGCCAGAAAGCGCATCACGAATTGGAGGAGAGGCGGCGGAGAAAATTCTCTGCGCTCCTGGGAGGTGATTCTGCGACCAATTTAAGAATCGTTCTGGTATGCTTCTTCGGAATGAAACCGTCTATTACGCAGCTTCTGGCTAAAACTTAGCAGGCTCCCCGTCTTCACCAAGATCACCGGCAGTCTCTTGCGGCCGAGACTGGTCAATTATCAGAGAGAGGCCCGAGTTTACTTCAGAGCCGCAACGGTCAGGAAATCATTGGAGATGTGTCCAGTCTGGGCGACGGGCAGTATTCATTGTCTGAGGGCTTAGATACCTGCATGGCCGACGAAGCACAGCGACATGTCGTGGAGTTAGTGAGCGACGCAGCCCTCTCGCCGGCTCAGAACTCAGCCGAAGAACAAGTTTCGCATGAGCAGTCATCGGAAGCAGTTCGAGGCACAGTTGTTGCAGATGTGAGTATCTGTTCTCGGAACCAGTATCCCTATTCCTTCACTGTCCAAGTTCAAGCCCACGTATTTACTCCGAATTTTGGTAGGAAATTCACCAGGTCGATCAATGCCACCAGGCACCTGACACGACGGAGGTCCGGCAAGGAAAGCGCAAGCGATTCCCAACAGCCAAAGCCCAGGCTCTGGGACTTGGTGGCAACCAGTCGGATCGCATCACCACTGATTTCAACAAGCGTAGAGCCTTGACACCTCGTCAGGCTGAGTCAAGTCCTGACAGCCGGATGGAACGTCAAGAGGTAAGTGCCATTCTGAAAAGGCTAAAGCAATAATCCCATGTGCTGAAAATCAGATTCCAGGACCGGGCGCCAGAAAGGCAGCCGCAGCCCTCGAAACTTTCGGTCATAGAAACCGCTCGACATGTCAACAACGAAGGAGGCCAAGCTCGAAGTGAACCCAGTGAGATATTTGTACACGACAACATTCGTGATGCACCGATAGCCACTGCTTCTCCCGATCTATCAACAGAAGTTCAGGTTGCCAGCTCAGATGCGATTGCAGAACAGAAAGGTGTTGCAACTTCCACAGAACAAATGCCCGATGGCCGTACAACCAGGCCTCAATGCAGCACTGCGGGCCGAGACAGTATTGGGCAACTCGCAGAAAATCACCACCGAAGCGAAGAGAGGGACGACAACCAGTCGCAACCCATCACAAGGGTGACAGGGAACGCATCAGCTCAACTGCCACGCTGTTTCTCGAGATGTGAGCCGGCGCCGCCTGGCGTTCTCCACACCAACGCCGGTCACAAAGAGCCAGGGAATGACAGATCCCCTCAAGGAAATGAATTCGAGAGTCTTGGTTTTGGCGTGATTAATGTTGCAGACATAGGGCTGACGTTCCCAAAGATGTCACAGGCTTCTGGGAATACCAAGTACTCTCGCCCGCTCACGAACACAGTCAATGCCGGCAACCCAACGCTGATAGAATCGGCATCTAGGACTCTAGAGGCTCAGAATCTCGCAGCGGCTGGAAGCTCTCAGAAGCTGGTGTCGATTGCCAGGCCAGCCTGGGATAGCTGGCAGGTCACGGGGCCAGACAGAGTCCAAACCAGTCTCGAAAATGTGTCACAGCCGTCAGGATCTAGTACCTCGCCACTAACAGAACTCTCTCTCACAAGCACAGAAGGGTCCACGCAAGCAGGAAGCGCAAGCTCCAGCCATAGTGCAACTGTTCGGCCCAAAGGGCCTTCTGCCCTCAGACCCTTGACCTCCGGCCAGCTACAACGAGACAGCCGAAAGACACTTCAGGATTTCGAGGGCGAATTTTTCAAGACGGCGAGAAAGTCTTGCATGTCTCCTGCCCCTGCGAGAGACACGGCAAGAGATGGGAGCTCATCTCGCTGGCTTCCGGCAAACAGAAGCGCAAGTGGAAGCGAATGGGCCAGGTCCTCTTCCGTCAGGGAAACCCAAGGACCTCTGCCGGAGCCGGTGTGCCTGAATTGCAGGAAGAAGAAGAGGAGATGCGACAGGAAGAGACCGCGCTGTGAGTGGTTATCTACCCGCAGAGACTTTGCTCATTGCTGACCCTGTCAGGTGGAAATTGTTTGAGGCAGGATGATGAATGCGTGCCGGTTGGAAGTCAATGACTCTTCTCCAATTGACATCAGCCGGTCAAGTGCAGGTCTTTAATTTAAGAGCGAAGGAAATGGTATGTCTGTTTGTTTTTCTTCAGGTCTTACGGTCAAAATCCGGGCAAAGACAAACTCGGTCTGAGTCCATATGCAGTGTGTTAATGAGTCGGCACTCACCATCTTTCCATGTCTTTGACTTGGCAGAAACTGTAATAGAGCAAATGGAAAGTTAGATGATTTTGAGGAGAGAGCTCAAGGCATTCACTGAAGCATAGGTAGTTAATTACCTGTTGCAGTTCCAAGCCGATATGGGTAGGTATTTTCCCTGAATATCCCAGTGCCTCTTCAACATGGTATTATTTGATCCAAGAGCCAGCATGGCTTTCACTTCCTTTTTTGCATGCCATTTCAACGGCGCACTTCAATTCAGCGCTATCATATCCAAATATCCGAGAAGTCTGGAACCGATGTGATGATGTTTTCGAGAAGGCAGCAGCGTAGTAGGTTCCAAAAAGCCATTGGAGATCATAAATTGTCATGGCACATCTGTCATATCAAATGAACCGGTCTCTCCCACCACAGTGTCTGTGACGTTGGTTGCACCGACGCATGTCGACAGGCACGGTATCCACTCCGATGGCGTGCTTCGGGCTCGGCCGTCCATCGCCGACCTGCCCAACGGAAACAGATTAACACAAGCCGGAACAAGACCTAAATGGTGCGAGGAGTTCTGGAGGCAACGGAACTGATGATGGAAATGTCAACCGAACTGTCCAAGGCCTTCCAGCGCGAGCTCGCTAACGCGAGCCGGGGCTTCATCGCGCCCTTGGTCCCGGGCATCATCAAAGACGCCGCGGGCAAGACCGTCTGGGACATTGACAGCTACAAGTTCCTCGGCACCGACACAAAATGTCCGCCAACGGTCAACAAGAAGCTCTGGAGACAGGGTCAGCTGACCGCCAAGCAAGGGCTGTTCGAGGTTGTGCCGGGGATATATCAGGTCAGGTCCCTGGACATCTCCAACATGACCATCATCGAGGGCGAGAGCGCCATAATCGTGGTAGACCCACTGGTCTCCTGCGAGCCCGCAGCAGCGGGCCTTGAGCTCTACAGAAAACATCGCGATCCGGAGCGGAGGAGGAGAGTGGCCGGGCTGGTTTACACCCACTCTCACACCGACCACTTTGGCGGCGCAGGAGGCATCCTAGAGGGGACCGAGGTGGAGGCCGGCGCGGCCGGTGTGGCGATCATCGCGCCACAGGGGTTCATGGAGGCCGTCATGAGCGAGAACCTCGTCGCCGGCCCGTCAATGCACAAGCGCTCGGTCTACATGTACGGCATGGCTCTTCCAAAGGGGCCGGACGGCCACGTCGGCAATGGGCTGGGCATGGCGAGCAGCACGGGGACTCGATCGTTGATCCCGCCGACGACGCACGTCAAGAAGACCGGTGACGAGCTCGTTGTCGACGGTGTGCGAATGGTCTTCCATGTGGTACCCGACACAGAGGCCCCAGCCGAGATGAACGTGCATTTCCCCGACTTCAAGGCTCTCCTCATCGCGGAGACGGCGACAGTCTCAATGCACAACATCACCACGCTGCGCGGCGCCCAAGTCCGTGACTCCAAGGCGTGGGCGAAGTCGTTGGATGAGGCTATTGTCTTGTATGGGACCGACTCGGACGTCCTTCTCGGGAGCCACCACTGGCCGACCTGGGGCCAGCACGACCTTGTGGCTAGGCTGGCGGAGCAACGTGACTTGTACCTTTATCTGCATGACCAGACAGTGAGGCTGATGAATCTGGGCTTGAATGGCACAGAGATCGCGGAACAGCTCAAGTTGCCGCCCAGCTTGGAGAACTCGTGGCACTGCCAGGGATTTTACGGGAGCCTGAGCCACAACGTCAAGGGCATCTATCAGAGGTATATGACATGGTTCGATGGAAACCCAGCAAGCCTGTGGAAGCACACTCCTGCAGCTGAAGGGGTCCGGTATGTCGAATGCGTTGGCGGGCTGTCCTCCCTCTGCAAGAAGGCCGAGGGATACATAGAGAAGGGTGACTTGCGTTTCGCGGCAATCTTGCTGAGCCATGCAGTATCTGCATTTCCTGACCACCAAAGATCGAGGTCACTCCTTGCAAAGACCTACGAAAATCTCGCCCACGGCTCGGAAAATGGCCCGTGGCGCAACTTCTATTTGACAGAGGCCCAAGGCCTGCACACGGGGACTACACCGGGGGAGACCGAACTTGGTCGAAGCCCTCTGGCAGAGACATTGACGGTGGAGCAGTGGTTTCAGATTCTGTCAGTCCAAGTAGACAGCCAGAGGGCAGCTGATAATCGTTTCGTGATCGAAATCAGGATCACGGACGTCAAGGAGGCCTGGAGGCTGACTGTCAGCAACGGCGTCCTTAATTATCGCCAGCAGGCCTCAGGCTGCGTGGTCGGTGAAAATCCAGACCTGCGCATATCTATCACCCGGATGGGGCTGTTGGATGTTCTGCGAGGTGGTGATATCGATGGAGTACCAGGTGTGGAACATCATGGTGACCTTGATGTTCTTGATAAGCTCCTTGACATAATCTCGGATCGACCGTCAGACCTGGACGTCTCAGCTGGAGCGTCTCTTGTCATCAAGCTTGATATGACAGGAGTATAGCTTGTCGAAGCTATCGGATTTCAAACAATCAAGACTGTGTTCGATCTCTTGTCTCATTTGGAATTTCTCAATGCTGGCATGTGGCGGTGGGTGACTCAGCTTGGTTGAGGAAAAGTCAGCCATCATGAAAGCAAGCAAAGACTCGGAGAACCAGATCACGCGCCAATTATGGACGCTCTCATGCCTCAAGCCGTCAGAATAGAAGGGTCCAAGGCCATCAATGATTGAAGCATGAGGCCCGTAGCTTAACATCGAGCGCCTTGCTAATACAATGACTTGGTGGGAAAAACGAAAACTAGCTAGGTAGTGATGATAGAAGGCTTTAAAAATGAGGGCATGTGTAACTCGACTGTTGATCAAGATTGTATTTAACATGACAGTCACGCCACAAGCAGACAGTTTTGCCCACATAGTTTAGACGAAGCGTGACCTGTAATTAAGCCCTTACTGCTCTGATAAAGATCATGTTAACATGTGATAAACTTGAGCCCACAGATGTCTGTCTTCTTCGACAGCACGGTTTTAAAACCCTCGAGGCCAGACACTATGTGTTTTGCTGACTGCATGATCATCATGTTACATGCAACGTCGGTGGGTCACAACATAGGCCCTGCGTTATAGGTATGCGGTTAGTTTGCTCTTCATATAGCCCATAGTGGGCGCCGGCACTGATTTTTCTTCTTCTTACGTCTACTTCTGTCTATAGCCCAGGCCTAGACTGTTCTTGCTAATCCTAGGGTCACCACTGGGCAATAGGAGGCATGGTAACCTTTGCATCCTGGTGGCAGCTTTTTATCAACCTTGTTAGAATGTGACTAACCTGTGTTATTGGTATCATGTCTGCCGGGGGGATGGTCGTTGGGCCTCTTACGTAAACCGAGAGATTCGCATTCAAACTTGACGCTGACTACTTCGAGGTGCGACTGGAAGGACACGAGACTTTGAGCGGGCCGGCAGCACTCTGCATAACCTACAACCAACTTCTCTCTATCTTGGGGCTGCTTCTGCCGCCCGTATGTGCCATCTTCCCCTGTTGCAGAGTCTACAGGTTCACTGAAATGGAACTTCTGGCACAACTTGCCGCTGTTGACTAGGTAGGGGTTATGTCACACGCTGGGCCTCCTCTCACACTCTCTATAAGCATAGCAAAGGATTGGACTTTGGGTGTCCGGAAGTCTGGTCCATGGAATTTCTGTGGTTTAACAGAGACTGTGGATATTTCTACCTCCGGATAGCTCGGGCCATTCCCGTGCAACCTTCAGGCACGAGGGGGGCTTGTATGACTCTTCTATTTTTATGTCGCTCTTGAGTGAACGCAGCCATATGCAGTCAGCTATGTGCTTGGTTCTTCCATTGGCCTTGTCGTTCTCGGCTCCATCACCTCGTGGGCCTTGCTTGCTGCCTGTCAGTGAGCCGTATGATATCATGCTAGGATTTTGTTGTGAAAATATAGCTACGTGAGGGTGGAAGAAGGGCTAGAGGGCATCACAGGGCAAGAAAAGACGAGAATATCGAGGACGCTGGATCGAGAAAGCTTTGGGCTGGGAGATTCGCAGTCCTCCCTCTCACCAACGACTCGACGGCATCTGATTTATTAGCGCAGAGTGGCGGTACGGAGTGGCCGTCAAGGAGACACACTTGGCTCGTGATGGTCCGGGTCCACATTTGACGTTGAGAGAACGGGTGGGTATTAGTTCAGGGAACAGTAAATCATCTGAAATGGAAGAGCCCATAGCGATCAGTTGTGCGACCTGGCCACTGGAGCAACAAGGAGTCGGCGGCCAAACATGGATCGTCTGTTCGGAGTGCAGCATATCAGAGTGCAGTCTGTTGCAACAAGCATAAGGTAGGGGAAGTCGGGTTATCCTGCAGCCTGACTGCCTGGGGAATTAATAATGCAACACAAGCACGGTGGTGATCTGGATCGAGTCGGTAGTGAACCGTACTTCGGACGGTCCATCAATTGACAGCGCAACATCGCCCACAGCCAGCCAAGCCGTTCTGGGCGCACAGATCATAAACTGGCGCCCTCACGGTCTAGCACGCCCGTTCCTGGCGAATGGGAAGCCGCGGCGAGTCTTGACTGTGGGGAGCAACGGCCAACGAGACGCGCCTTCCCAAAAAGGGGCGTGTCAAATCAACAAATGGCAAGAGCGAGATTGGGGCCACTTACCCCTGCGCTGCCCTGCCGAGAGAGCGAGCGAGACGAGACGGACTGATTGACGGGACAGACAGGCCAGACTGCAAAATTCCCCCCACTAAAGCTAGAAGGGCTCGAGGGGACAGGGGGCCCGGAGTGCTGGAGTGAATCCCAGCAGCAGCCAGCAGCAGCAGCACCCACAATTCAGGCTCTCTCCAGCAGCGTGGGCAGGCGTGGGCAAGGTGCAGGCCCCCCAGCAAGCAATTCCCACATCCACATCGCCCCGAACCTTGCAACTTTCAACATCAATCCATCCTCAACCTGGCCTCGCCTTGCCTGTCTTGAGCTGCACCACCACCGCACCACCCACCTTCCTCCACCACCGCTGTCGCCAGATCGATCTTCGTTCCTGTCGGCCGTTCCCTGCTTCTCTCTCTTGTTTCACCATATTCGCAACTATTGTCCTTGCTCACCAGTCGCGACAATGCGTGAGATCATCAGCGTCAACGGTATGAGAACCCTTCTCTCCTCCTCTCCTGACCCCGACGGAAACGCGTTGTTCCTTGACCGCAAACCCCCGTTCGCTCCGACAATACGGCCTCTGATGCACACCCGACGATTTCTGCTTCTGATTTTGTACTAACTCTTGTGTTCCAGTCGGCCAGGCTGGTTGCCAGATCGCCAACTCGTGCTGGGAGGTAAGTTTTGCGTTTATCTCGACTCGCGCGGCCGCCCGGTCAACATGTCAACAAATCGCCCCAAAAAATCACCCCTCCCCCAAGACTGGCACTGATCGACCACCACGACGAGCACTACTGACATTACCACCCGGCATCTAGCTCTACTGTCTCGAGCATGGTATTCAGGTACGTCCAATCGCTATCCAACTAAACTTCTCGTGCTGGGCCCGACTGACGCGTTATCTCCATGCAGCCCGATGGATACCTGACGGACGAGCGCAAGGCCGCCGACCCCGACCAGGGTTTCAGCACTTTCTTCTCCGAGACAGGTACGCGAGACTTCCACGTAATGCCAGTTCTGGCCGCGAAGTACGTCTGACACGCTGGATGCACACAGGTCAGGGAAAGTACGTCCCTCGAACAATTTACTGCGATCTTGAGCCGAACGTCGTCGACGAGGTCCGCACCGGCCCATACCGAAGCCTGTTCCACCCCGAGCACATGATCACCGGCAAGGAGGATGCTTCCAACAACTATGCCCGTGGCCACTACACCGTTGGAAAGGAGCTTATCGATGGCGTCCTCGACAAGATCCGCCGCGTTGCCGACGCCTGCGCCGGCCTCCAGGGTTTCCTGGTCTTCCACTCGTTTGGTGGTGGTACCGGCTCTGGTTTCGGCGCCCTTCTCATGGAGCGCCTGTCCGTCGACTACGGCAAGAAGAGCAAGCTGGAGTTCTGTGTCTACCCTGCTCCTCAGACGTCCGTCGCCGTCGTTGAGCCTTACAACTCGATTCTGACCACCCACACCACCCTGGAGCACGCCGACTGCTCCTTCATGGTCGACAACGAGGCCATCTACGACATCTGCCGTCGCAACCTCGGGCTTGAGCGTCCCAACTACATCAACCTGAACCGCTTGATTGCTCAGGGTTCGTCTTGAGTACTCCCAAAATCCGTTATTGCAGGGTGCTGACACGATCACAGTTGTTTCTTCCATCACCGCTTCCCTGCGTTTCGACGGATCCCTGAACGTCGACTTGAACGAGTTCCAGACCAACTTGGTGCCATACCCGCGTATCCACTTCCCTCTGGTCGCCTACGCGCCCGTTATCTCCGCCGCCAAGGCCGCCCACGAGTCCAACTCCGTCCAGGAAATGACCATGTCTTGCTTCGAGCCCTACAACCAGATGGTCAAGTGCGACCCCAGGAACGGCAAGTACATGGCTACTTGCCTGCTGTACCGTGGTGACGTCGTCCCCAAGGATGCCCACGGTGCGGTGGCCACGCTCAAGACCAAGCGCACCATTCAGTTCGTCGACTGGTGCCCTACTGGGTTCAAGCTTGGTATCTGCTTCCAGCCCCCTGAGCAGGTGCCCAACGGCGATCTCGCCAAGGTCGACCGTGCTGTGTAAGTGCTCCCGAGTTTTCTGTTGGGATGACTGTTTCTAACAACACCTTTTAGGTGCATGCTCTCCAACACAACTGCCATTGCTGAGGCCTGGTCCGCTCTGTCCGCCAAGTTCGATCTCATGTACTCCAAGCGCGCGTTCGTCCACTGGTACGTTGGTGAGGGTATGGAGGAAGGTGAATTCTCGGAGGCCCGGGAAGATCTTGCTGCTCTTGAGCGCGATTACGAGGAGGTTGCTACCGACTCCATGGGTGACGAGGGCGATGTCGATATTGAGTACTAAAGCGTGTTGGAGATCTGATGGAGTCTTCTTGACAAGCATACCCCATTGAACTTCGCTCTGCTATTGTAAGCGCACATCTGCGATCCTGGTTGGCAGGGGCGATGTGTTGCGGATCATGAAGATTAGATAGTGATCCTTTCCTTCACTGTTAGATCGAGGCGGAGATTACCCAACTTTAATCACAGGACACAAGATTGTATGGAAACCCAAAAGAACATACTTTGTACATGAATCTTGAACCACTTTGAGGTGTAGTGCAATATCGACTTGGCTGAACTCCAGTCCTCAGGTTCTCAGTAGGTACAGGGGAGCTGATAACAGACAGTCCCTGCGATGTCAAATCATCTGTCCGTCCATAGGTTTGACAAGCTTCCGGAAATTCTTCACAGAGAATCTCCGAGATATCTGTAGGGTCTTAGTCCAGCCTAGTGCTCAAGCATAGTTTGAGCTTATTGTACAAACTACTAGGCATTAGTCATTGAACTCGGTGCTCAACTAGTTCTTGAAATATATGTCTCGGACTTCAGAACGAGATGAATGATAGCCTGTCACGAGGAAAGACACCTTTGTAAAATAAGTTGTGTAAAGATTTGCCTGGCGAGTTGCCGTGATAGCCAAATTGTCTTCTTCCAGTCTGTAGGTAGAACATAGCTGATGTGAGACATACCACTTCTTAATGAAGCCTTGTAGAGGCTTCACAAGAGTGATGCCTAGCTAGGACAGCATGCTAAGCCGTCTGCTGACCACCCGATTGTCAAACTCATCGTATAGCTAGAGCCAGTGCAAGCTCCTAAAGTTCGGCCTGACTCACTTGAAGACCAGCAACATGTGCCTGCATTGGACACACCCTGTTTTCAGAACATGTTGATATAAAGCCCCTCGCGACTTCCAGCTCCCAGGGCTTTGTTCCTGCCATTATACGCAACACAACACAACCTGAATGAACACAGCCTGTCACCAAGGCTTTCAAATGCGCTCATCAAATAGCCTCACAACCGCACTCATCCTCCGTGGTGTCATTGCCTTCCGCTCCTGAAAAGATTCAAGGGCATCCAGCAAAATCAAATTCATCAGACGTTACTTCCGTGTCACCAAAACCATCAGTCCTCAAAACACAGCATAGCCAAAATGGCGTCCCAAATCAACGACAACGCTGAGTACGACTTTGCGGCCGCCAACGCCGGCGCCGTGCCCACCTTCCCGGTGCAGGCGAACCAGCTCAAGCAGGGCGGCTACATCGTCATCGACGGACACCCGTGCAAGATCACCAACATTGCCAAGTCCAAGCCGGGCAAGCACGGCCACGCCAAGGTCGTCATCACGGGGGTCGACATCTTCACTGGCAAGAAGCACGACGCCGGTGGCCCTGCCGGCCACAGCATGGACGTGCCTGTTGTGAAGCGCGCGAGCTACACGCTACTCAATGTCGGGCGTGACGGCTTCCTGACGCTGTTGATGTCACCAGCGGGGAGGAGAAGATCGATGTTCGGGTCCCTGAGGGGGAGCTGGGTGAGAGGATCAGGGAGAAGTTCCGCGAGGGGAAGGATTGCAGTGTGGTGGTTCTTGGTGCTATGGGCCTGGAGATTGCTGTCGAGGTCGCCGAGAAGGATCGTGAGTGAGAAAGACCATGGTCAACGCGAATCGGCGATTGGAGTTTCAATGCTTGATGAGGCTCAACCATCTGCGGTAGAACTGCCCCTGTTGTCTACCAGTCTCATCGGATTTCGAAAACTTGAGTTGGATTGAGTATCAGGGTGGTGATAATTGGGGACTCGAGTGTTCAGTTTTTAAGTTGATATGTTTTGGGAACCCAATTCAGCAACCCACCTCAACTCAAATGTCCTCAAGTGCTCATGGTGAATACTTCGGATAATATGTGAAGGATAATTACCTTGATGTACATCCACCATCACGGCACGTCAATGTTCACGAAAACGATGAGAATGGTCTTCCGCGACAGCAATGGTTTTAGCCCTGCAATTGCTCATGCAGTGAATAACTAAGCACTAGTCGAAGGATCCCCCGGCCCCTTTCCACCACGTTGGTCTAGATACCTAGTATTTCATTCCTTGTGTTTATGGCTATCAACATGAATGTCCCTGCCTATTGATGTGTTTTGTGTTTATGTGATTTCCGTTGGAGTCTAGGAAACTCACTGTCAAGTGGCTGTCATCGTCGTGCCATGTCCTTGTAACTGTCAGTTTTGTGAAGCCACACATCATTCTGGCCCTCAGACCATTCCTGGATTGGACATTTCAAAAAGAGGTTTTCACGAACTCATCATCGGGAGTGCATTTAATTATAGCAAGTGCGAAATGTCTCGTATCAATCCGGGTGTATCGTATCACGGCAGAAAGGGTGAGCCGCAAGGGATTCGTGCATTTGACGTCGTCAGGCTTCATTATGAGGTACACGACGCTCAGATCACCCTGTTATAGATGTAGCGGTATCTTAAGGCTGTGAAGTGTTCTAGAAAGAGAACAAAGTTCCACACCGGAATGAAGTCGGCCTTGAGGAGGCTTTCTCCAGCGTTTGGAATGGACTGCACATGCATTTTATACCCAGCAACGACGCATTTACCATAATATTTCTACCTCTACTTTTGTCTCGTGGGTTGAGTGCGATGATCCATCAGATTTCTGTCTGAATAGACAGACATAGAGCTGAGTTGACCCCCTGTAATTTTGACGGAGGCGAAAGAAAGGAAGGTCAGCCTTGATTGGCGGTCATTCAAGTGGCCATTGAGCGTCCTGCTTCAGCTATGAAAATAAAGTTGGTGATATATGATGAAGCCAGCCGTATGGACAAGTAGACTCCTTTCAAGCCTTGGGCACAAGCTGCCAGTAGGCTGTCCACAGATGACATCTAAATCAGGAGCAATAGAAGGCAAAACAAATTTGCAAAGGTAAATTCAATCAGACTTTGAGGATGCAACCAATACTACAGTGTGTAGACTCTTCAGTCCAAGGATGAGTCAAGCAATTTGTGGAGTTGAGTCTTACTCAAGCCCAGAGATCGTGTCTTAGCTTCCGGTGTTTTCCATTTGGATTCTGGATGGTATCCAGCAGGTTCAAAATTTTAATTACGTATGTACCATGGGAAGAGTTTGATATTTCAGTTCTACTTGAGAAGGCAGACATTCAAAACCTGTATTGAATTTTTCAGACACGAAAATTACATGTTTCTGTTGTACAAATGAGACGATTTGCAGCATCTTTGCCTGCTTCTGCGTTCGCTCAATCCAGCATGGTGGCTTTTACGGCAACGCACTCGTACTTTGAATTATTTTTTTTGTTCTTAGCACCAATATCAACCGCTCTACTCTCAAATCATGCCGGCAGATAAGCAGCCGTTTGCAGCCTGAAACAATGAACAGCTAAGTAGTTAACTATCTATTCATTGATCAGTAAAGTTCAAATTAGGAATATTTTACTCGCATATGAAAAAGCTGAATGTCAGCTCTGTGGCATGAACCTCGCAGACCCGGCATTGATTTAGTTGAATTATAGATACTTCAGCGCATACAACTGATCAATTTCCAACATCCGTTTCACTGAAGTCTTTGATTCCACATGCGTGTTCCACTCAGTTATTCTTCTTCCATATACCTGTGAACCGTCTTGAATCCTGCCATGTCGACGGATGAGAGCCAAAACTCTGTGGACCCCTCGTCCGACATTGAAGAGGACATTGAAGAGGGAAGAGGCGCGTACCAAGTCGGTGGTTTCCACCCTGTATATGTGGGCGATTTATACCATAGAAGATACGAAGTGCTGAGTAAGATCGGGTATGGCGTATATTCCACAGTCTGGCTTGTGCGAGACCGTGAAGCGCAGTCAGTCTTGCTACCAAGGTCCAAAATTCATGCTTATTGCAGTTAACACAATTTCACAGCGGATGAAAAGAAGTTCCGAGCCCTCAAGGTCTTGAGCGCTGAGTGTTATGATCAAGGCACAGACACTTACGAGAGAGAAATCCTGAGACATCTTCGAAATGGGAGCCAAGATGAAGCAGGCTACCCCTATGTCTGCCATCTCATTGACGATTTCGAACACAAGGGCCCAAATGGAACACACGTCTGCTTAGTCTTCGAGCTTATGGGGGAGACGCTGGCGAGTTTTGGTGTCTGGCTAGAAAATCAGAGAATTCCGTACATATTGTTGCGCAAATTCACACTCCAGTTGATCTGTGCACTGGATTTCGCGCACGGCTGTAATGTCATTCACACAGGTATTTGTTCTCTAGAACTAATCCAAGCCCATAAGCTGACAAGTTATATCAAGACCTTAAACCGGACAACATCTTCGTCAAGTTCAGAGACTTCTCGCTCATCGAGGAAGACTATTTGGTCAACATGCCTCTGCCGAAACAAAACAGAGACGAGGAATCTTAAACCCCCATCATGTCGGTTCCATTGCGATGCAGCTACTTCAATGGAGATCAGAGCAAGGACTTCTACGGCTTCGATGTCGTCCTCGGGGACTGGGGTGTGTCGAGCTGGGCCGACAGGCACCTGACCGAGTGGATCCAGCCCGTGAAGCTGCGCGCCCCAGAAGTCCTGATCCAGGCGCCCTGGGACGCCAAGGCCGACGTGTGGAACCTCGGTGCAATAATCCTGGAGTTGTACCGCAACGTGCGCATGTTCTCGGGGCGGGTCGCGCCCGACGGCCGCTACGATGTCCGGCAGCACCTGGCGGAGATCGTGGACTTCTTCGGGCCCTTCCCGCAGGAGCTGTTGCAGAGGGGAAGCCAGAGGCTCGTGAAGGAGTTCTTCGACGATGAGGGCAGGGTCAAGGGCGCCCAGCCGGTGAAACGGCCTGGGCTGTCTTCGGAGTATTTCACTCCGGGCAGTAATCAGCTTCCGGACACAATTTTAACCCTCTAAAGAAAAACCAATTCCTATCTGTAGCTTGTACCTCAAAGGTGTTGTCAGACTGCAGGTTTTGAACAAGCCATGGCCATAGTCTGGCCTGGTCCTCACCATTTCCAAATGAAACTTCTTCCTTAGTTCTCTGATAGCTGACTTCTTTTGCTGCAGTGGAAGAAGACCTCCGGCAGGATTTTGTCGCGTTCATGCGAGGGGTTATGAAGATAAATCCTCGGGAAAGGCCGTCGCCTGAAGAAATGCTTAAGCTGCCTTGGATAGATGCAAAGGGTACCGGTAATACCAGCGGTAGCCAAAACTAATTGATGGAACATTCGCACACTACCTACCAGGTACTGGTATGAACTACCAGTCGGCAGACTTATAATCTTAACACTCGCTGTTCTCATAAATGTGTCACCAGGAAACTGCCCAGGGTTATATCAAAGGGTTGTTCAACCAATAATATGTGCGCATGGGCTGGGACATTCGTGGTTTGGTAGCGCCCTGATTACGACTGTTGGCTCTACGGGGCTTTTGTTAGCACTGAAATGAGCAACTTGATTGATTCATTTCATACTCTCCGTGAACTCATATCATGCGGTATGGGTTTCGAACCTGAATTTAGCAGCATATAACATGATACGATGGGGGCACGTAATGAGCGGGATGAAATTGGACAGCTCCTTCATTTTAGCTCTCAAGCCGTTCACCAAGCACAGAGTATGGCTCGCACAAGTCGGCAAAATTGGTTCTTCAAAATTGAGATGATCGTATGTAGACTTCTCTAATCCTGGCCCAGCTACGCACAATGCATAAACTGTTTTGCACGCATCAACGGCGAGTTCTGTACTCCAATCCTTCGGTCAAGCCTGTGAGATCACCTCTAGTTGAGATTGATTTGCATGGACACAGTAGACTCGAGGATAGAATCACCATAGAACTGCTCGGTGCCGGCGTTGGCCACGTTGACGTAGTAGTCGTTCGTGACAATGCCCTGGCTCACCATCTCCGCGAGCCAGTCCTTGAGGTCACCGGACCAGGTGCCCGACGCACCCAGGTCACCGGCTGTCGGCAGAATGGTGGTCAACTCAACGCCCTCGCCGCCAGCGAGGTTGTAGTTGACGCCCTGATACATGTCCCAACTCTGGCCCCACATGTTGAAGGTCGCCTTGGTGCCGTTGTACCATGCGAGGGGCAGCTGGTCGCCCTGCCAGTGCAGCCACATCTGGAATTCCTTTGTCGCTGCCGAGGTCCAGTCGTGGGCGTCGGGGGCGAGGACCATGTCGAGACAGACGTTACCTACATTTTCATTAGCCTTTGGCCCATTTCATGATGGTATATTTTGTAGTGACTCACCTCTGAAATCGGATGTATTGGTCCTAGACCAGGTGTATGACGAGGGGATTGACGCGATGTCACCGAGCTTCTCGTCCACGTTCTTGGTCACGGCAACGTTGGAGTAGTACTTGTTGTCATTCATCGTGGCCTCGTCGAAGACAAGGTTGGCGTCGGCGGTGAACTTCACGGCAGTCTTTCCATCGGCAAGTGTGACCACGTCGTTGTAGGTAGTGCAGACAGTGCCGTCCACGCTCGACTCCACGACGCGGCCGTTGGAAACCACAAGTCCCCACTCATCGAGGGTAGTCTTTTGGTTCTCAGCGCACATGTCTGCTGAAGCAGGGGCGTTGATCACAGGAGTCGAGGCCGGCCCGGCCGACGAGGCCGAAGAGGGCTCGGCCGCAGCTGAGGAGGAGGCCGTTGGCTCGGTGGCAGACGTTGCCGAAGTGGAAGTAGGTTCCTGGACGGACGTCGGTTCCTGGGCCGAAGTGGGCTCTTGAACAGAGGTCGGCTCCTGGACGGAGGTGGGTTCCTGGACGGAAGTAGACTCCTGGACGGAAGTAGACTCCTGGACGGAAGTGGGCTCAGGAACAGGCGTGGGTTCCTGAACAGGCGGCTCGCTGGCGAGTGACGATTCGACTACGGTGGTGGTCACCACCGGGACCGAGGGTGTAGTCGGGACTGCATCAGCAGAGGTGTAAGGCAGACCGACGGTGGGATTCTCGAGACCGATCGTCGGGACCGACGTGTTAGTCGGAAATGAGGTCGGCGCGCTGTGGTGAGAGTGGCGATGCTTGCATCGGCGCGCATCCACAGCGGAAGCGAGAATGCCCACCAGGGCAATTTTCATAAAAGACTGCATATCGGACCAGCGGTTTTGGTTTGAAAAGATTGACTGAAGTGAGTTAATAGAAGCGAAAGTTAAAGTCCCACCTGGACGCTGCGAAAAGGAGTGAATCGAAGCGTTCAGAACGGTTTGCCAAACACGGATGCAGTTGTATCGAAGGGTCAGGTTGGAATCGAATGCTTAAATTCAAGTCTATAAGTCTATGATGTGCCATCTTGTGGGTCCAGTTTGCCATGACTCTCCTAATTGCCGAAGACCTTGGCCAGGCCTGTTCTGCTGTGTGCCACCGACTTAGATCCCCTTAATCTCTAATTAATATCTACCTCCTACCGAGCCATGCGGGCGATAGCGTTCGAGATTCGATAAGAATCCCGATGGTGTGAGGTGGCGGCTCAGCCGCGGCTAATTTGTTTGGACGAACGCCTAGGTGATTGGCAGGCTTGCCATGTAAACGACACCCCTAATCCCAGCTTGAAACGTCCTGGCCCTGCCGATCACCCGTCAGACATGATTCGACCCTGGCTCGCCTAGCAAACAATCCTGAGGGGGCGGAGGAATATCCAAGACATTAATATGCCTCTCTCCTCCTGCACGCATCTTTACTGACGGCACACGACTGTGCTTTGATCTCAGGAAAGCAGTCCACACCAGCATCGAACCGAGGCAGGTCTCACTTTACGTTTTCTGGGATAATGATAGCATTCACTAGTGAGCCGACAGACTGGCTGGAGTAAATGTGTTCATCGCTCGGAAAGAACGGGGAACAAACGTCAAGTCTCGCCACTGTGATACAAAGCAGTCACCCGTCCGCTCGGTCTTTCCAGCAAGCGGCTTGGTGGAAGAAAGCGGGCTGCGTCCATCCGCCAACCACCCCCCCCCCCCCCGGCCAATTATCGCCTATGGCACTTGATCTCAAGACCATACCTGCTGAAGCCGGGGGCCGGCCCAACGACGTTCTGTGGTATCTCCGGTCACGCCTCGTTTGCATCTAACGCCCAGTCAGATGCCACCGCAGGGGTATCCCTCACACGCCGAGAGTACACATGAACGATCAAGATAATTGTTGTTGGATATGACGAGTGGGCTCAGCACAAGAGGAACAGAAGCTGATCAATTCTAGAGCTGGAAATAACATGGTCCTGACGAATATCTCACCTCCAATTGCATGAAGCTCAAAATCTGTTTGGTCGGTTTGCCAACCGCCATTATCTATGTCAAGACGGTCTCAAAATTTCATACGTGTATTGGTAGTTGTGTCATATTCTGATGGAAATTCTTTCGATTAAAGTAACGTTTCTGCTATCATGACGCTAAAAAACCAGCCATTATCAGTCTGCTCGGATGAATCACTTACCCGTTTAATGCATTTCAATCTGTGACGCGTGTGGACACACCGTCTTGCTAGTGCCTACCCGTAAACATTCCCAATGTCTGCACGGCAGTAGGGGCAACGGGACACCCTGACACCGTAGAGCTCGAGCGAGTTCTGAAGACAGCGCTGTCCCACTATGTGACTGCATGGAAGTTGAAAGGAAGGTTCCCTTTGTCCATTCTCAGGCTGAAGATCACCCTCCGGGATCACTACCTCGTCTTGGCACCAAACACAGAGGACCTGCGGTCGGGGGCCTGTTCTGGACTGCAGCCATTCGTGGATACGGGGCCATGATACTTCCTCGACTTGTTCCCCACCGGGCGGACCCGGCGAGCTTGGGGAGGCAGTACCAGGATCTGGACGGACAGCCTCTGGCACAGCTCGGGATTCGTCTACAGCCTGAGCGGCTCTCTGTGGCGGCTGCGGATCCGAGGGCATTAGAGAAAGTACTTCGGCGCGTATGTCGTCTGGCAAGCCATGGAAGACCTCGGGGTCGAGCCCCTCGGGAGTTTCGGGCGGACCCGAGCGTGGCTGACCCGTTCCACTCTGACTTGTAGGCTGCCGTGCATCCGCCCGAGTATCCAGCTGCGCGAAGACTCTCATTTGCTGTATGAAGCCTCGTGGATCGTCTAGAGCACTGCCAACCTGAGAGTCAGGGCTTGCGTCGTCCTCGGAAGAAAGCAGGACTGCGTGCGCGAGCTCGCGGACTTCTGTCGGCTCGGACCTGAGCAGGCCCATGAGGACTTGAGTACGGCTTCCTGCGGGCGAGTTTCCTGGCGGTGGCGACGTAGCAGCTCGCTCGATACTCTCCCTGATGTGTCGGATGAAGAGGTTCGGGTCATCCAAGGCTGTGTCTAGGACAGCGGGGTTGGACTCACTGGCTCTGCTGATTGTTCCGAAGGCAAGCTGTCGCACGTTGATGGGCTGGGCGTTGATGAGCTCCACGAGCCTTCGTGCACGGCTGGTGTTGCCGCTGAGAATTGATGATCTTGGGACACACATCGTTGATGTCGTGAATATAGATGGGTGCAACAACCTGTTGGTTGAGAAACAAGTAAATTAGGTTTTATGTGCTAATGTTATCCGCCTTATAGTTCTTTTGGCTATTGTTTGTCTTCCCGAGGCTGGTTTGTTGTTGCTTAAACAATGGACTGTACTGGTATTTCATCTGTCACCTGAGTTGAACCGAGCATTTGAAGTATTCGTGGGTGGACGAATATTGACGCATGCACGGCAGTCGCCGGTGCCCAGGTAGTAATCGTACAGGTGCGAATTACAAGCTTTTGCATGCATTCCTGGCGTATTTCGTGATACGCGAACTAGATACTTCACTTCTCTCTTCCAGTAGCTCGGGTATTGAGAATGCTTCCCCCGGGAGTTCAAGAGGACATTGACAATCAAATCGTTTCAGGTGGCGAGTTGCAGAGCATTGATTGATTTTATTGTAAGAAAAGTCGAAGTGCTTTGTTTCCATGGCGAAGACCGTTACCTGCAACTGTTCTTTGTCGTCCGGGCCTCCAAGAGGGCTTTGCCGAATAGCTCTGTCATTCCAATTTCCCAACGCACCGACAGCGCCAACGTAGTACCGGTGTGTGTTGCACAGAAAGTAGGAAAGCAACAAGAGCACAGGAACAACACCATAAATCAAGATGTTGCCGTTCATGCTTGGAAGAAACTCCATGCAAAAGAAACAATGTCATTATCCGAGGCAGGAAGTCAAGAGATATGCAGCAGGAAGGAGATGAACATCTGTGTATTGATGACAGACCAGACCTTTGCGAGCGGGATTCTGAAGAAAAAAGTGGCCGTTGTGTAATATGACGGCAGATTAGATGTGTGTTCGAGTATAATTAATTAGAGAAGACAACTCGTGAAGGAATGATGGGTCGCTTTTGGACCCTGATGAACTTTTGTTCTTGGCTGGTAATTTGTGTCCTCACCCTCGGGACGCATCAACGACGGCGCGCAGGGTTGCCTTTCCCCAAAGTTTCTAAATATGGCGGTTGTTGACCGGTTGACCCATCAGGACAAAGTCGAATCAACATCGTGACTTGTCAGTTCCAACCTCAAATGTGTGGCAATGGACCTGTGCAGATTCTTTGCAGTAGGTTATGAGGCGAGCATAAGTGCTCACGGTCTACTTGCATGCTAATATCCGAGCTATTTACACCAGTTCTGCCAACGTTTGCGTTGGTGGGCAGAACTGTCGACATTCCCGCATTTTCCTGCTCTTCAAATCGGCCGAGGTCCGTTCTGTGAATTCTACTTCTCCGGATAGGTGAGCGCTTCTTACGGGAGCGTGGGCCTGCGGACATTGTGGAACACGGCAAGGGCTTGCTGTAGTTATGAGAGGCTGAGAGGCTGCACATCGCAGGCAGAGTGTATGGAATAGGCTTGTTCCAATGATTAGAATAGAGCTGTGAATGAATGACAACAATCAGTCGTTCCGCGAAACATTGCAGTGCTGGGGAGATTCTGCACTGTTTGTTTAGACACAAAACCAAGCCCTTGATCGTGAGACAGATTGGAGCCGAGTCTGTTGCAAATGCTCCTTGACGGCGCTGCAAAGTGTCTAGGAACCTAGGTAGTCCAATCGTGGCAGTCCATATCTGGCCAACTTAGCTCTCGCTCGGACTCTTCGGAGCTGATGATGAACAGGTGTCTGTGCAACGAGCTTCGTCCAGATCTCCTGGAAATAGATCCACCCACGCGCAATCCATCTGATCACCGCTGTCAGGGCGGCACAGCATCTTGGCACTGAGCCTCAGTGGGCTGCCCAATAGGGCGCTGGAAGCTCAGCATGGCCCCCGCATTCCCCACAGGAGGACCCTGAATCCCCTGAAACATGACGTCCTTCGTGGCCAGGAAGCTGGAGGCCTGTTTCAACCCCATCAGCTCGTATGCAGGTGCATATAGATAGATGGCTTCTTGACTCTCACTCCAACAACTTTCCAACTCACCTCCCATCCCAGTCCTTCGCTCTCTAAACTTCATCACAACTATCACCATTACATATCCAACCAAAATGGCTCCACACGAAGGTCTCGTCCACCCCAAGGAGTACGACATCAAAGACAGCAATGTCGAGCTCATCGGCAGCGAGATCGACCACCAGGTCAAGTACAAGAGCGCCACCACAGAGCCGGCCTGGAACGACGGCCACGTAGGCATCTCACCGGGACTGAAGATCTGGCGCATCGAGAACTTCGAGGTCGTCCCGTGGCCCAAGGAGAAGTATGGCCAGTTCCTCGACGGCGACAGCTTCATCGTGCTGTACACGTTCAAGGTGGGCGAGGGCGAGAACGAGCACCTGGGCCACGATATCTTCTTCTGGCTGGGCGCGCACACGTCGCAGGACGAGGCCGGCACCGCCGCCTACAAGACGGTCGAGCTCGACGAGTTCCTGCACGGCAAGGCGACGCAGCACCGCGAGGTGCAGTCGGCCCCCAGCGACGCCTTCATGGAGCTGTTCCCGCGGCTGCAGATCCGCTCGGGCGGCGTGCGCTCCGGCTTCACGCACGTCGAGGAGGAGGAGAAGGAGGAGGTCACGACGCTGCTGCGCGTGTTCAAGGTCCCCGGGGCCAAGCGCGACTCGGTCGTCGTGCACGAGGTGGCGCCCACGTGGGAGAGCCTGGACGAGGACGACGTCTTCGTGCTCGACAAGGGCGACAAGATCTGGGTGTGGCAGGGCAAGAACTGCAGCCCCATGGAGAAGGCCAAGTCCGCGCAGGTCGTCCACGACATGACCCTCGCCAAGCACGTCGACGTCGAGGTGCTCTCGCAGACCGAGTCGCGCTCGAGGCTGGTGGTGGACATGCTCGGCGGGGACAAGGACGCCGCCCCCGCCGCGGAGGAGTACCACCGCCCGCGGCCCTTCGCGAGGCACGCCGAGGGCCGCAGGGAGAAGAAGCTGTTCAAGCTGAGCGACGAGTCCGGCCAGCTGAGCTTCGGCCAGGTGAAGGAGGGCTCCTCCATCTCGAAGTCCGACCTGGACGGCAACGACGTCTTCATCCTGGACGACGCGGGCAGGACGATCTGGATCTGGCAGGGCGCCGGTGCCAGCAAGGCGGAGAAGGCGGCGTGGCTCAAGGTCGCGCAGGCTTATGTGCGGAAGCTGCAGGGTGGCGACGACGATGAGGCGCATCTCACGCCCATCGCCAAGGTCGTGGAGGGCAGCGAGAGCTCGGCTTTCCTGCGGGCTGTTACGGCTTGAACGGATCTAAGTCTTGAGGTCACCAGATAGACAAGTCTTCGCATGTATTTGTATGTATGGACAGAAGGGCTTAAAGCTGGACAGATCTAATCGACAGAGACAAATGCCATCACGAGACCAAGGGACTAAGCCGCATACTCTTGATATCAAACGTTCTTTCTTCCTGGTATCTATCTGATCGGATCCGCGAGGAAAGGATTATCAGGGAAGCTTCCATCAGCCATCAATGTGATGCGATGGAAGGGTGAGAACATCCTACCCTGTACCTGCCAAAATACACGAACTGTTTTAGGTAACCATACCTATATAGGATGACCACCCTTTCCCAACCCCGCGAATTGCGGCTAAACCTGTGTCCTTGAATGAATCAAGCAGGCCAGCGCCATGGCCAGAGCTGTCCTGCCATGAATGCCGTGCTGATGGCCTTGTTCTGGGTGGAAGGAAGTCTGCTAATCCGCAAAGATCCTCACATTCAAGTCGACACTGCCCGTCGCAATGACACAACGGATGCGTGCATTGTCAGTGACTGCATTCTTGGGCGTTGATGGCCCATTTGTGCCGTTTCTCTCCCCTTCTCCGTTGACCACGGCCGGTGCGTTCGTCACGCTGGGTGCCCACCTCAATGTGCTCACAAAATGGTCATGGACGCCCGACAGGGTTTTGACACACTTGCCCTCCTGGGTCAAATCCCAGCAACGGAGTGTTTTGTCATCACTGACGGAAAATAGATATCTGCCGCCCGGATGGAACGCCAATGCCCTCACCCAGTTGTCGTGGCCCGTCAGCGTTTTGAGACAAGTCCCCCGTGCGTCCTATACGCGGATCGACTTGTCTCTGCTACCTGTTGCCATGAACTGTGCCGTCAAGGTTGCGGGTGGTGGCTTTTTCAACCTCGCAAGAGCCGCCAGATGCGGGTATGCAGCGGCCGGTGCCAGCACAGCACATTCAACCACGTGCTCGTGGCCGATGAGTGTCAACTTGGTCTCCGGATTTGACGTTGATACATCCCATAAGCGCGCTGTTCGATCATTACCAGCCGAAAGAAGGTAGCGCCCATCGATAGATGGACAGACGTCGCGAATCCATTCGGCATGACCACCCAGCGTTCTTATGCAGCATCCCGTGCTGACATCCCAAATACGGAGGGTGCGGTCTCTCGATGCAGATACCAGAAGATTACCGGATGCTGGAGCCCCAGCTGCGCCCGAGGGAATGAACCTGACAGCCGACACGCTGTGGTCGTGGCCTGTCAACGTCCGAATGTTCTTGTACTCGTTTGATGGATCCCACAACTTGATCGTCAAGTCGCTGGAGCAGCTTGCCAGCAGTGTTCCCCCTCTTGGTCCACCGAAGTCGACATCCAGTACAGCCCTGGTGTGGCCTTTGATTGTCTTTTCCAACTCCCCCAATTCCCAGTCCCAAATCTTAATGGTCGCATCCTCCGAGCCAGATGCCAATGACGAGAACACGGGATGGAACGCCACGCAAGTGATGGGGCTCCGATGTGACTGCAGCGTATGCCGTGCGGGTGCCTTGGGCAGCCAGGTGGCAGGGTCTTGTTTCTTGCGCGAGAGTGATGTTGTCGTGGCGTCGTCGAGCTCGGATTGGAGGGCAAAGACCCAAGACTCTAGGTCCATTATCTGCCCAGTCTCCTGGTCAGCATCTGGTGATCATCTTGGAGAGCAACGGAAGCGAGTGTTGGTGCTGTACCTTTTTCTGTAAACGGACGACACTGATCCACTTCTTCTCGAGCAGTCCCTCGTATTTCTTAACCGTGTTGTTGTCGAGCGCATCTCCGCCGAGGCCGAGTTCTTGTCGCAGGGCTGCCGCCGCACCGGGGAGTCCGTTTGCAGAGAGATACGCAATGATAGACTTGTGCCTACCACCAGCTGTTAGCCCTCGTTATAGCCACAGCAAGCACACTTGCAGGCTTGGAAATTGTAGATTCACAGCTCATCAGCCTGACGACTGGCCAGTTTTCGACTCATGGTCGCAGTCGAACTGCCTCTTCTCGTGTCGAGGCCTTGGCATCTCAGTTGCTGCCAAAGAGGGGGGTTCGTCGACCACGACGTGAATGAAATGCCAACACGGCGCGTATGTGAGGGTGTAGGCGGGTACGTCGCGGGCGCAGTGTCTGTGGGTAGTGATGACGGTGGAAATGGTGGATGTGGTTTTTGGGGGTGGCCTCACACGATGGGCCCTCCTGGAATCTGAGCGTGTCAGAGTGGTTAGTCGTTCGAGTAGGTTGTTGGATCGAGTGGATGTTTGGTGAGTTTATTGACTTACGATCATGTTTGGAGGGGGTTCTTGGTCCCGATCACTGGACTGGCACTGCACCTGCGCGAGTGAAGGAGAACGGCACACACTCTCCCACACTCAGAGAGACTTCTAGGTCGACTAACGGACGTTGGGCACATAAATCAGATGGGACAGGGCTACGTAGCGAGGGAGCGGACGCACAGAGGGGCAGGCTCGATGATGCATCCGCCAATGCTGTTTCCAAACGAAGACTCAATTGCATCCTACCTAGGCTGTCTACGAGCCCTTGAGTCTGTAAACATCCTCATGGTCTCCAGGCATGGGGTACGTCTCCTTAAGAGCAACCAGAAGTCGAACGTGACAGGCGACGGTACTATACCGTGATGAACGCATGGTGGTTGATTGTTCCCACCACAAGCGCGTCAGGTAGCTGGCGGGCAGCTGGGCAGCATTTACGTCACCGTTCCCCCGGTAATGGTAGGGGCTCCTCATTGGGCAGCGACATTGGATCTCGGCGGCGGTGCAGCACACCAGCGAGAGATGAGATTGCGGGCAGTCAACTCAACTCAACTGTCAATAGCCTTTGGGCAGGCGCGAACACGTCACGCTAATAATAAGGTATTGGTGTATTGGACAAGGTGGTGGCATTGGCACCGTAAGTACCTAGGTAGTACATGCGACATCCATGATGCACCTTCCAAGGCTCGTAGGCTACCTGCTTTGTTGTGGTATGTGTACCTGCTGCTAAGTACCTGGCACTACCCAGCATGTGCTACTATGCAGTCTAGAGGGATCTCATTTCGGGAGACTGATGTTTGCATTGTTTAGATTTTGGCCCCTTCACCCAGAACATTCAAGCAGACACTGAGAACTTGCTTCCTTTTGCTCTACACACAACTTGACCCCTTCCTACCCACTCGTTGCTGCACTGCTGGCTGTACACACATCCCAACTTTGCTGCCCGACAAGTCCACCTTACAAAAAGCTCGGCCCACTACTCAACCTCGCCCTCCCCTGCTGCTGCCCTGCCAGCAAAAGCTAGAACCCTGCCTGCCCCTCTGAACGGCCGAAAACATCTGGACAGCGGATCGATTGTTGCCCTGGCAGCCCTGGGAGCGTGGCACCTGCCGACGGCCATTCACGAGTCACCGCATCCTTTGCCCCCCTGGCCTGGCGTGGCCCCCCGGTCGTCGCTCCATCAGATTCAAGGCCAAGCAAGGGCACGGCACCATTGGACTTGCCTTGCTGCCCTGCCCGTCGACGTCCAAGCTTTTTGACGACAGTCACTCGCAACAAAACAAATCGACGCCAAGGAGGTACCTACTCAACACACAAAGAACACCCACGACAGCTTCATTGCATCCCCGAGACACAAGGACAAAGCACGCTCCCTTGTCCGCGCCCGCGTTACTCACACCAGCCCGCCTGCCTGATCTTTCAAGCACCAAGGCGCTGTTTGCTGTTTGCGATCACTTGGTACGACCCCCGTATCCCAGGCCAACAGCGCCACGCTGGACATCACGGAAGAGCAGCTACCATGCTTCGCTTGACCCATAGCCAGCATCATGCGCCGAAAGATTCGGTCGGCGGTCCACAAGCTAACACGTCGCATAGCTCGAGCTCTCACCGGCCCCATCGATCGCGACGGCCCCGAAGCCTCCCTACCGAACATCCCTGGTTCACCACCAACCTTTGATCCGAATCCTGGAGATACTCACGCCGATCCGGAGCCATCCATAATGGCTGATGGAGAGGAGGATTACAGCTCTTTGCCCCTTACAGATCGCTGGGTGCACAAGGTACGTGGAACCCGCGATACCACCGAGTTTGGTCCACACCGGTACTATGAGGGAAAGACAGGGGGAGGGGGCTCCCTCTTAGAGCCCGTCCAGTGGTCGAACAGAGTGGATGCTAATCGCACCTTGCCTGGTTGTAGATCTGGAAAGTCCGCAAAGCAGCATACGAAGAAGCCACCAAGCAGTTCGAGGTCAGCGCCGACGAGTACGATGCTGCCTTCCAGCCCTTTCTGCGAGATTCTTCCCTATGGAAAGGCGCCGTGGCCGACAGCAACGTGGCAGCCCAACAAGATGGCATGGCAGCTTACTGCGCATTTCTGAAGTTCGGCGGCAAGGAACACGGCACGAGATCAAGAGGTGTCACAGTCACACCCATCTGTGAGAAGGGTCTCCCGTCTACGCGAGCGGCAACAAAGGCGTCATCCATCGAGGCCCTGCTCCTCCTCTGCGAAGTTGATGTACCGAACCCTGTCATCGAGGATGTCCTGCCTGTACTCTCCGCTAAGCAACCAAAAACCGTTGCCGCCGCGCTGAACGCCTTGACCGCCATCTTTCACAACTACGGTTGCAAGCTTGCCGATCCCAAACCTGTCCTCAAAGTCTTACCAAAAGCCTTCGGCCACGCTGACAAAAATGTGCGAGCTGAAGCGACCAACTTGGCAGTGGAATTCTACAGGTGGCTGCGGGAGGCTATGAAGCCCATGTTCTGGGGCGATCTGAAGCCAACCCAGCAAACCGACTTGGAGACGCAGTTCGAGAAAATCAAGGCCGAAGGTGCTCCGAAGCAGGAACGATTGTTGCGGACTCAACAAGCTGCAAAAGAACAGGCCCCGGCCGCTGGAGGAGGGGACGAAGGCGGTGGGGACGACGACGAGGGCGAGGAGCCCGAGGAGATTGACGCATTCGACCTTGCAGAGCCCCAGGACGTCCTCAAGGGTATACCTGGGAATTTCTACGACTTGCTCGGCTCATCGAAATGGAAAGACCGCAAGGAAGCTGTTGAGGCGCTGTACGCCCTTGTGAATGTGCCAAGGATCAAGGACGGGGATTTCAGCGAAATCAACAGGTCACTGGCGAAATGTATGAAGGATGCCAACATCGCTGTTGTCACACAGGCAGCTCAATGCATCGAGCTCCTAGCCAAAGGATTGCGGAAGAGCTACGGAAAATACCGATCGGTCGTCATGCAGCCCATCATGGACCGCCTCAAGGAGAAGAAAGCCGCTGTTCAGGATGCCCTTGGCGCAGCACTCGATCAGGTCTTCCTGGCAACAAGCCTGACGGATTGTTTCGAAGATATTTTGGCTTATCTAGTCAACAAGAACCCTCAGGTCAAGGAAGGTACCATGAAGTTTCTTGTACGATGCCTGCGGACAACAAGAGACGTCCCAAGCAAACAAGAAATCGGGCAGACGGTTGAGGCTGCAAAGAAGCTCCTGGCGGAGTCTAGCCCTGCGCTTCGTGATGGTGGTGCCGAGATACTGGGCACCATCATGAAGATTATTGGCGAGCGGGCGATGAACCCCCATATGGAGGGTCTTGACGACATTCGAAAGACCAAGATCAAGGAGTACTTTGAGACAGCAGAAGTCAAGGCGAAGGAGAAGCCGAAAGCGCCACCGCCGGCCGCTAAACCTCCACCAGGGGGTCCCAAGAAGGTTGTCAGGAAGGGTCCCGCTGGTCTAAAGAAAGCTGCACCGGCAGCGGCACCGCCACGAGCCGAGTCTCCCCCAATGGCACCACCATCGACGGCAAAACCAGCGGGCAACAAGCTTGGGATGCCGAAACCCTCTGGGATTGGAGGTCTCAAAGCACCTCAGAAGAGGACACTCGCAGGGCCCGGTGGCCTGGCATCGCCGCGGCGACCTGCAGCTGCAGCGCCCCCGCCGCCAGACGAGGACGAGTACGACGAGGAGCCAGCACCAGTCGCCTCTCCTCCTCGGCAACGACTTGGCATGGGCCGCGGTGGTCTTGCTGGCCGCTCTCTAGCCAAACCGGCTGCACCACCGGCAGCCATGGCTCCCGCCGCCGAACCTGCCCCCGCCGTCTCTGGCCTCACTGCGTTGGAGCGCGCAGAGCTAGAAGAGCTCAGAGCCGCCAACGAGAGCCTGCTGCGGCAAGCTGACGAGGGCCGCCATGAGCGGTCCAAGCTCATGTCCGAAATCCAGGAACTGAAGAATCAAAATGCTCAGCTCATTGAAGATCACACTCGGGATGTGCTGAGCATCAAGGCAAAGGAGACGCAGCTTGTACGTGCACGGAGCGATGCGGAAGCGGCGGAGAGCACGAATGAGCGTCTGCGAAGGGAACTTGACCGACTGAAGCGAGCTCTCAGTAAGTCTGAGCAGCTCGGTATGCAGCGTGATGACATGTTGAGCCCCACGCTCAGCACGGCCAGCCCAGTACAAGAAGAAATGGGCGGCGGTTTCCGAGAAAGGGAAGGCAGCTTCGGAGGCGGCTTGCATAGGGCAGCAAGTACAGCGTCTAGGAACCGCACTTCATATGCTAGCAACCTCTCCGAGGAGAAGGAGAATGGATATGGTCCAGACGTTCCTCCGCCTTACGCAAGGCACAAGGCCCTCAGCCCGGAGCTTGGGAGATACAACAATGGCAATGGGGCCAGCTCGGCTAGCAGTGGACGAGCATCTCCCGCTAGGGGCTACAGGAGAGACGTCTACTCGGGCGAGCATTCATCCGCTGCCGGTGGTGGTGCCGCTGGAAACAACGGCAATGGCGCTGAAAGTTGGAAGAGGGCTGCTGAGGTGACCAGCCAGCTGAAGGCAAGGATTGAGCAGATGAAGGTATGTCTAACCCTCCCATATATGATTATCAAGTCACCAAGTGCTGACGTCCTTGTTTGTAACAGGCTAAGCAAGGGCTTGCGAAGCAGTAGGTCCTGCACAGATTGAGTCCTAGCCGTCATCATCGCGGAAGCATGCGTCCTCGTGTCAGACCGCAATCATGTTCGAGCATCTATGGGCCACCGGGCGAGCCACGATCGTTCTGGGAGCTCTGAAGGAATTTTGTTTAGTCATTCATTGTAACAGGATCCGTCTCAAGTGGGTGAGGTGCGGAGGGAGGTCTAGCATTTTCAGGGCGTCTTGCGTGCGATCCTTCGCGGGGATAGGGGACAGGTCCGGTCAGCGAGGCTTGTACTCCTTACTTCCCTTTTGCCTCGCACCAATGTCCGGGATGGACTCTTGTTTGATTGCGCGCGTGTGGGAGGGTTTTGGTAAAACTTAGATACCACTTGCGGTTCTCACTTCCGCTCACTGTACTTGACTTTTGCCAGTATCGATGGATAACCATTTTCTACATGGCGTCGTAGAGAATCGTGCATGTGAACTGCCAGACGTTCGGTCAACGTACTGGGAGATCTGGGTTATGGGTGTCTGGGAAGAGTGAGTGCACAGTCGCCTGCCAATCATAATCAGAAAGTATGCCTACGTGACGATGACCTCTGTGAGTCGATTGACATTGCCCTGACTGGCTACTGCACTCAAAGTATGCTTTTTCCTGACCAGGAAATATGTACTCAGTCGGCTGTTTGGACATAGACGCGGAGTTGGATTCCCGCCTGTCATCATCTGAGAGTTATAGGACTGATTGAGGGGCACGGTCAGTAAGGTTTCGCAGCATTAGTTGGAAAATATCTATCCATGCACGTATTTAAAACTCTTAACATTTGGATTCTTCTTCCGACTCGCAGCAAGCTCTTTAGAATACTTGCTGGATTTGCCAAGCCCAACTTTGCTATCGATGGCCTAAAGGACAGGCTTTTCTCCTTTGGGCAGGTGGCCCCCTTTGAGCGCCTGTAGCATGTGTTGAACAAAAGCGACGCCGCCATTGCCGTGCAATTGCGGTACCTATATACTTCAACAGCATGTATGCCGCATTCTTTTCTTGTTTAGGTTGTTTCTGCAGGGCAGTAAGAGCAGACTTCAATTGATCCGTCATTGATTTGGCGTGTTCCTTCAAAAGATCGACCGGTGCTTGAGCTGGCTTCGTCTGCTGCGACGACATGACTGCAATGTATGATAGGATTGATGCCGAAGATGGGTTGACTGATGTTATCATACAACGAGAAGTGTGGAAGAAGAAGATGAATGCGCTGACGTTGCTGCACAATGAGAACTGTGTAGGAAGGAAGTGGATGGATTTGAGAGTGTCTAAGATGATTGATATTGTATTTAGATGGTAAGTGTGCCTTCTTATATATAGAGCCAGCAAGAAGTGATGACAATGCCTTACCCACTAAACTCTCGCCATCCTGCTGGATGGCCTATGAGACGGTTGCTAGGCTTCCCAACAGACGTGTTGTCGTGGGAGCGGGACATTAATTGACCTTGTGTTCCACTTTTGGGCCCGAAGATGGCCCGTTTTCCAGCGTGAAGTATTATAGAAATTGAACGGCGCAGCACTGGCGCCCTTTTTCCCCTACTGTTTTCTTCCTCGTCTTCTTTCGTACGTATCCTGGGGAATTCTGAGTGCTGGGAGATATAGGGAAATAGTCACATGCGACCTCTCAGGTCTGACTACTCGATTCCGAACGCCCGCATTGTCCCTAACGCCCGCAATGTCCCTTAATGGTCGTTTGGAGTACAACAGCTGCAGTGAGGGTGTCCGAGTGGTGTTCAATGCCTGGGTACCTCAAATAGCGGTTGGCGGATAGTTGCCGAGGCGGCACACCAACACCACTGTTAGAGAGGGACCCGCCTGTGCCACTTGTGCCACAAAGCGGCGTTGCAGGCATAGCCCGAGCCAGAGTACGCCCACCCAGCTTCCACAGTACGCCCACCCAGCTTTCAGCGTTGGCCCACCCAGTACAAGGAAATTGGCTGTATGTACTAATAAAACTAAGTACTTTCTTAATAAGCAAAAAGCTACCTTGCATCCTTAAAAAGCTACCCTAGCTAGGGTAAAAAGGGCCCTTAAGGGTAAAGAAGGCCCTTAAGGGCAAAGAGGGCCCCTTAGAAATAAAGGGCCTTTAAGAATAAAGAAGGCCCTTAAGAGATAAAGGGCTTTTAAGGATAAAGAAGGCCCTTAAGAGATAAAGGGCCTTTAAGGATAAAAAAGGCCTTAAAAGCATAAAGGGCCTTAAGCAGTAAAAAGGGCCTTAAGGAATATAAAAAATGCAAAAGGGCATAAAGGGCGTAAAGGGGCATAAAGGGTATAAAGGGGCAGAGGGGCGGAGGGGCAGAGGGGCGGAGGGGTAAAATCCAAAGTATACTTATATTTTATTAGTGCATGCAGCCAATTTCCTTGTACTGGGTGGGCCAACGCTGGAAGCTGGGTGGGCGTACTGTGGAAGCTGGGTGGGCGTACTCTGCCTTGCATAGCCCCAACGGCTAATTTTATCAGACGACCCCGCTACTGTCTCTGCTTTAAATGATGGCAACTTTAACACTTTATCCTTTTGAGTGCAACCTTCTTTCTGATATTTAACGATACTTGCTTTTCTTTATAATCCTTATACAATACATGCCAGTTACCTACTTTACCTGAAAATGACTGATAAACAGAGCAATACATCCCAGGGAGGTGAGGCTAATTATGTTGGCAAGTACGACCCTCGCTATTAAGAGGCTACTTTAGTTATTCCCTATGGGGCACGTAGCTTCTTAAAACTTAGATAGAATAATATCAATATATAATTGCTTCCCATATAATTATTATATGTATAAGAAACCTACCAATACTAATTAGTGGTTATAGGCACCATAGATTAATAAGGTAGAAGAGGCAACCCTATAAGGATTTTTCTAACCTAAAATTATATCCTCCTTATTGGTAAGCGTTATATAGCAATAATTGCTTCTTTAGGCCTCCTTGCATTATTAAACTCCCTAAGCAAATATTGCAAAGATTAAATAGATTAAGTAGCATTCCTTGTGATATCTATATATATATTTATTATTATTTAAGAGATATGCATTTATTATGTATAAGACTTTACTAAAAACGAACTTATTACAAACCCATCTTTAAATCCTTTGGTAAAACTTAATAAAGCTCCGTTTTATTAATAAATAAAGCTTATAATTATCGCAATTATTAAATAAATAAGGCTTGTAATTATTGTAATTGCTAAAGCTAATGCAATGTTATATTATAAGCAAATGCAAGTTATATATTATGCTTTTAATTAATATAAAAGGACTTAATGATAAGAAAAAGCTTTAGCTTTTAAGGCTTAAAGGAACTAATAATTTCTTCCTTTTAATAACTATAACTTACTCTTTATTAAATTATCATTATTAACTTGCTTTTAAATATTATTTATTTTATTAACATTTCTTTTTATTTTATTAATTTTACTTTTTATAATATTTGCCATAAAAACCTATAAGAATAGTTAATAACGTTAAAAAGCTATTAGCTCTTATTAAAGGGTATATAATTAATAAAATGCTTGCTTAAACTTTAATTAACCTAGCCTACTATGGATATATCAATCCAAAACTATGGTTTATAACCCTTATATAAGGAGCATTAGTGAAATATTTAATTACCTACTTAATAAGTACTTTAACAAGCTATATATAATAAAACTTTTATAATAATAACCTTTTTATTGCTTATTGCAAGAATTATGCAGCGTAAATATAAGTAATATTTAAAGCATTGCTAAATCCTTGCTAATAATGCCTAAAAGTCTTCCTTTAAATGCAAAGCATTTATATAAAATGTAATAACTAACTTATAGTACTATAGTTAATTACCATAGCTTAAGCTAAGGAAAAATTAAAATAAATTAATAATAAGCTTTATAATGCCTTATTAGCTTTAAAATTAAGCATAAATAAATATTATATATAATTTTAAAAATAGTAACTATAAGCATAGCCTTTATAAGAACTATAGGCAGGCTTTAAATAATAATAATCGCTAAGAAGGCAATCCCTAAAATAATATTTATCGCCGCCACTAGCTTTAAGCGCGTAATTATAAAACCTAAACTTAATAATATAATTTATTAAAAATTAATATAATCAACAAGGCCCACTATTATTAGCGGAAAGATAGAGATAAAGCTTATATTAAAGATATATATTATACTTAGCATAACCTTGGGCTGCCTTAGGAATATCTTCGCTAAACGAAAAGTATAACCTATATAAAACTCTTTCTTTATAATATATTTCTAATAAATACTTAAATTTAGCAAAGTTAGCATAATTTATAAAAACCTTTAATAATTCTAATAAGTATATTAAGAACTTATATAATTTGCTAAATAATAAGATAAAGATGTTTTTTAATATTTATTATTATATTAAAATTTAGCTAAGTTAATTTTATATAGTTTTTCCTTAAATGCTTAAAAATTAAGCTAAGGCTTATTACCTTTATTTTATAAATTAAATTAATATATTTATAATAGCGTACTTTAAAATTAAAATGCATTTTAATATAAACCTTAATTACTAGCATTATTATATAAATTAAATAATAATAATATTTATAAAGATAAGAGTATAAAACTTAAATAAAGACTTGCATAAGGTTTTATATTTAATGCTTAATAAGCTATAACTTTGCTAATGGGCATTAAGCTAAAATTATATTAAAAAAGATAACTTAAAAATAATGGTAATTAAAGCTTGCAAAGGAGTTTCTAAGCTAAAAATAACTCTTTTTAAGCTAGCTTAATTATGCAAAGAATTGTTTTTAAATTTAAGATTTATAATAAAAATATAATTTAGCTATATAATTATAATTTATATTATAAATAAAGTTTTAAATTAATATTATATTAATTATAAATATAATAGCTAAAAGCTAAGAAAAGGATAATAATTATAGTTTTAAGTATTTTAAGGAAATTAAAGATTTAGCTAATTAAACTTAAGCCATTTAAGCTTTAAGTAGCTAAGATTTTATGGCATTAGC